AGGAACGTCCCTTAAAAAGGTGTTATCTAGATGGTGGCAAATGTTACTCCAAAATGTGTATGTACTCCTCAGCATTGTTGGTGCCTTCACAGATGTGCAGTTTATCCATGCCATTGGCACTAACAATCCTCCATACCATGACAGACACTGGCTTTTGAACTTTGTGTTGGTCCCTCCAATGTCCATTTTTTTCCAAAATTTGAAAGATTGACTCGTCAGACCACAGCACGCATTTCCACTTTGCATCAGTACATCTCGGGCGGCACGGTGGCGCAGTGGGTAGCGCTGTTGCCTCACAGCGAGAATGGCCTGGGTTTGATTCCCGGCCGGGTGACCAGGGTCATTTCTGTGTGGAGTTTGCCTGTTCTCCCCGTGTCTGCGCGGGTTTCCTCCGGGTACTCCGGTTTCCTCCCACAGTCCAAAAACATGCAGTCAGGCTGATTGGACGTGCTAAATTGCCCCTAGGTGTGAATGTGTGTGTGAATGTGTATGTCTGTCTGTCTGCCCTGCGATGGACTGGCGACCTGTCCAGGGTGCATCCTGCCTTCCGCCCAATGACAGCTGGGATAGGCTCCAGCACCCCACCGCGACCCAGAAGGATAAGCGGTTTAGATGATGTATGTATGTATGTATGTATCAGTACATCTCAGATGAGTTTTAGCTCAGAGAAGTCAGTGGTGTGTCTGGATGTGATATATGGATTCCACTTTGCATAGAAAAGTATTCACTTGCATTTGTAGATGCAACAGTGAACAGTGTTTACTGGCAAGGGTTTTCTGGAGTATTTCCGAGCCCATGCAATCATATTCATTACAGAAGCATGTCAGTTTTTAATCCAGTGCCATCTAAGGGATCGAAGGTCATGGGCTTTCAGTATTAGTTTTTGACCTAAAATCCTTGCAGATGCTTGTTAAGGAACGTTGTTCTTAAGCAAGTGGCAAGGCTTGCTCTGTTTTTGTCCATTAAGGCCTGCTTTTTTTTTTTAATACTCAAGCATCACTGTATCACCCATTTAAGATATTTTTTTCACAGCGATCTGAGTCTTAAATTGCCCCTGTTCCAACTTTTTTGGAATATGTTTCAGGCATCAGTTTCAGAATGAGCATGTATGAAACATAATGAAGTCCAAAGGTTAAACTTTAAATATCTTGCCTTTATACTGATTTTATTTAAATAAAGGTCAAAATGAATGTACTGGTTACTGCTTTCTGTTTTTAATTGCATTTTACCCACCTACCAACTTTTTTTAATGGGTTTAATTTGTTTTTTTTATTATAAATTATTTTATCAACATAACAATTTTAGTGAAAGACAGAATGTTTGAAATATTTACATGAATTTCAGGATTTCTTAGTATTACTCCAGAAGTTTGTGCAAAACTTCCTAGAAGTGGACCAAATCCACCTGAGATTCTTCTGAGCATGTGCTTCAAGGAAAGAGATAGCACACAAAAAACTGACCGCTTTGTACAAAGGTCTTAATGTGGTTAATGTCAAAAATTTGCTTGAATTTGAATAGTGGTCTAGAAATAGTGCAGAATCTTGAATTTTTCTTCTCCAGATTTTCTGTAAGTCCTCTTATCATATTCTGTCAGTTTGCTGCATCCCTGTCTTTTGCAGCCTGAAGCACTGAAAGACATTCAGAGTGGAAGCCAGGAGTATCGACTTGGAAATGTCCGACTTAACAAGAACAATGGAAAGCAGCATGAATTCACTTGTTTTGGAGGAATTGCAGTGGTATCCAGTTTTATCTGTGAAGGCCGGTGTGCCTGCAGGTTTTCATTACAAACAAGAAGAAGCACACCTGATTCCTCTTGTTTTATCAATTGTCTTCAAACAACTGATAGATGTGCTTCTGCTTTGTTGGAATGAAAACCTGCAGCCACACCAGCCCTTTGCATATATGATAGGACACCCCTGCTGCAGTGTCATTTAGCTCTGACAACACAGACATCTTCAGCTTGCTAATTAAGGTGGAGTGACAGTGGCGGGTGCTCTTTCTCAGAGTGCAGAGGATGAGGACTCAGACAGACAGCACAAGCCCGTTTAGGGAGTGGCCGTTGTTGAGCCGGGCAGCAGCAGTGGGGCTATCAGAGATGATGAGGGCCATGGAGGAGCTGGATGCTCCAGAGAACATGCCAGAGGGTCTGGACCCAGCTGTGTGGGAGAGATTCTGCCTGGCCAGGAGGGCTAAAGTGGAGAGTGAACAGCGGGTAAGGAATGGCTTAAAGGATGCCTGTGAGACAGTGTGACCTGCTCTTAATGTTGCTCCTCCATAATGTGTTTACTCAACTAACGAAATAAACATGATTAACTGATAATAACTGCTAGATAATATTATACTATTAATGTAACTAATATTAACACATGACTTGAAGTCGTATGACTTCATACATTTTCACCTTCAGACTTTGAAATCAGAATTTATTAGAAAAAATGCAGTATCAGGCCATTTACCAAGCAAACTATGTTAGGATAGTCTGAAAATGGATTGTGTGGATTATGAAGCAGCCCATATCTGTTGTAGAAGTAATAGGAGTAGTGCAGAGGCTTGTATAGTTGACTGTAGCATGATTTAGTTTTACCCTCTTCTCTGGCCACTTCAATATGCACTTAACGTCAGCCATCGTGGATCATAAAGGTCAAACTTGTGAAATCTGAATTTGTGATGACACTGAACATGTACTTTTTCTTCCTTAAGTGTCTTGTATAAGTTATATTTTTGGTGACAGGTGAAAATGAAGGCATTGACTCTAGCAGAGATGCAAGCATTTCTACAAAAAAGAACAGATGAAGATGAGAATGCACGAATGGAAATAAAGAATCTAATTGATGAGCTTAATGGGTAAGAAACACTATAATATTTGTGTTGTACAGAGTAACACTTAAAATAGTGACATGATAGTCTGCAACTATAACATTATACAACATCATATTATTACAATGGACCATATAAAATAAAACTAGTTTAGTAAGGTGCTTCAACAAGGTGTTATGTTGTCATAAACACTCCTTACAAAAACTTCTTTTGTAAAAAGAGCAAACATCAACGAGTATTTAGAAAAAAACGGTTTAATTATGTGGCTTGATTTCCTGTCAGGCAGGAAACTGTATTTTTGATTTTTTGATCATCATGTTGTGAAAACTATATGAACATTTAACATGTAGTTCTGCCTTCCTCATATTATACCAGTAGACTCAGGGCCATATCTTTGTGTTTTCCACCAGCCTGAGAGAACAGAAGATGAGGTTCTGCTTAGACCTTATGGTGCAGATTCTGTTAAAGCAGGGCCAGGTTGAAGTGGAGACTGGAGACTTCGTCGCAGATTACTCAGACTCTCAGCTGATCCACCGCAGTGTTGTGGAAGACCTGAACAGCACCATTCGGGTACTCCAAAAACAGTCTCACTTTTGCCTTTACTTTCTGGTAATGCTTATTGAGACATTATCACTTAAGAATCCATACAATATGTATTACAGTAGTTTTAAGTAGATTTAACAGTAATATTGACACTATAGAAAATTACTAATCATAAAATACCAGCACACACTTCTCCTTTCTGCTAGACTTTAGGAGAACAGAAGATCGCGAGCATGATAGAGTGCAAAGACTTCCGCAAAGGAATCATTCAGCAAGAATGGGAACATAAGAGGATGAGGATGCAGATGGAGGATCTCAACAGCAAAGCCAGAGACATTCAGATGCTGCGTGTCTCTCAGGAGCTCCAAGAGGTAAAGCCTGGCTTTATCAATAGAGCTTGTCAACAGTAGTACACTGTTATTCAATTTAAAAAAAACGCACTTGACTAATGCATTACTCAGACTGTTCAGTATAAAGTACAAACAAGTAGCTCAAACCCTTCCTTCAGGCAGGAGTGAGTATATATTTAAAAAAATGCAACGTCAGGCCATTTACCCACAAACTATGTCAGGATAGGGCTTGTCTAATTCAGTGTGAGCATGGTTCAGTTCTGCCCTCTTCTCTGTCCACTTTAACATGTGTTTAATGTCTCAGCTACAAGGCCAAACTTGTGAAATCTGTATTTTTGGTGATCCTGAACATGTACTTTTTCTTCCTTAAGTATCTGAGTGAGACAGATCATGACAACAGAATGTCAAAGCAGGTATCAACTCTAGAGAAGACCATAACATTACAAGAGAAGGTAAGCACAGTGATTCTTTTCTAAGAGGTGAATCAAAGTAAATGTTCTGAATACTGCTGATGTAGTTTGACTCTAACATCTCTTTATCCAGACTCATCTGAAGAATGTTGAGAACTGTAAAAAGCTAATTAAGCAGCTGAACAGACAAGCTGCACTGAAGAAAGAGAAGAATTCAGCTCTAGATCTGCAACTAGCCAACATGGAAGTGACTGTTGCAGAAAGAAGAAACATCTGTGAGGCAATAGGTATCAGATGGTGCAAAAGATCTCTGCTCAAAAAATACTTAAATACAGCAGTAAAAAAGTTAAATTTCATCAAACCTACAGATTAAAAAGTTTAGATCACTCAAGTCTTTGTCCAGTGAAGTGCCTTGAAAATTATTATAGGCTCATTCTATGATCTGCTGAGTGTTAAAACTGCCTAACACAGAAGCAGTGTGTTTTGTAACTGTTATGTAAATGCAACATGACTAAGTCTCTTAATAGTACCTCAGAAGCTTTTGGGGTTTTTTGGTCATCGCAAAATTGATAGCAAAAAGCGATAGTCATCTCCTGCAAAAATGGTAAACATCTTCTCAAAAGTATCAAAAATGCTGAGTAAGTCTTTACTTTCAGTACTAGGAATCATAAGTAAACTTTTCTAATGTCTCTACAGCAATAGAGGAAAACCAAGAGAGTGAAGCTGAGGAACGCTATCAGGACATCCTGCAGAGGAAGAAGCTTGTGGAACTGGCCAAAGCACAAGCTGAGGAGGTGACCATTCTGAGAACTGAGGTGGAGCGCATGCGAATGAAGACATTCCCTGCACTTAGTCAACTTAAACATAACTGATACAGGAATTTAAATAAAAATGCTCTTTATTCACAGTCACACATTTTTTTAACAAAAGCCATCAGATTTAACAGGCATTTATAAATGCAACAGAATGAAATGGAAACATGTGCAAAGTGCAAAAAAAAACTGAATAAATGACATGTTACACTGCGTTGTCTATTACATTCCACATGTACTTAGAAAAACACACGGGTATTTAAATATGTTAAAAGCCACGATCGTGGGTTGGTAAGGACATGTTCAGTCACAACAAACTCCTGACATCACCCTTCCCTCAGTGTTAAATTAAGGCCCAGCTCTACTATTGTGGTGACCTCAAACCCAAGGGTGGCATTGAACTGTCACGTACAAAACAACATACAAATACCTGGAGAGTGATGGTGAACTACTGTAATAAAAATAAGACACACACTGTCTGTATATCAGCTGTCTGTGAAGTTGTCCTCTGTCCTATCAAAGTGCAGTATACCATCCTCCAGTCCAAAGTGGTCAATGAGCTGAGAGAGACTGGCTTTTCGGCCATCTGTAGGTAACTCAGTTTGTAGTTCATACAGCACTGCTTGAGCACAGTGCCTCCATTTATCTATCAGGTCTTGCAGCTGTGTCAGGTCATTCTAATGAGAGAAAAATATCTTTCATTAGTAACAGAATAAAGTCAATCACTGTTTAACTTGTTTTAACATATATATTGTTGTGGACTCAGGACATGGTGATCTAAAAATGAAGATATTTACCTTTGTTCTGTACATTTTAACCATCTTGAGCCTTCGAAGAGTCTCAGATTTCTTCTTGGCATCTTTCTTTAATTTCTCTCGAAGCTGATGTAACTCACTTCGAGAGAGCTGCAGGGGGTCAGACTCAAAACTCCTCAGACAGTCTTTAAGGTCTCTCATGGTCTCATTTCTGTTCACGTCAATCTCAGCCTCCTTCTCTGGTGGCCCAGTTTGGTCTGTCTCTTCTTTTAAGGGCTGTGGTAACTCATCTTCATCGATTTTAAGTCGTTTAACCACACTGAGGGGGGAAGTAAAGGAAGGTCGTGCTCTTTTTAACCTGGCCTTCAGTGCAGCACTCATTGGCTGGAAGCAAAAGGAAATACAAGTTAAATACTGACATGAGTCCCTTAATATTTCTATACAGACCAGAAGAGATCTTCTGGACCAGCTCTGGACCTTGAATTAAATTTCCAGTCCTGGATTCTGTTTTTGTTTTTTAACTCCAGTTCTTGAGACAGTTACAAGTTTTTCCTGCCCTAACAGACCTGATGCAACTCATGAAGGGTTTAATAATTAGCTGATCAGTGGGGACAGTTAGCTAGATAAATAGTTCATTTACATACCAGTGATTACAAAATCCAGATTCAGTGTCAGTAGTTGAATAGGGTGACCTGAGCCATAAAATTATTTTAGTTGTATGGTCTTTCTAAATTGGTAAAATGTACATGAGAACTGTGATGAATCTGTTTAAGGGTATAATGGGGAATTATAGCTAACCAGGCACGATTTGCCTGTCTCGGTGCATTAACAGCCTAATGTATACCAACAAACACTCAAGTAAACCTTTAAGCACTGTAAAGTCAGGGGGTACGATTAACGAAAAAACAGCTTAGATTAAGATGTAAACTAACAGCTAACCTTGCCCACACTGGACCCACTTGGAACAGACGTCTGCTGCTCTACTGGGAGCCTCTCAGGTGTTTTATCCATAGCTGACGGCTCTGTTTTAGCAGATTGCAGCTGAAGCAGAAGCTAAAGCTACAACGCAGGGCAGAAGAAACATCTAGATAGCTCGCCGAAGTTTGCTTATTGTTTGTTTGTTTGTTGTAAAATAACTACCTTCTAGCTAGGCTAACTTACAAGAAATGAAACTAATTATTTAATTACAAAGTGAACTACAGGTTCTACAACGGCAACACTCAGATTCAACTGTTTACTACCGCTCTACGTCTTCTACGGCAAACGCCATTTCCGGAAAAACACATGGTTCATGGGAAATGTAGGATATGTAAGGTTAATGCTCAGGATTCGTTTCTCGTCGAATTTATTGAATTTATGTAGTTTATGAAGGCAACTGTTCCCGAACCATTTATATAGAATTATTTGTATTATTTATTTAATATAATAACATAACAACAGAAGCTAAAGCTGAAGTGCAGTAGATACAGTTTTTGATAAACTGGTGATCATTACAGCTAAACTTAAAGGGACTTTAACCAATTTTTCAAAATGTCTGTTAAAATTAAAGGGTTAACAGGTAAATAAAGTCATTCAGAAAGGTTTAAATTGAAATGCCCCAGTCTAGAGAAACTTACCGAGTTAGATTTGTTCACAGTGGTGGTGATGGGAACCAGACCTCTGAATGCCTCTATAAGCTGCCTCACAGAAAGTTACTACATGAAATTGTCACAAATAATTGTTTTACAATAGGTTTTAAATAAGGTTTCTGCCTAAAACATTTTTAATACAGTGTTACATGCAGCGTTTGTAAAGCAAAACAATCCTCAAAAAAAGTACTTTCTGATTTACCGCTATTTTATCATTATCAAGATTACATCTGAAAAATGAGAAGACACAATTAGGTTCACATGGTCTTTATAGTAAATAAAATGAATACATTTAACCTCTGGCTCCTGTCACCACAATTGTAAGGAAATTTGAGTCAGTAAGTTTCTCTACAGTGAATTATTTCTCAACAAAGCACTGAATGACTACATTTCAACTATGGAGTTATGCAAATATTTTAAACTTTAAACAAAAGCCCACATAGCACACATAGTCAAGAGTCAATAACAGATTAAGATTAAGGTTGCTTTAATGTCATTGTACAGATTTACAATGGTTTTTGGGAGGGGGAAAAATTATGCTTTTCATCAAGTAAGCATATTTATATATGCTTACTTGATGAAGTAAGTATATATAAGTCGGCGATATAGCAAAAATATACTATTGTGATACTTAATATGTCACAATTTATATTTTTTCAGACATCTGATCAGTTGGAACAGTGAAAAAGAAACAGTAGTGCTACATTTTAAAAAAAATACTATCAAAAACTGTGAATATAATAATTTTTATACAATATTTGACATACTATTGCGCTAAATCCACTTAAACTGGACTAATTTTGTTCTCTTTATAATGAAACATGCAGTTGGTCATTGTTCTACAAGTACTGAAGATATACATGATATGTTCAGAAAAGTGCATTTTATTGTATTGTGACATGATTTATCATGATAACAATATATTGTCATATTGCCCAGCCCTATAAGAAAAATGTGTCAGTCTGAATAGTTTATTCTGTAAGATTTTTTTTGGTTAAAATTGAAAGACGTAGCGTCAGAGTCAGGAGAAAAATATATTTTAAAATATGGTGTCTGTGCATCACACACACAGTACAGAACACAACAGCATATAACACAGCAAAGCAGATCATTCCTTCAACCTGGAAATGCTGAAATAATAATTTAAAAGTCAAAGGTGTCAAGTCTGATTTCACATGAGTTTTTCGGGCCATGATATATCTTTACGTATTAATGTCAAAATCAATGTTATACTGATGAAGATACGATGACAACAGTAGATAATTCACTTACATAATCGCAAGACGTTTCTCTCTGAATATTCTTGCAGTCATCAAAGTCATCCTCTTGGGGAAGAGGTCCGAAGCACAACCGATGTTACAAAATGCTGTTCTGCATGTTGTGTGCAATTACACATTTCCACCAGGGAGGTCTCCAAATCCCCAAAATTTACACACTGCAGCTTTCAAACATGGCTTATTTGTGGAATGAAGAATCCAATTTGTTGGAATCTTGTGGAAGATTTTCCAACTTAAGCTACAATCAGAGATGTTCATCTTTCATCTCGTATGGTCCTGAACGACATAGGCTATAGATAGAAATTTATTACTGAGATTGAAAGTATTGTTTCAATATATCATGAATTTAATGTTCAGAAAGAGGGGGTGCTTGAGTTTACGTTCTCCTTCACCGCTCTCACCCCTCAAAAGCTTGCCTGTCCTGCTTTGTCTAACCTGCTCATCTATAGCACATATTCCATCTCTTAATATGATACTACGTTGTTCTCAGACATAAATTGAAGTGGGGATTAAAATTTAGCATGTCCTGACATGTGTTCCAGATGTTGACTGCCTGGTATTTTTGTACTGCTTATGGTTTCTTAGAGGTAGAATTAAAGACAGCAGTCTGCTTTCTCATAAAGCAGCTTAAGCACTACTGCTTGGTGTGGAGAAGTTAGCACTATGTTTGCCAATAGCTTAGAAAAATCCCCCAGCAGCTTTTTATTAAGTAGGCAACTTGCTTTGGTATTATAAAGAATGGCCTTTTACTAACTTCAATTGTAACTTACACTTTTCACTTAGCTGACTAATAAGTCGTCATCCGTTTTACCCTTTTCTGAATGGTATCTCTGTGCTGAGTCTCAGACTATTGCTCTGCTGGACAAGGCAAAAGAATAGCTCTGTGGAGCCTAACAATCAGAATGGGCAGGTGTACATATGTACACAATAGCCTAGATAAAGTGTCAACCATAATGCTCCTTACATAATGGATGCTGGGTGTGTCTTCTGTATCGGCATGCCTTTGATGTGGTTAAAAAGGTTTTTTTGAGGATTGCAGATGTTCTGGGTGAAAGCACATCATACTGTAGGCCTAGTAACTCAAATAATAGCAGCATAAGTGATTTTTGTTACGTATATCATGTTTTCTGTCATCCGTGAAGTAATTTTATTGAAGTAGCAATTATGCTAAGATGTTTGTAATACATTATGCCAGATTTTCATACTGAGACTGTTACGTTTCCTCTGCACCTCTGCTGCTGCTCGTGCAATAACTTGTGCTCAGAAGATTCCAGTGATCTTAGTTGTACATTGTGAATCATCTACCATTTAATGATAGCTTTTGTTTAAAACCAACAACCACACAGCAATGAATCAAGGAATTTGGCCTCTCTCTGCTTTTAGATTATTCTTATGCTGCAGGCTGTTGTAGTCGTTGTGCTGTTGGTTGAGAGGTGGAGCCTGAGATGTGAGTCATGTGCAGTGTGTGTCCGTAAGGTGTGGTGGGGTGAGAGCAGGTATGGAGCGAGGGAGGGCACAGAGGGAAAGTGTATGGCTGTACAGGTCAACATTAATATTGTATCCCAGGAAAGACTGTTCACATGGATACCAGTACAAACGTCATAACCAGTCATTTGTGCTGCTCTTTTCAGGGGTGATGATTCACTGGGATTTTAGCTGGGATAATTTCCCATAAAATATGTATTACTGTCTGGGCAAGCCAGTGCTATCCTTCTTCAAATCCTTTATGACTCTCTTTCTGACTCATATGGTAAAATCATGTCTCTGAGCTACAGAAGCAAATTAGCTGAATTCAGCAGCATATATGCAAATTTGAGGATTATGAATGTAAAAGAGTTTGAAATGTAAGATGTATGCAATATTAAAGCAACAAAAGAAAAAAGTACATAAAGTTTGTTGGGTGTATTATTCAGTTAGTAATGTGGGCGGTAATGTAGGGATTCTATAGCTTATACACAGCAATTCAAATGTTAAAATGAGTCAACAACATATGCCTACAATGAGACTTATCATATTGACATGTCATGCTTCATATGCCAATATTAAAGTTCAATAGCAAATATTAGGAGTATCATATGTATTCAGTATGGAGATTCAGATTTGTTGCCAGTTATGAGGCTTTTTTCTTTCCATTGTGTCACTAAAACTCTTAGTCTGATCTGTATTATAAATATATAATTCCCCAGTAATGATAGATATGATGATGCTTAAGAACAAAAAGGAGGGACTGTTAATAAATGTTATTTCATAAGTCAACAAACAATTATAATACAGTAAAGAAGTGATTCTAGGACCATTTAGTCCACGTTTCTTTCTGTTATTACTGACTACAATGTAACAAAACAACAACATCTATTTTGTCTTTAGGGTTGTATGTACTTGTTTGCTACATTATAACTGATGTCTGACAGCTCTTTTGCAATTATGTGCTTTTTGGCAGCCATCCTGTTAATAATTATTCCAAATGTTTTTGTATGCTGTAGCATTAACATTACGCTTGATTGGAACTAAGGGGCCAAGACTAAACCCTGAATTACAGCCCCAGACCATTATCCCTCCTCCACCAAACTTTACTGTTGGCACTATGCAGTGACTCCTGGCACCCACCAAACACAGATTAGTCCATCAGACTGCCAGAGTAAAGCATGATTATCACACCAGAGAACATGCTTTACACCACTCCAGCTGATATTTAGCATTGCGCATAGTGATCTTACACTTGTGTGCAGCTGCTCGGCCATGGAAACCCATTTCATGAAGATCTTGATGAACAGTTCTTGCCCTGATGTTGCTTCTAAAGGTAGTTTGGAACTCTGTAGTGACTGATACAACAGGCATTAGGCTATTTTTAGGTGGTTCAGCTCTTGGCATTCTGTGAGTTTGCATGGTCTACCGCTTTGTGGTTAAACTGTTGTTGCTTATAGACTCTTTCCTTTCACAATAAAAACACTTACAGTTGACCAGGGCAGATCTAGCAAGGCAAAAATTTCACAACTGGCTTGTGGCAAATGTGACATCACACTCACATGTCTACGGAGATTGCATGACCATGTGCTTGTCTTTATACACCTGTCAGCAATGGTTGTGGCCAAAACACCTAAATTCCATAATTAAGAGAGGTGTCCACATACGTTTGGCTATGTTATGTATCTCACGTAATTTCAAAAAAAGTGGAGAAAATACCCCCCACATCCCCTCTGAAGTTGCACCAGTGCTGCTGTAAAATAGATATCATCACTCTCCAGAAAAACACATGTATCTTCATTTTTGATGATTTGTGGACAGCAGCTGTGCTTTAGATCATGTCAAAATTTTATGATGAGTGCACCAATAGAAATGTTCCAAAGTTATGTGGAAATAAATTACGTTTACTTACATACATAGACTAACATTACAAGTAAAAAACATCTTTGCCCTTTTCTGTAAAGTTACCTTATTTGCCCTCTCCTGTAAAAGTTCTGATGGGTAGTATGTTTCAGTGGTACCACACAGAGGATACTGAAATGCGATTAAATAAAAAATTGTTTGTTGCTTGTATGGTGATAAGGCTGCAGTCTAACAAGCACACAACCACCCTCAACACTATACAAACGTTAAAAGTCAGGTCAATTTGAAATGATAAGGCAACTCACTTCTTGGCTTTTTGGGGTTAACTTAAAGGCACTTGTATTCACATATATTTTTTTGTCAATGTTCACATTTTACTTTGTTGTGTCATGCGCATCATTGATCACTTTAGAGTCTGGTTGCTCTGTACGGTTCGTTTGCAGTTGATCATGTGGGAGAGTAAACAGGAGACAAAACACAAATTACTGCAGCTGCAGAACAGCTAGATTTAGTTCATAAACAAGCTGTCGTCATTCATTGTTGACTTTGATAATGGATTTATATATGTATATTTGTTTTTTTAAATAAAACCTTTCAAGTAGTTTCAGATGAAGTATGACTCTACATGCATTTAATATGTGGATCTCACCAAAAGAAGGTGCTGAAGGATATAATATATCCAGCCCCACCTCTGTCATCTGAACATGCCCTAGAGCGCTGTTTTGGGATGATTATAAATGGTGAAATTGTGATTCCCTGAGGTATTGTCTCTTTCAAAAGCTCGCTGGTGTGTGTGAGTGTGTGAGCCTGCCAAACACTTGGGAGTGGCTCGGGATAAAATCCAGCCCAGGAGTCCTGCGGAGACTTGTCTGTGAAGGTGGAAAGAAAATAAAAAAGAACTAGACGGAACAAAGATAATTACTTGACATCTGTGTGGCGCAGGTGAACATCAGGGACAACCGTTCACTCTCACAGGATCTTCTCAAGGAACGTTATTACTGTCTTTTGTGCAAAGCCAGAACTTTCTCCTGAGTTTCACCTGGACTTCAGGTAAAGTACTAAAGACTTACTTTGAGCCATTTACACAACTGAAGTGCAAAACTGTTTTGTTCATAATGTATAACGTCTATTAACTAATATTTATTAGCAATATTTAGTACACGTTGCATCTTTTTTCTTAAATTAGTCCTGAGAACATGGCAAACACATTAAAGTATGTAATGTTTTAATGGTTGCATTGATGTTTACTTGTTGGTGTTTCAGCATTGAAAGTCTGGCCTGCCAGACGCTGTGATTTCTGATGGGAGCTTTCACTGGCTGTATGACTTTTCACTGTTTACATATTTGAGGGATATATGCAGCATAATGACTAATGCTGTGGTTGTCTTATTTGGTGGTTTCTTATTAAGCTGCAGTAAAGCATTAGGCAAGCATGAATGCGTTGGATGGACTTGCATGCTGAATATTGCATGGTGAATGATACATTTTGATTTCAGCTTATTAGGAGTAGATGTACTCAAATAGAAACAGGACAGGTATGTTTGTTAGGCTTCATTTCTGTTCAAGCCTTTTTTTCACAGCAGTGTTTTCATTAAAAATTAGGAGATGAGACTGTTAACTTTTTGTCTGAGTTTGTTTGAGTTTTGTCTGATGGGTGGGCTGTGCGACAGATTTTTAAAGGCAGAATTGTGGGGAGTCCTTTGTTCTCTGTCAAACTACTGTACCCTCAGGACATCAGCTCTTCTGCTGTAGATCTATCCTGTTTTTGTCTGATTGAAAAGTTTGTTTTGAGATTATTTTGAAAGCTTCAAGTTGTGAAGTATTAGTGAAAGTTTTTATTAGTGAAACCTTGTATTTGCATGTGTTGACAGCACCTGCTTTATAGCTCTTTTAAAAACATTCTGTTTTTAAGACTTATCATTTATGTGATGTCAGCAAATTGGCTGCACAAACAACTAAATTCCTAAATTCTACCTTTCAGGGTGTAAACACTGTCAGTGGCATAATACTTTCAAAGATGCGTCTTCAGTACCTTTAGTTAGGGAACAGTATTGTACCACATTCTGTTGCGGTTATAATTTTTGAGTTGCATTGACTCCATACATCCTGTTTTAACTCCAGACTCTTCTTTTTTAAACCATGAAGCTATAAAAAAGTACAAATGTGCTCTTTTCCTCTGGGAAAAAAATGTAGTGTATGTTTATAATTCATTTCAGATATACTAATGTACTATAAGGACCATGTTGTACCTTTAATGGTACGTTTGCATTGGGAGACACGAATGTACCTTTGCTGTATCTTGTTTTCTAACTGTGTATGATGGGCTGCACTGCTCCAACAGCTCCTACACTCTAAAAAGAAACATCCCATTAGGTGGAGGGGATCTGTGTCTGACTTTTTCAGTGTAAAATTAAGGACAGAACATACCTCAAACTGCAGCATGATTCACTGAGCCAGTGGAGATCTAAATGCATTTCAGCCTATCTGGCCTTTATCAGGGCTGAAAAGCTTTCTTACTACCAGAGAAGCCTAAACAATTACTCAGGTTAAAGTTACTTGTTACTTAATTTAAATAATAACTCAAGAAGAAATAAAAAGTAGCCTGTGACAAAAACAGTAGCAGTAAAAAAATCAAGTTGAAAGGACTACAGTACATCAAGTTTCCCAAGAGAACTGCAGTGGAATTTCACTGCATCCATCAGCATAAGAACTAAAGTTTGTTAAGCGCTGTTCTTCTCTTTTTGGGATTGTTTTATTTTACTTTTTTGGAATCATTTTGGTCATAATTTCCAAGTGTTACAATTCGAAATTACTCAAGAAAATGCAAGTCTATTAACATTTAACGGATGTGCAGGTAAATAGTTAAGTCATAAATGGAACTAGTTACTACCCTCCTCTGCTTATTACTCATTTATTACTCATCTGCTTCACTGCTGATTTATCTTTGCTTCTGTTGACTGAAATTATTCATTGCTGCACAAAGCTGGAGATATGTTTACGATTACAAAATAGTTCATACATGCTGAATATGGAATATATTTTCAATATTTTACACTTGGAGTGAGATCAGTGTACATGTGTATACAAGAGATTCAAAATACAGCAGTATAACTGAGGACTGTCAGAACTTTTCACTGGTGTGATCATTTTGTCAACTGTCCTTTATTGAAAAAAAAGAATTGTACAAAATGTTAAAATACATTTACACTTATTATTTTATTATTGTATATTTATTGTGTTGTATTATTGTATGTTTACAGGTTGCATGCATATAAATTATATAAATGATCAAATGTATGTATATTTACAGTTAGTATGGAATGGATTCGTTAACAAGGGATACAAGCGATTTGGGAGGAAGTTCAGGAGAGAGAGGTAAGGAGGATTTACTCTGTTATATAGTACTTAATATTCTCTATAACAAAAAGACCGCCAAGACTTTTCTTCTTGAAAAGAAGTGCTGTTGATTAATATATTTTTTTTTAAACTCGTTTTGCTCTCTTTTTTGGTACACTGTACTCTCTTTGGATTGTGAATTTGTGATTTTGAAGACTAAATAAAAAGCAAAAGGGGGAAAAGCTCTTATTTATAGTAGTATACTACTTCATATTGCTCAGGCCTACTTTGTTACTTTGGATGGTGCTGCACAATCTCACTGTAGGCTCCGAAACGCTACAGTTATAGAGTGCCATCGTGTGGTCAGGTTACATTATTACACTGCAGTTGTTTACTAGTCATTTAATACAAAACTTACATGTTAAAAACCTATAATAATACCAAAATTGATTCACTAATATGTTCTCTCTCCAGTCATAACTGAAACAACATTTTCGACCAGCAGACTCACATCTTTACCACCAAGTAAGACACAGATTCTGCTGTTCATCCTCTCACAAAAACAGCTTCTTTTATTCTTTCTCTCATTTTGAATGTATTCTGTTGCTGCTCTTTGATTTACCTGTAAAATATTTTGTCTTTACAGTTTGACATTTATGTGCACAGTGTTATGAATGAGGGCCTGATTTTAATCAGAGAGATTCATTAAGATATATAAGGAGTAAAGGAGGAGAGTTTGAGAGTGATGAGACAATGTGTTTTTTGTTTTTTTTTATCGTTCCAGAGGGCTTCAGTGGATCAGGCAGTAAGAGCATGTCCAGCAGCTCTTGGGGAACTGGCTTTGAGAAGAATATTCTAACTCAGAACAGCAGCACTTACTTCTCATCCTGTAAGAACTTACAACACAAAATTATTCTTTCTGAATATTAACCCATTCATGTCTAACAACTAAGTTTAATATGATAAGCAAAAATTTCATACCTTCTCTAATTGGTTAAAAGTAACGACATTTGCTTTAGTTATCTCTTGCATGAATCTAACAGTGATTGAATAAAAATTATCAGATATAATTGTCATACGTTTATTCGCAATCAAGTTAATATTTTGGCAAACATTATTGGCCTAGGAGCTGCCAGTGACTCCAACACTGTAAAAAATAATTTCATGTTTTATTTTTTTTTAAATACAATTTTGAGTTCATGAAATTTTAAACAATAAGCTAAGAATATAACACATTGATTATTGCTCTGTTAACATACTATGAGCAGTTTAACATTTATTTTTAGCAGTTATTTACTGTAAAAACATTTTTTACAGTTAAACTTCATTACACATGTTGAAAACCTGAGAAGAACTCATTCATTTGCACTGTAGTCCTTGTAGATATTGAACATTGAGCCTTAGAATGTAGTAAATCTGCAAAATTTATGCATAAATCAATGGGTGAGATGTAAACAAAGTCTTTCAGAGTGGTTTTAACCTCAAATCAAGTCTTTCAAATTGTTTAAAATTATTTATGAAGTTGAATATATTCAAACTTTTAAGTTTAATGAAGTAGAAGACACAAACTATACTATTGCAGAAACTTGAGCTTTTAAGTTGAAGAAACTACTACACTACTACACTGTTCAATTTATTAAATTTTGCATCATGATCACAAGCTAAGATGTATGAATACTCTTTCAAAAGGGTTTTCAGAGTCACATAGTCTTATGCCAGCTTTAAGAAAAACTACTGGCTTGGCTGCAATTTAAGTTGTTTTATTGTGAACACACTGTCTACTTAGCAGAGATTCTAAACACACTCATAGTTATGATACTTAAAACATGTAAAGTGCATTCAAACTAACATTTAAAATATATATAACATGTGAGGGTGTTGTTTGTTTGAAAACATCTGAAGAAAAATTAGAGCTAATATAGAGAAATTAACTAGCTCACTAGAAGTTATGGGTGAATCCGCCCCATAATCTCTCAGTACTTGTCTTTATGAGTTTGTTCTGATCACAAAAATAACAGTACATTTTCCATTTCAGACAACTCACCTGGATTGAGTAATAACAACTTATTGAAAGAAAATAAGCAATTATAATGTGATTATTTAAGTACAAATAACGTCAGGGCTTTCAGTGTGACTCAAATTTCTCACAGTGGTGGTGATAGGAACCGGGGGTTGTAATGTTTACAATGCAAATATGGCCATTTTATTCACTACTGAAACCCACCAGTGAACCAATATGTGCCTTCTGAGTTTTATATGTAATATTGATGATGGTAAAATAGTGGTAAATTTGTTTGGCAAGGCAAGGCAGGACAAGGCATGTACCGCTCCACCTGAATGAGGTTTAACAATATATTTTAGACCAAAAGTTTGATTAAAAAGCCTAGTGTAAAACCAGGCAGTTTATACATAACCATTTCATGTAATAGATTTTGTGAGGGAGCTTTTAGAGGCATTAAATGCTTTGGATGTCTGGATCCTATATGAACAATTTTGACTCAGTAAGTTTCTCTAGAATGGAGCATTTCACATCAATCCCCTCTGAGGGCACTGGGACTTTGTTAACATCTTACTAGTTTAATTTTACAGACATTAAAAAAAACCCAGAATTCCGCTTTTATGAAATGTACTCCTGTCCTCTAGCCTCTGTGGGTGTCAATGCAGGCGGGTCAGGGTTTGAGTCTGGCCTGTATCTGGGGGATGAGTCCAGCGGGAACAGCAAGAGCAGAGGAGGAGGACGAGGAGGTAGTGAAATTGTGTCTGCATCAGGCTCAGGGTCAAAGGTCAGATCCAGCTCCTCGGGTGGAGTGAGAAGGACACAAGGCTCTTCTTCCTCTCTCGGCCACTCCCCCACTTTCATAGAGAGGAAGAGTATGACCAATCAGTCAGGAGGTTATGACGGTGAGTCCGGACATTTACAGCGTTAGCACACAAAGATAAAATAAAACAAGGAGTGAGAAAACTGGATTAAAAAGTCTGGTGTGTCATGTTTCAATACAAACACAGCAAATAATAAAATAATATTATCTGACGGTACTTTGGTCTTTGGTTTCTGTCTTTAGGAAGTTCAAGTGCCAACTCGTCGCCAGAGATCACGAGGAAAGACTATGGTCAGAAATTCAGCCTTCTATGAGTAATATGTGTTATAGTCATTAATGAATCATTAGTGAGTACACACCCAGATTTCTGAGAGGACGCACCCAGTTGAAGCACAGACCTGTATGCTTCTAAAAAAGAAGGTTCTTCAAGGGTTATTAAATAAAGACGGTGGCTCTATGTAGAACCCAGAACACCCAAAGAACCATTTGGAGAATGTGTTGTATATGGTTCTGTGTAGAACCTTTTTGAAAAGGGTTCTACATAGCACCAAAAAGTGTTCTTATATTGGTGCGATGTCAAGCTTGTAATAACAGAAGAACCCTTTATGGTGATATGTAGAACCTTTTTCAAAAAGGTTCTATGTAAAACCATATACAACACATATTCTATAAATCTGAAGAACCGTTTCACCATGCAAAGAACCATTTAAGCATGCAAATGGTTCTTTGAGTGTTCATGATTCTATAAAGGACCACTGTCTTTTCTAAAGAACCCTTGAAGAACCATCTTTTCTAAGAGTGTAAAGGTGTGAGGCAGGTTTAAAGAGTGGCTTTCCTGGTCAAGGATTAAACCTAATCCTGAACTAGGACTAGGACACCGATGCTGAGTCTGTTATATAACATGCTGTCTAAAGGTTGGTGATCTGAGAGAACGTAACTGTGTTCAAAGTGGCAACATCTCTCTCAAAGCACTCAAATACTTGACACACATCACGGTCATTAGCCTACCTCAGACAAAAAACAAGTAAACAAATAAATAACTCAATAAGAAGGAAGATAAAATGTGGAAAGAGTACATGTTGGAGGTGGCAAGTGCTGTCTTTCATTTGCATGGGAATATGCTGTGGGATATTAAGAAGAATTGATAGAATTTACATAAAAACAAGTAAATAAAGTATCAAGGGTGAAATGTCTTTAAAGACCTGCTGTGTGTTTTCTCCAGGTGCATCTAGAGGAAGATCTCAAAGCAGAGGTGAGCGTCATTACTAAATACACAACCGTCATCTCTCAGTGTCCGTGTGCTTTTGTGTGTTTTGTACACGCTACTGTACAAACAACAAAAATGATTAAAAATAAAGAATAAGTCAATAGCATATAACTGCTAAATGGTATTAGACTGATTGAGTCTTTGTCTTTTGCCACAGAGAGTGAAATCAGGGCCAGATTGCAGAGTGCTTCTCCCTCAACCAGATGTAAGTTTGTCTCCAAGCTGTACGTTTCCACTCAAATTATATATTTATTGAGATATCAGGCTTTTTTTTAATACTGTCTCACTGTCAGTGAATGAAATACTAAAGCAGTTCTTCTCCAGGCATGCACAACAATTTCTACTGATGTTGTAATGAAAGACAAAATGTTTTTTTTTTTTTTAAAAAAAGTAAATGTAAACAAACTAATACAATAAAATAAGTTTATAAATTAGTTGCTATTGATTTATTTATTTACTTATTAATAAGAATGTTATATTTTGAAAAAGAAAAAATACATTTTGAGGGGACCTTTTTTCCAAGGCCATGTATCAGGAATTCCACATATGTTCATATTTTTAACTTACTTAACAGATATACATTTTGCAAAAGACGGCCATGAAAATCTCAGCAGTTAGTATGTTTTGCTTAACACTACATTAGATTAAATACAAATACACAAATACAATAAAACAAGAATGTGAGTAATCTAAAAGCTACCAGATACACACATCAAATAGCAATGTATTGTTTATTTATATGTAGTTTTTAAAAAATAAACACTTACTGAGCAGGTAAACAGCTTGACGTATCATATTCAGATTCGATGAGATTTTCACACAGTGTTTTAATCTGTCTTCAGGAGTAAATCTGCTCCTTTATCTCCTGCAGTTGTACAGTTCCTAAAGCTGCAGTTATTGATGCCCTTTTCTTTTTATTGTTTTGATCTCATGTAGTCTATACATTTATTAATAACAATGACTTCTTTCTCTGGAGGCAATTCCAACTTTCTGCCCCGTCATAAGCTAATATGAGCATTTTTTAACAATTATATTCTTGTTAAAAATGCAGTGCAAATACTACAATCTTCTACAGATACAATGCAAATGCATACACTATGGACACAATGCAATGCAAATTCAACACAGCTCTGTCTATGAATTTGAAAGAACATGGCATATTGAGTGGTAAGTTGGCTGTTTTGTTGTTGTAGAGGCCACTCACAGGCATGTGGAGAATCAGTAAAGTGATTCGTTAACACTGTTTGATTTCAGGGACAGAGCTAGATGATGTGAAGAAGTTGTTAAAGGGCAGCCGCTCGTCTAGTGTCAGCCCCACACGTTCCTCCACCTCCTCCACCCTGCCCGTGCCCCGCAAAGCCACAGTGGAGACTAAGATCATCAAGCAAGGCACCCAGACTGGTATGAACACATCTCAGACTGAAAATAATAAGCTTTAGAGGAAAAAATAACAGACATGATTATTTAATAGACAAAAGATTGTTCTGTTTGCTTTTTCTAATTTGTAAGGTTTCTCATCCAACATTTTATAGAACCATTAGAAGTATGTATTCATAAACATCAGTACTTAAAATACAGTAGTTACTCTTAAAATAATAACTAAAATAAAATAAATAAAAATAAATAAAATTAAAATCACAAAATTTCCCCCTTAATCCAAACTGAGTCCATTAGCCAAGAGATGTTTGGTGTCCAAATTCTGCTTTTGAGTTACAAGGCTAATGTAGCTTACAAGTAATGACAGCTTGTAGTCACCAGATTAGCATTGTGCAAACTGCATATATAAATCATCACGCACTTACCTCAAATATAGTCTCAAGTAGACTCAAATAGACTCTTAAGTAGAATCTCAAGTGCTTATGTGGTTCCTGACCAGTGTTGGGGTTACTGACGTAATAAGAATAACGTTACTTGAGTTACTCCTATGTCTCTAACAGCAATATTAGTTCCACACGTTGCTTTTAAATAATATATTTTTTCTATGTAGATTATCTCTACCTGTCCATGTACATAATTTGCATGCACATGTGTGACAGCTGACTGTGTCACTGTGATTGTGAGAGAGCGCTCACAAGTACAGGAAGCGAAGAAACTCACCAGAAACCCAGCGAATAATCTGTTGAAGCATGTAATTATCCTAACTGATGGATAAAGACCCCCGTTTGGAGGAAGAGAGAGCCCCAAACTCACCTACACAGACCAGACTCAACTTTCATTCAGCTTTTTTTTTTATTTTGAGTTTTTTTTTCTATTTTAGGATTTTGGGCTGTTTTTCTACCATTTTAGTGACATGTTTCAAACAGTCTAAGCATTCAATCAGCATGACTTTGCTGTGTCTTGTTCAAAGGCAAAGATAGCAACAGGTCTTTTTAATGATATTTACTGTGATTGGTTATTTTTTACTAGATAAAGTACTGAAAGGAGTATTGTGTTTTTCCAGCACAGATTTGTGTGGGTTTTAGAGAGTAAAGTAGAAGTAAAGTAATGAGTAGTGAGTTCGCTTTTTTCTGGAAGTAATAAATTAAGTAATCCCATTGCAGTTTGAGAGACATAATTAGTCATTTGTGATGGATCATTCTTTCTGAGAAACTACCCCAGTACTGTTCCCGACGCTGTATGACATACTGTTATATATAAAAATGGACAAAAGTGCAAAAATTCGTACTTCAAGATTGTTACTACTGGTTTTAGCCCATTTCCAAGTGTCTGATGAATCTGCATAATGAAATCACCACAAATGTCCATTATTTGTTAGCTGTAAATTAAGTATTACATTTAAAAGCTAACTATGGACACCAAACTTATCTTGACTAATTCACTACACATGCAGTAAATGTAAAAAAGTGGGTCAAGCTGATTTGTTGGCCAAACCATTGCTTTAATATGCCTGGTTCTGTGTTGTCTGCACTTATTGCACCCTGACACCTTTTTTTCCAGTTTCAGGGCAGTATGACAGCAGCATTCTGGAGTCAGCACTCCCATCCTACACATGGACCAGCTCCACACTGCCCTCTAATGTCTCAACTGGGTCTGCCTTTGCCTATCAAAGCAGCACCAACAACATGTCAGCAGGATCTTCTCTTGCAAACAGCACTGCACCATCCTCACTATCAGGTCAGCATAAGCGTCATTAGACATCTTTATATTTCATGTCTATTGCCCAATTATTTATATTTCATGTCTACCATAGAGATGAAGCTGGTGGCAAGTAAACCGAATGTTCACCTGTTGGTGAAGTTCACCTGTTGGTGAAGTTGAAATATTAATTATTGGAACCAACTTGCAGTAAAATAAATGAAATCTCCTTTGATTTGCAGTGTATGGCTTCCAGAATAACCTTGCCCCAACCTCTAGTGCAGTTCTTACATCTAATGGAGTTAACATGTCAAATGGAGTTAACACATCAAATGGAGTTAACTCATTTAGCGGAGTTAACACATTCAACGCAGTTAATGCTCATTCAGGTAATGTCCTGCTGAAATCTAATGTGAGTGAATGATGTGTAATGAAATTAATAGAACTAGCACTTTAGCATTATTAATAATTATTGTGTGTTTTTGTTGTCCAGGATATGGTGTGCAGAAAAACCTCTCTCAGAGTGTAAGCAGCTCTGGAGTTGTTAGTACTGGAGTCTCCACTTCTACAGGTAATTGTGATATCAATGATATTTAATAAATTTGCCCTGTCATGATGAATGGATGAATAGAAATGCTCTGAAACTGCTTAGAATAAAAACTCTTTACATCAACTTACATTAAAAGTAAAGAACATTTTTGCCTTGCTTGTTTTTTTTGGACATTGCACGGTAACGCAAGATAAATGTAAGATATTTTTCTCATATATATATATATATATATATATATATGGTATTGCTGTCCAAAGAAAAACTACAAGATAGTAACTTTACAGGAGAAGGCAAAACACTCTTACCTTTCAATGTAAGTTAATGAGTTAAGTTAATAAAGAGGTTTATATATATATATATATATATATATATATACAAAATGAAGAATGGACCAAAAGAAACAGCTCATAATGGCTTGGTAAAAAGTCTGGTTCCATTGACTTACATTAAAAGTAAAGTAGGTTTTTTCCTTCTCCTGTTTTATTTTGGAGATACAAGGTTTTCTTCCGACAACAGCAATATATATATGTCTAGAATTGTTTTTGAACTGATGCATGTTTACCAAATTGCCCCTTTCCCTCTCTAGGCACTGCTGCACAGTCAGTCAAAGATGATGTACCACGAAAATACATTATACTTGAGAAGGAGAATATTCCATCAAAAAGGGACACAGAGGTGCTCATTCTGTCTAAAGATAGTGGAAAGCACTTCTCCAGCAGCATCCCTAATGGAAAAGGTGGTAAATACATGTCCTTATTTGACAGTAATACATCACTGTGGCTGCGAATTCACAGCATCAAATGGCCTTTGAATGAATAAGTTGTTGTAATGCTCTGGTGTAATTGAATTTTAATGTAGTCATGCTCTGACACATGCTTGACACTACCATCTGTACTTTAAAGGGTCCATTTCAGATGTTTCACTGAAGAAGGAGACTTTGGCAACGAGCTACGCTGAGGCTGCTCCTGCCAAATCTGCCTCAGGCTCCTACTGTAAGGATTTGTGTTATTCTGTAGCATCTCCCTACGTGCTTCCATTCATCCTCTTTAAATATTTCACTAATGAAGAGTCTTTCTTTTTAGTTGACCGCGGGATGAATAGATAGATACAGTACTTTACAAAAGTCAGAGACAATCCTTTCATTTGTTTAATTTCAAGTCAAAACGGCCACTAATGGCAAGTTATTCATTTTGCGGTGGTGGGAAAAAATAAACATATATTTAATAGAAAATTACTCGGAGACCTAAACGTTAAACATACTATTACATTTTCAGTGTTTACCATGTGTTTAATCTTTACCTTCCATTCTTTTCAGGAAATATGCTTTTATTTTTTCAATGAAATTTGCAGATATGTTTTTTCATACCCCCAAATTTCTTAAAAGTCTTAGAAGTTGGTTTCATGTTCTGCTTCTTGAAATCCAAGTTATTCCAGTTACAGATTTAGACTCATCAGTCCACAAAACCTTACCTCATCTCAGATTTTTAGTTTCAGAAACTAAGAGGAAAATATGTTCTATTTTTTCTCTAAAAAGAAAATTACAGAAATATCTCGTTTAGCCATTTAAAATGCACAAAAGAAAGAAATTTGCAAGGCGGCTAAGGTATGTTGGAAAAGCTGCTAGTGTTAATGTTAGTGTCTCATTAAAGGGTATCAATGGGCCTTCACCGACAGTTCTTAAGAAGAAATTTCTTAAATTCTAACCTGCATCATACATACTGCCCACCCCCTATCACCTCCCCCCACTCACTCACACACACACACACACACACACACACACACACTTAAGGCTATTGCATCTGATCCAGCCAATCAGTGACTTTTGAAGAAGTTAATTAGCTGGAGCAGGTGTGGCTGATTGTGGTTGTAACTAGACTTTGCAGGAAGGTAGGTCAGGGTTGGTGACCACTGCTGTAGACTAAACAACCTCTAAATATATTGTATTATTGTTGCTTTAATGTAAAAATAAATAAATAAATAAATAAAGTCCTTTTTTATTTATGTTTTTAAAGATGGATCTTCTGTTGTGCCAACAAAAGATAAAGCTACCTATGCAGGTAATGTCTGATTATTATTATGTTTATTAGGTTTACTAGTATAATACTGCTGTTAAAACTTCAGACAGATGAATTTGGACCTGGTGAATCAGTGATTTTTCTCTTTCCTTCTCTGGTTTTTACAGAGATCCATAATGATAAGGGCTATGATAAAGGAGGAGGGGGCTGTTTCGGCTGCGGTCCAAGCTGCTGTTCCTGGTGGAAGTGGCTGCTTGGGCTGCTTCTCAGCCTGCTGCTGTTGCTTGGCCTGCTGTTTGGACTAATTGCTCTCAGCCAAGCCCTTAATAAGCAAGGTGTGTCCTTCTTCCATCTGTATTTCGTTGGTCATTTTTGTAGACATTCACATTTCTGTCCGCAAATACTCGTTAATGACAGGATCTCAGTATTTGTACCTGTATGTATAAATAAACAGTACTAAGCACTCCACATATGTTCCTTGACAGCGGAGGAGGTGAGGGTGCTAAAAGCTCGTGTGGATGCTCTGGAACGCCTGCCTTCTAGCGGTCAGGCCCACGCCAGCCGACAGACTGGCAGCAGTGACATAAACAGCCTGCAGTCCGGCAAGTACATGGACAGCGGAGCGGTCAGTTCTGATAACAGTCTGAGTTTGGGAGCTGATTCTGTCTCAGACACTACTGCCCTTCAGAAGACAGTACAGGGATTACTGCAAGCTGAACTGCAGACATTTAGAGGTACTGAAACACACACACACACACATGCTCATTTAAATATACAATCATGCATGCACATACACACACTCGCTCACATATACACAAGCACCCAAAGTACTGCTTACACTAATATTATGTGGTGTATTTGTGAGTGAGCAGCAATCAGTATTATCAAATGCGAATTTTCTGTTTTTTATCTGCTATATTTTTCATTACATATTTAGCAAAAAATAGATTCATACAACAAATGTTTGGTTGTTTTCAAAAGCTTGTATGTTAAGTATGTACTTAAGTAAGTACTAATTATATAAAGTACACAACTAACATTTAAAATAATTCAAAATGAATTTATATATACACATATATATATATATAATACACATAACAAATATATATGTATATATTACAAATATTGTATAAGTATTGATTTAATACACCATTGATTCAATGTTTTGTTTTTACATATTCCCACATAGCACTATGAGGATAAGCATCAGTTGTTTTATCAATATGATATCTGAAACTTAGATCACTTTTAATAAATGTTTAAAATGAAAGTCCAAACATCTAAAACTGTTTTTTTTATCTCCATGTTTTCTACAGCCAGCCTTGCCTCCTCAGTGAGAGGAGAAAGAGGACCACCAGGGCCCAAAGGTAAGACACAGAAAAGTGTCACTACGTAATTCATTTTTAATTTTTCTTCAAGCAATGTTCAAGGAAGCTCTTAACATTCAACACTAATTGTGTTTTCAGGTGACACTGGAGCTCCAGGACCCAAGGGTTTGTACAAGTTGTTTTTTTCCCACTGTTCGTGTAAATCTCCAGTGATGAATGATCTGCTGTGGAAATAAAAGTCAGACATTTTAATGAAGTACTAACGTCTTGTTAGGATATTTTGACTGTCATGAGAAAACCTAAAACAACTTCATTCTTAATTAACAGTGGTTACCCCTGTAGGTCCAAAGTTATAACTACATAACAAACATAGTAGTTTTATACATATTAGTTTTGGTAATTTATAGTAGTTACTGAATTATAAGTCTCAATATTAATAACTGAATAGTGTGCCTATGATTTAAGTAAATAAAATGGTTACTAGGTTTTCATATAACAGCAATGATTTGTAGAAGTATATGTGTTTGTGGACAACATGGCTAACATTTTATATGCTTTTCAGGACATGATGGTATTCCAGGAGCACCAGGTAAATAAAAAAAAAGATTTGCTCAGATTTCATACTTATCTGTTACATCATCTTCACTGTTGGTGAAATAATGTCCATTTGTAGGTCTTCATGGAGCAAGAGGAGATCCAGGCCCCGAAGGGCCAAAAGGACAAAAGGGAAGTGCAGGTTAGTTTTTTCTGTGTTTCCTGGAAAAGAAATCAATCCCTAATTATGAAGAAAAATAGAGATGCTTAGTTTTTTTGGACAGTGACTATCAGCCTTTTTGCTTTAGTGTGGTGCAGTCTTCAGTGTCTTATCTGCAGACTTATTAATACTTTTTGAAGCATCCCTTCAGAATATAAGAAGCCTCATAATGGCCCCATCTCATCATTAGTTTTTGTTTGTCCCTGTATTTTGCAGGCGATCATGGTGCAGAGGGACCACAAGGAATCAGAGGTCGAGATGGGCTTCCAGGGCCTAGAGGAGAGCCAGGCCCAGCAGGCTTTGGAGAGAAGGGTGAAAGAGGTCAGAGTCCATTTGTATTTATTTTAAAGCTATTTGAATTCATTTGCTTGAATTTTTTTTCTAGCTTCAGTGCGAATAGTGTAGCATAAGTAATTAGACAGTGTTGACATTTTTTGCTTCTTATTCCAGTACAATAGATTTGTACAGTGACATTGCAGTTAAAGTGCAGGTCAGGTTTATGAGGATATTTGCATGGTATTTGCAACTATATTGTGTAAACCATGTACAAAGCCACACACAGCCATAAACATCTTTGATTGGAAGTTAGAATTCTGCTCTTTAACCTCACAGTTCTCACTGAGTCACATTAGAGTCAATATGCTGGATTATAATGCAACAAATATCATAATTACTTATGAACTGCACTGTAGTATCAACAACAGTGTTAACGGGTTAAACACACTATTTACAGTAAAATAAGAGAGCTGGTCATTTTGAGAACTTTGAGGACTGTATGACTGATTCACTGAGCTATATTAGAGATGATGAAAAACACTGTTAGAAACATCAAGACTGCATAAAAGAATCAGTACTTAAACTACTTGGATTTGGGCTTTGATGCTGACGTGTCCAGGTACATCTTCAATACATCAGCACAGGGTGAAGAAGATCATCATTATTGTTTCTTTTAGGGTCTCCAGGGGATGCAGGAGCTCGTGGCCCACCTGGTCCAGTTGGCCCACCTGGTCCAAAAGGTTAATTCAGACTTCTAGATCTTGCTTGTTTGTTTATGTCATGTGATGATTCTTTATTTTATATGGCCTACTTAATGTACAACATTAAAATATACACAATTTCAGGTACAAAGGACACTGTGTTCTGAAAATGTGCCTTAATAAGTGGATTTTTTTAAATATATGTAAATGATCTGTTCTTCAGGTTCTGCAGGTGTTAATGGAATACCAGGTTTACCAGGTATGCACTATAACTCCTGTGATAAACTGTTTTAGTCATGATGACAGGCTTTATTAGATCAAAAATGATAACCTGTGATATGTCCTGTGCAGGTGAACCAGGCCCACAAGGCTTCAGAGGAGAACCAGGCCCTGCTGGACCCAAAGGCAAGCTACATGACTGTGATACTTAAGATTTAAGCACTGATGACTTCAGTTCAATAAATAATAATACTTCTAATAATGTTTATATCAAAGGGCCCCTATCCTATAATTTTATTACATTTATTTTTTCTCCCTGAGGTTTACTTATAGCATTGAGTGTGGCTTTATGTGCCAAAAACAGCCATAATGAGTTTTTATATAACCCTCTCTATCCCTTAGAATTAAACAGGCTGTTTTTGCTGCTGTGCCTTTAAGACTGGTATGTGTAAATGAGCTCTGTTCTAATTGGCTGCCCTGTATTGTGCCTCGTTCAAAATGCAGTCCAGGCTGAAACACTCTTTATAACTTCAGCGTGAATAAGTGGGGCTAAACTACTGTAGGGAGAATAGGCAGATATATGTAAATGTGTTGGTTAGTGACATCACAGAAACCTTGATTTCAAACCAAACTATTTTTGCAGCTTAGAGTGAACAGTATGTTTTACAACTTTAGCAATGTTTTTGTATTATATCAATCTATTTTATTTGAAAACATAAGGAAAATTTTTGGTTATATTTTGAACTTTAGGGGACAGAGGGGCTGCTGGACCACAAGGAATTAAAGGTTTGTATCTAGTAATATTTTGCAGTGTACCATAGCAGCTAACATAAGCGTTTACAATGTAGTCCATGAATTTACTTTTATGATGAAATTTATATTTTTTGATACAGGTGATCATGGTGAAAAGGGAGATCCTGGCATTCCAGGTGAGTGTTTTTGTACATGTTCAGAAAGTCTTTCAAGAATCAGTTTATTTGTGAAATAACAGTGCTTAGGCCTCTGTGATTTAATCTCCTGTGATTTGACCATTTCATCAGGTTTTGCAGGACCTCCAGGGAGACCAGGAGTGGCCGGTGAGAAAGGAGCCAAAGGGTCAGCAGGTGAGTAGCAGAGATAAAACACAACCTGACATATTGATAGTCTGTGTAGCTTCACAGTTACAGTGTTAATTAGTGATCAGCAGTTGTTATATTGCATGAATTACATCATCCTTATCTTTACTCTCATTAAACATAGTCATACTGAAAGCAGACTCTCAGTGTAACATGTTATAAGAAAAACAGATGAATTTTTTCAGGATCACCAGGAGCAGACGGTGAAAAGGGTCAAAGAGGTAAATTATATCATAGCAAATTATTTACTGAAGTGTCTGATAGCAAAAACTTCATAATATAAATGTTTGTGTGGATCCTAAGGTGACCAAGGACCAATCGGATTGCCAGGAATCAGAGGGCCAACTGGGCCACCAGGTGATGCAGGACCTCCAGGTATTACATTACATTACATAAATGCGTAACTGTAGTGTTTTCTGAGCTCTAAGAATGAATTTTACTTAATATTTTGCATAATTGGAATTTACAGCAACAAAGACTTTTTAATAGTAATACTAGCAGACTCCATCCACTGCAACATACATTCTCTTAGTTCTCTATGCTGTTAGGAAACTCAGTGCTGAATGAGTGTTGGGTGATTGTGGTGCAGTTTTAGGATTTTCTGCCTGAGAATTTAATGTCTGTTCAACTGAAGTAAATATAATTTGAGAAAAATTATGTTTTAGATATAGACTTGGTTTCAAATGTGTCTGTTGTTTTTTCTTGGATTAGGAGTTCCAGGGCTTCAGGGACCACCAGGTAATTCATGCCACTAGTATGAGTTATACTTTTTTATTTAAATTGATTACTCTTAGGATAAATAACACTCTTTAAAATGTTGCAAATCAATTCTGACAACAACATTCTCCTTTATACAGGTATTGCAGGAAATCCTGGACAACCTGGTGTTAAAGGTTTGTAATGATGCTTTATACCTTTAGGCTATACATAAATACCCTCAGTGTTTTACCAAAACCAAAACGGTAACTTTACAGAAGAAGAACGTTTCATGTACATTTATGTAACAGTGTTTTATTTTTAGTAATTTAAACCATTCTCTTAGCCCTTTTATCATGTAATGTTAACACAGTGTAAAGAGCAGCTGCTGTGCTCAATTGACGTACAAAAATAATAATGGAAAAAAATGATACTGGTTTTGATAGGAGAGTGACTATATAATAAAGATGTGTTGTCACCATACATATTGGACATATTGCTTTACATGTGATAACTTTGTATTGTTTTGAAATGATCATTTTAGGCACGTTTGTTGATATAGTGCGTTCTCATAGGTGTCACTTTTTTCTATTTGCGTTTACAATATTACAGGTGAAACTGGTGAACCTGGCAGAGTTATCAATGCAGGTAAAGCCAGGATGTGACAGACATTGATTTACATTTTTCAATGAGTTTATTAAAAGTCTTCATTCTTGGTTAAGATTAATAGCATCTCTTACATAATTTGAATCAGCTGTAGGAGCTAGCTCTGTGGCAATCCCTGGACCACCAGGACCCCCTGGACCACCTGGACCTGCTGGTTCACCAGGACTGTCAGGTGGGTCACTGAACTGACTTTCATCCTGCCGGGTCTGATTATTAAGTTGGAGATCACTGCCCAAACGTTGTGCTCTATTAACCATATATGTTTTATCATTGTAGGTCCTGTTGGTCCTGCTGGCCTTCCTGGCCAACCTGGTAACGTTCAGATTCAATTATGTTTGCAACAATATGTATTTTGAGCAGTAAGACTATGTGGGTTCTAGCTTCACCATGTAAAACTAGAATTTTCTGATTGAAACACAATCTACAACTGAATTCAGAATATAGCTGATTATACCGCCTTTCCTTGGGGGAATCTAGAGTCCTGTTTATCCAGTAGTCACAGAGTCCAACTCTCTGTGCAACAATTTATTTACCCTTCCTTTTGTCTGTACAGGTCCTAAAGGTGATAAAGGGGATCAAGGAGAAGCCGGAATCTCAGTGGAAACCCGAGACAGCCCATCTAGAGGTAAAAATGGTAAAAATGAATTCCCTTCATTCTAATTATCCCTAAATTGAATTAGAAAGCTAAGAAATATCATAATGTGTTGAATTAAGAATAATGATAACATTTGTACATTGTATGTCTTTCAGGACCATTTGGTTCTTCAAGTGTTTCCCAGGTTGTTCAGGGTCCACCTGGCCCACCTGGTCCCCCAGGACCTCCTGGACGCCCAGGTACATGAACATCACCAGTGAATGCAAGATGATAAATCTACACTCAGATCATCGTAGCTAGCTGTCGCTGTGCATCAGCATACCTTGCTTTGTAAACTTTACACATAATAATAAGTTAATGAAGAGAGAAATGAGAAAACACCATAGCTTACCATACCTGCTGATGCAGAGGCAGAAATGGTCCATAGCATAGTGAAAATTCATGGGAATCTAGAGGATGTGACAACATGACTTGCTGTTATGTGGGTAGTTCAATAGTAAATACAGTAAAGTAGAACTATATGGTGTCAAAGTAGTCTTGCAATGACTTATACTATGTACTATTTCTTTCATTGTTTTGTAGGAGACTCTAGACCTGGACCTCCTGGACCACCTGGAGAACCAGGCCAGCCAGGTATGACTGATTAAATTGACGTGTTCGTTAAATTAAGACTTAAAACCAGGAAACCTGATCATCATATTTCTGCTACATGTTTATAGGATATGGTAGACCTGGAGCAAGAGGAGAGAAGGGAGATAGAGGAGAACCAGGAAGTTTTGTGCCCAACTCAGGTCAGCTTTTATGTTGCTTGGTCAAATTATTGCCATGTCATGCTAATTAGTTTATATACAGCTATATATATATATATATATATATATATATATATATATATATATATATATATATATATATATATTCAATAGCTATTACCAAGTGTGTTCATGCAACTAACAAAAACTTAAATTAAAAAAAAAACAGGAACATTTTTCGCTGGACCACCAGGACCACCTGGGCCTCAAGGTCCTAAAGGAGACACAGGTGAGATATAGCATTATGACATATAGATTCAAATAAAATGTAATAATAATAACAATTAAAATCATCATCATCATTTTTATCATTATCATCAACTCTTTTAGGATCCCAAGGACCCAGAGGATACCAAGGTATGAAGCCTTACTAGCTCAGTAATAAACCAAGATAAAGAATGGTTCTTTTAGATTCTGGTTTCTGTTTTCACTCAAGCTCTTACACCATGCTGATGTGTTGTTTTGCTCTGTAGGAGAGCCGGGTCAGCCTGGCCTGCCTGGAAGATCAGGAGGATCAGAAGCTAGATGTGAGTTGAGGATAAGATGAAGCAATATTGTTTCAGCTCTTAGTGGAAATGGTTACTTCTTTTACACATTAAGTGCTTGACCAGTTGATTGTTTTTTTAGGAGTATTACTGTTGCAGAATTTTATAGCATATTGATGTTATTTGGACTATTGAGTGTGTCACACTCAATGAATGAATGAGACCCTGGTGATGTTATTCTTTGCAGTTTCTGGTTATGGAGGAGTTCAGGGGCCACCTGGGCCTCCAGGGCCTCCCGGGCCACAGGGTCAAAAGGGTAAATCAACTCTAAATCAATCAGTTTAATAAACTTGTATGAACATGACAGTGAGCATTTACTAACCTACTGGTGTCTCATAGGTGACAATGGAGTTCCAGGTGCTCCAGGCATCCCAGGAACATCAAGAGGTAAAATTATTTCTCTTTATCCCATGACAAAACTGAAACATACAGACATTTCTGGTTGGAACCCAGTTTCAGAATCGTCATATGTTGCTGTTTCTAGGCCCTTTATTCACAAGCTTTACCATTACCCAGAAGGCTCTGCTTCTGGTAGCATCTATTATCGTAAAAAGCTATGTTGTTTTCAATTCTCTTTCTCCTCTAGTAATTGTTTTCTCATTTCCAGGTTCAGTTGCACTCGGTGCCTCAGGGCAACCTGGCCCCCCAGGCCCTCCTGGACCACCTGGCCCCCCTGGACATTCTGGATCTGCTGCTGATTATCGCCATTACATCATGGAGTACATGCAGAGTAGGTTTACACCTTAAAATCTGAGGCTTATTACATACTAAGGCTTATTATTTAGTAATTACAGTGACTTCAGTGCAAACAGGCTGAGCTATTCTTATATTACAGAAGTTTGTAATAAAACGTTGGCCCTGCCGGTGGGCCCTGGCCATTTAAGGGATTGAACTGCTCTGTGTGAATATGACATATATAAAGTGCTCGGTATTTCTCCAAAAATGTATTTGTATATCGAATGGAAGTTATGTTTCTATATTAACGTGTCACACATGGCCTTCAGGTGATAGCATGAGGCGTCAGATGTCCAGTCTCCAGGGCCCTCCTGGCCCTCCAGGACCTTCAGTGTCCATTGAGGATGTGGCAGCACGAGTCATCGCCTATCTTCAGCGTAAGTCTGGTAACTCCAAACAATCAAATCAAAGAACCATTTAAATGCGTCTTTGTATGGTTAATTGGCTCTTCTTTATAATGAAAAAAACCTGTTGTATGGTCTTTAAAGAACCTTTATAAAATTATTCTGTATAGAACCAAAAAGGGTTCTGCTATTGTTAGAACTTGTTCGGTACTATATAATTTTTGCTAATAGCATAGGACCTAATCTTATCAGTTATCATGCTGCATGCATGCCATAGTGCATTAATGCATTAATGCATAATTGTACCTGCACTGAGGATAATCTGAACCAATAAAACACATTCTTTGTATACAAATGGTTTAATTAAATAAAAAGCTAACATATGAAAATGCTTAGATTCCAGGACATTTTGTGTGCAGGAAAGAAATTGTTTTCAAAGTCCAGGACTATCCAGGAAAATGCTAGATGTGTGGCAACCATATTTTTATAATCACATAATAGATCTTGTATCTAATTTTTTACACAGGAATGTGTAAGTTGGCATTATTATAGTCATCACACCCAGCTTTGCAGTTTTTAGTATAACAAGCTTCATTTCTACACTACTGCTATGCTAGCTAGCCTCATCATAATACCAAGTGTTATCGGTGATTGTAGAGCAGATGATGGGAAGAGTGTTCCTAAAAATAAAATTTAAGAACAACTTCAAAAATGAAATCACATAAAAATGCAATTGTAAATGTATTTTTTAAAGCTTTTATGTACTTTCACATTCAGTAACTGAACTACTGATGTAGAGGAGTCTGCACTGTAAATTCGTTGCTACTAATAGATAAAACACAATTTAAAAACGATAGTTAGATTTTATTGTATGAGCCACGTTTGAAGCCGTTGTAAAATACTTAATAGGCCTGCAGCCTTTATTTTGTCTGCATGTCTGGACTGTAGATGCTGAGTAATATTGAAAATGTTTGTTCCAGGTTCTGGAATAATTGCTGGAATGAGTGGTGGAGTAAGTGGTGGAGCGAGTGGTGGAGCAAGTGGAAGAACAAGTGCTGGATCAAGTGCTGGATCAAGTGCTGGATCAAATGGTGGATCTAGTGGTGGATCTAGTGGTGGATCTAGTAGTGGATCTAGTAGTGGATCTAGTAGTGGATCTAGTAGTGGATCTAGTAGTGGCATTTCTGTCAGTGACATCATTGCATTATTACAGAGTGAGTATTGTATGTCAACACTGATGTAAAACTGCCTCAGGTACTCATAACTCAGTTTCAGTCCTTGCTGAACAACACTGTGTTTTTGGTTCAGGGGACGATGTTAGACGTTATGTAATTGGCCCTCCAGGACCACCTGGCCCAGCAGGAGGCGTAAGCCTAGCCAATATAGACACACAGGAAGTGGCGACCTATGTCATCAGAATAATGAATGGTTTGTTTCTTTCCAAGCTTCTTCTCAAATCTCTTTTTGCTAAGAATAAGTTATGTGACTGAAAATATGTCTTTGTTTTTTAGAGCGAGGACTGACAGGTAGACCTGGACCTCCTGGCCCACCTGGTCCTCCTGGACTCCCTGGTCAACCAGGGTCCACCTACAGTGACATCACTGCTTTGATTGAGAGTAAGTCTAAGATTTTTGTGAACAAGACTTTGGTTACACTTTCTATAAAGTATAAAATAGCTCATAAAATATGAGCTATTTTATCTATAATGTCAGTTCTTTTGGCCTCTAGGCTTACCGTTCAGTTTTTATCTCTTTAATCCTGAAAAATCCTTTCTGCCTTGAAATTGCATTTAAGGTAGCACAGAATTTAAGGTGGCACTGCATTTACAATGGCACTGAAGTGAAGGTAGCAGTAAATTTAAAGTGGTAGTGTATTTAAGGTATCAGTAAATTTAAGGTGGCAGTGAATTTAAGTTATGATTACAGTTAAGGTGGCACTGAATTTAAGGTGGCAGTGGATTTAACGTAGCAGTTTAAGGTAGCAGCTAACAACACATTACCAACCACCTTGGATACCATAGCAACCACATAGCAGTATCAAAAAAACACTTAAGCAACCATCAACATTCCAAAATGTTAACGTTTTATTGTAATTAGCTGGCTTTTTCAAGCCAACTTAAGGTTTGTTCACAAACTTTATCTTTCTGATTTCATTTTATTTTTTGACATTTTCTGTTTTTTCCTCCTTCACATTTGAATATTTTCTCTGTAGGATCAGGGCTTGGTGCAAGTATTGGTCATCCAGGGCCTCCTGGTCCTCCAGGGAGACAGGGCCCACCTGGCCCAGCTGGCCCATCAGGTGTCTCAGGTTCAGGATATCGACTTGAAGACATCCAAGTCTATCTGCAGAGTGAGTTCCTCTCTATAAATGTTCTTTCCTCATGAAAACACAGTGCTGCCAGTCTCATTTTAAAAAGTACTGTTTTTTCCCTTCCCTCATGTGGATATTTAGATTCTGGCTTCACGGGTCCTCCTGGCCCACCTGGCCCTCCAGGACCTCAGGGGCCTCCAGGGAACTCAAGGAGCACAGTTTCATATGACAGAGCAAGCCAAAGTTCACTCATTCGTGCTGAGCTTCAGGAGTACCTCAACAGTGAGTTTGGTATCTGCCATATATTCAATCAGCTGATCGTCTTTGGTCCTAGACAGTGTAGTAGACCAAATGATTATGAAGCAGAATAGGAATGTGAAACAGTTTCACTAAATATACCATTCAACATAGCTTTCAGAGGGACACACACAACGGGCTGTTGCTGTTGTATGTGATAACTGAGTGAAGCTCAGTGGATCATTATAGCATCTGGGCTTTTTCAGGTGACTCTATGCGGCGCTACACATCTGGTCTGCCTGGTCCTCCTGGTCCTCCAGGGCCTCGTGGTGAGAAAGGTGACCGTGGCGAGCCTGGATACAGTACTGGTGGTGGTTACTACTACGGTGCTGACCGTAATGGGGCCAGGTTGACCGAAACAGACTACTCCAGTGTTGCTTTGAGAGTGACCGACTACATTCGGAGTGAGTGAAGTTCACTTTCTTCAACAAGCACCGCTAGTATAAGTTTGAAAATGTCATCATAAGTACTTTTGGACAGGATAAGCTAACAGGACACAGGACATCTGCAATGTTTAAGATTAAAAGGGGGTAACAGTTCTGTTTATAAATAACAGATAGGACTGTCTATTGATGGTCAACACAGCAAAAAAGGTGACCTTGTGTCTGCCACTTTTAGGCTCCTTTTTCAGGCTCAATTTAGGCTGCAGACAAATGCAAGGATGTAATGAAAATATGTCCAACATGACAACTGATACACCCTGAAGTTATTTCTCCATTTCTTCTTATAGTAGGTAAAAGGCAGCCATCTCCACAGATGCAAGGATGCATAGTTCCTAAGTGTTTACTGACATTATGGATTCACATAGGAGTAAAAATCACATAGATGCTCTGGTTGTATTACATCACCTCCCCCCGTAAAACTAACTCCATATATAGTCCTTTAGGCATTATGTCTTAACTTTGTGTAGAAGTAATTCAGTTATGCCTGATGCTTGTATTTGCATGTATATTATATTTGAACCATTAAATATTATATCTCTCCTCATTGAGACTAATCACCTGTTTCCCTGTCAGGTCAGGGTCTGCTTCAGGAAATCAATGATGAGTACTGGCGAGGACACTCCATGGGCATCCAAGGGCCTCCTGGACCTCCTGGTCCACCAGGTCAACCTGGATACAGCCGTGTTTTTGCTGCCTACGGGAATGTGACCGCTGATCTTGTGGATTTCTTCAGAAGTGAGCGTCTTTCTGTCTTTAGTTGTAAGACTTTGATTATGACAGCATGACAGAGGCTGTAGAGAGCAGGAGTGAAAATTACATGACTATTAAGTGACTGTCCTCTGTTATCATACTTAAGCATTATTTTGAAAGTTTTGTACTTAACTAAAATATTATTGAAATTAAATACTTGTACTCTTCACTCTTAAAAATATGGTTCTTCAAGGGTTCTTTAGTAAAGACAATGAATCTATATTGAACCATTAACACAAAGAACCTTTTGCATGCTTAAAGGGTTCTTTGCATCATGAAATGGTTCTTCAGATTGACAGAGAATGTTTTTATATGGGTCTATATAGTACCTTTTCACAAGCTTGACATTGTAACAACAGCAGGACCCCTTTTGGTGCTATAAAGAACCCTTTTCAAAAACCTTAATCTGCATCAATCTTAAGAACACTTTAATCTTGCAAAGGGTTCTTTGAGTGTTCATGGTTCTATATAGAACCACTTTCTTTACTATAGAACCTTTGAAAAACCATCATTTTAAGAGTGTAAAGCCATTTTCAAAAAGGTTGTATATAGAACCATATACAACACATTCTCCATCCATCTGAAGAACCATTTAATGATGCAAAGAACCCTTTAAATATGCAGATGGTTCTTTGAGTGCTTATGGTTCTATATAGAGCCATTTTCTTAACTACAGAAACATTAAAGAACCATCTTTTTTAAGAGTGTTGGTTACATTTCCAAGAGAAAAAAACAACAGTTTTCACTACTTTTCATTTAAAGTATTTGTTACAAATTTAGAAAGAAAGACTTTCTCTCTTTTTTATTTTTACCTTGCCAATTAATCGAATTCCTGCACATTTAAATTTTTTTGTATTTAAACATCCAATTAAGTTCATATAGATATAATATAAATCCTCCCACAGCTATGGGCTAATTCATCTCTGTGTGAAGACCAGCAATGCCCATCTGTCACTGCATCAAACTAAAACAGGAATACTAATTTATTTGGTAGAACATTTTTTTTACTTGTATATACTTGAGGATGTACTGCAGGAATTGTATTTAAGAACATTATTTGTCGAAGCTGCAAACATTTTGAATGAATTTTCATGAGCTCTGTATACACTGATTAAATGCTTGCATTATCTTTGGAAACAAGAAAGGCCAAACAGTAAATGTTTTTAATTATTACCTGTCTGTGTTTATCGGTTTATTACAGTATACCTGACTATTGTTTACTCTTCCAGTACATGGCACTATTCCAGGCCCCCCTGGAAGACAAGGACAGAAAGGAGAAAGAGGATATCCAGGACCCAAAGGAGATAAAGGTATCTTTGGAGGTTTATCTGCTTTATTAGAGCCAAATGTCCAACAGTGCTGCTGACACAGGTGTTCAGTTGCGCACAAACAGCTACATATAATCTGCACAGCAAAGCAAGTCTCCATAGATGGGACACTCTGGAGCAGCTGTGCCTAAGCATAACATATTATGCCTGCCCAGTGCCAAGCATCAGCTAGAGGGGTACAAGACCCCCAGCACTGGGCTGTGGAGCAGCGGAACTGCTATATGGAGTGATGGAGCTCCATCCAATATCTTTTGGATAAATTGGAGTAGCGTTCCTGAGCTAGTCATCATGTTGGATGGACCTGAGTTAATACAATCAAATCTTCACAGCAGTCTTCCAACTTCTAGTGTAAATCCATCCCAGAAGAGTAGAAGCTTTTAATGCAGCAGAAGACGATAAACTCCCTGTTAAAACTCTTGATTTCAGTAGAAATGTTGGAAGAACAGGTGTCTGCACACTTTTGGATACGTAGTGTATGACAAATGCTTTAACCAATGTAAACACTGAAAAATAGATTGATCTCAAATATACTTGAATGTAATTTAAACTTGAATTGTTTGAATACTCAATAAATTCAAATCCAGTAAATCAAGGGTTTTGTTCCAAAATGCATTCGGCATCACTTTAATAAATTTTCTTTCTTTTCTTTTTTTTTTTTATAATATGGATCATTCTACCGAATTGGTTGAAAGTCAGAGGTCAAAACACATATCAGACTTCTAACTGACTTGGACATTTTCATGTCTAGGTGAGACGGGAAGACAAGGAATACCTGGTGTTCAAGGGCCGAGAGGTCATGAGGGGCCAATGGGACCAAAGGGTGAGAAAGGTAAAGCTGTGCAACAGTCACTGCAAACACTGTAACATTCTGTCATATAACTGATGACTGTTCAGGCTATTGATTGTGGTAACTTTGTGCTTAAATACGTTGCCCACAGCTCAAAGGGCTACAGGTTTATTTCCAGTTTATGGACATTTCTTCTGCATGAGTTGTTCTGTAGTCAACTTGCACTGCATAGTTGTGTTTTTCCTGCACCTGTGTCACATTGTTAGCTATTTCTTGAGCTGAAGAATATAACACTAAGCTGGGATACACTGTTCTGTGCAACTGGCTAATTTGTTTTGACAAATGCTTGTATTGACTCTTACCTGACTACTTCTCTCCATTTCACTTAGGTGACAGCCAGTTTGGTCGGCGGAAAAGAAGCATTGGCGTGTAGAGGCTTACATTTCTGTCTGATTTACAACACACTTTTTCACTTTATGGTGGCTTTTTATATGGCGAAACAAACGTAGAAGGAGGAAGCATATGAAATGTGTAGGCTTAGTTCTCTCTAGCGCACAGTAGTTCAGCAGGCCTGAGGTGGTCAATTTTATATTTTCTCAAAGCTTCCTGGTTAAATGCTTGGTGCATGGCATTTAATCCACTTTACTAAAGCATATTATGTCTTCCGAATTTCAGATAAAAACATTTTTTTAAATGTAAGTGGTATTTTTTAGAATGTTTCTTACTTCAGTATCTGTACTACTTCAGTTTTTAAGCACAAAATGGGTCTTATTCACCAATTTCTTCTTAAATTTCTTCTTAAAACCCACTTGTTTTCATAAAGATTCTGACAATCACCAATGTTTTCTCTTTTGGGATTTGTTCTTGGGTAAGAACAGAATCTACACACTCAAGAGCACAAATGTGCACACAATTCTGCACAATTCAGAACTTGTCATGAATCCGATGTAGACTTTTTCTTAGGACCTTTCTCAAAACACATTTAAGAAAAAACTTAGAAAGACATTGGTGAATGAGGCCCGATGTTTTTAGCACAAAATGCTACTCAGATGAACTGTGTAACCTAAAAGGTTTTGTTTTTGCACTACACCAAATTGTTAGAATGTAATGTGATGAGGTAAAGTTAAAATAGCTAATTTGACTTTCTGATTTGACTTTGATGTTGAAAACAATTTTGTATAAGTTTAATTAAAATATCTTTGATAAAAAAAATTACAAATGTTTGAAGTGTTTTAAAAACCTGTCAGCGCTCAGCACACACTATGTAGGCATCTGATTACAAAACACAAGGGGGACTACAGGAAATACAATGGGAGGATTTTATTTACAGCATGTCAATCAATGCAGGCTATTAGATACATTAGCCAAATTGACCTTGAAAATGCTTTAGACATTCCACCAAAGTGCCACAAGATTTAAACAGCAATGCCTAGCAGAATAATCCCCAGGATTTCACATTGTTTTCCCCAGTGGGAAGAATCCTGCTTTGCACTGCATTTTTATGCAGCTCTAAGAATTCAACTGAAGGATCTGCTAGTACAATGGGACTTTCCAAGACATACTGCATAATTAAACAGTTAAGATGTAAACAGTCATTCAGAGTGGTTTGATGTGATCTGCTTCAGTGTAGAGAAACTTACCAACTCAGATTTCTTTACAGTGGTGGTGATGGGAATTAGGTCTCACAATGTCTACAAACACAAATATAGCCATTTTATTTACTATCCAAAACCACTAATAAAGACTATGAGACTATTTTGCCTTCCCATGCCCTCCTAGCAACTCTCTGCCAAGAATGGGTCAAAAGCTGATCTCAAAACAACTGTAAAACAATGTCTCAGACATTAAGAAGTGCATTCATAATTATTTCATGTAATACTTTTTTATATGGGAGCTTTTTGAGGCATTAAACTCTTCAGCAATAAACCACTTCACATCAAACCACTTGGAATGACACAGAGTATCATAACAATTTAATTATACAGATTAAAAGGTGGAATTCGCCTTTAAAGAGAGCATGGCCCGTTGAGCTCAAGTTCCAAGTCAAATCCAGCATTCAGGATTTCAGCATGCAGGAGGCATATGGACACATTTCTCAACACTGTGAATGTTATACAGAAAAAAAATCTTGCAAAAATCATACTGTAAAAAACAGAACTGAATATGAAGTAAAAAATGTGGTATAAGCACTGCTGATCAGTGCAGATATGCGCCCTACTGCTGGATCTGAGTTCCAGCTGTACAGTACACTGTCTTAAGCCCAGAGCACTCTGAGAACTCATTTGGCCATCACCTTTCCCTCTGTCGCTATGCAACAAACCAGCCGAGCAGTCTGCACAGTCCCCAGATGTGAGGAGTCCTGCCAAGGCTGCTCAGCTTATAACATGAAAAAATGCAAAAGCAGGCTGCATCTGCGAGGAAGCATGTGTCAGACTTCACACACTGTTGGATTTCTTACACTGTAGAGGATAAGCCAATCACTACTATGGGACCTGGCTACTCTCGTATTGGGAGGAGAAAAAAATAAGGGCCGAATTCACGAAACTGTCTTAAGAAAGAAAATCTTAAATGTGCTTTTTCTTAACTTCATTCTTAAGAAGAAAGTTAGGGACATCTGTTACTCTTCAAAAATCCTCTTAATATTTCTCCTATTTTAAGTTTTTTCGTGAGCTGTATTTAAGAACATTCTTATGAACTTCTTAGTGTTTGTCTTAAGACCCTTAGCAAGTTTTTTTTCTTAAGAAAGCTTTTGTGAATCTGGCCCCTGAAATACAAACTGTTCCAAGAAGCAATTTGTGTCTAACCAAAGAAATGCAACAAACATTCTTGTAAGCCATTCGAGACACCACTGTACATCCAAGGCATCACTGTACACAGAATCAACAACGTCCATATCCTTCATCAGAAATTCAAACTGACTACAGTAAACAGAGAAATATGTGCAAGTTTGATATATGCAAATCTTCAAAAAGACATTTGATATATGCAAATCTTAAAAAAGACAAAACACAGGACCAGAACTAACTTTATAAATGATAAGGTTAACGTCTTAAAAAATAGGAAACTACTAAAAAGAATGGTAACATCTGTCTTCTCCTCCCTTTCTTAAATGGTTCGAAATTCTCATAATGACTGAAAACAATCATAATAATTATAATAATAATAATAATAATAATGACAATAAGTGTGTTGGAATGTAGGGTTTCATTTTCCCTTTCCATTCCCAAAAACTACTGCATATGCTCAATTTACCTAAAGGAACTGTAATAAAAGTTATTTTTGACATAAGGAAATTTTTCACATCAGGAGTGTTTTCACCACACATACTTATTTTAACGGTTGAGCTCATGCTGAGTAAAACACCTCAACCTCTCCTCATCAGGCTATAATGGAGGTTAACCTCTTCCTCTTTCTTTCCTTTAAGTCATGTATATTTTGAATTTGCAAAACTCCAGCTTAAGAGAGTGTTTAAAGATGCACGTGAGAAGTGCGGGTGTTATATTCCATTTTCACAACTATGTGGCTCCACATTACGGGTCCAGTAAGTACAGATACCTTGTTACATTCCTTGAGTTCATTCTGCAGTCTGACCACAAAGCAACATGATAAAAAACTGCATATTTTGCAAACATCATCTGCATATCAGTAAAGCACTTCATTTTGGGTGGGGGTTACAGACTTGTTAACTAAACATGCTTCCCCTAGTATGCCTCCCTAAAACCTGTATCGCAAGTAAAACAGGAACCCTATGAGACTGAAGTTCTAATTCTCATTCTGTTAATATTTGAGAGGCACAAAAAATATATATATTGTACATATACTGGATTCAAACATATAAAAGACTGAACCTTTAGACTCTAACAGTCAGAGAGAAAATATGAAAAGCAAATTCTCTGAGCTAGGCTTAAAGAAAAGGCAGCTTAATGTAATACAAAGCATAAACCTGTGCATCATAGCACTATATGTGTTGCCAATCTCTCTCAGTTACAAAGTGATTCCAAGTCACACTAAAACCTTCAAAAGTTTCACATCATTGATCCAGCACAGACTCTGAGTCATTTGTTCATTTCTAATAAGTAATTCCTCAAAAGAAAACATAACCATCTGAGTGTGCCCATCATTAATTTGTGCTAATGTCACAATCATGCAACACTCCCAGCAGACTAGAGAAATAAAAATAAAACGTTAATCCATTGGATTCATAGTCGTACAGCATGCCAAGGTTCTGCACTGCTGAAATGTTGCACTGTTGTTACTTTCATACTTATACATTAAAAAAAAAAAAGGGAAAAAAAAACATGCTGTTGTGATCAATTTTTCTCAAAACCCAATGTTCCTCCTGGCACATCCAGTAGAACAGAGACCGACCGTCAGGCTGAGCTGTTCTACCTTCTAGTGCCTGAGATACAGAACAATTACAGGGGTTATGAGCCAGAAGAGTGCACACTAGGAATGGGGTAGAACTTGGAGACTCTGCTTTGGGCAGTGGGGTTAAGGCACTCTGACTCTCCGCTCATCTTAAAGAAGACTTCCTGCTCTTGCAGCTTCCGAGTGAACTCCTCCTCAAGAGCCTGGCAGGAGAGCAATATGTTAATATTAGAAGGATTTTTATATATATTTTTCAGTATATGAGTTGGATTAACAACATCAGGACTATTTTCCTTGATTATATTTTGTAAATAATATGTGTAGGCCAGAAATGTACTTCAAGCAAGTACATGAACGCAGGAGCTTTGAGCTATGCAAACATGGCTTTGCGAGTTATTGCAAACTCATGTGTCATGACGCCATTCATAACGCAATGTAAGCAGAAGCTGCATTTAAGAGTTACAGCAAGAGGCACTGTAGTGACAGTAAGCCTGGCTAAACTGTCTCATACCGCCAACGTGCTTTCTGTCAGTTAACTATCATAGCAGACGAGCAGTTGGACGAGTCTCTTACAAAAATGGTTCGCTCATAAACATATGATGCATCACCTCTTCATGCTGACAGAACGAGTAAAGCAGCTCACATTGCTCTATTGCAAGTTTAGTTGTTTTGGCTGAGGGAATGACAGTAGATCTCACTGATTTGTCCTCTATCGCCCCTTTGAGTATTCTACCCACCACGGTAATGTATTAACACATGCTGAGTTTGTACAGAAGTGCCATGCGTTTGCAGTACGCTGGCCAGGCGTGAACATTTGCGTTCACGCTTGTGTTGAGCATGTTTCTGGCCTTTAAGCAAAATGCTGAATCTTTATTCATGTAGTACCTTCTTCCTGGGACGAAGTTTCTCTCTCCATTCTTTCAGCTCCTGGCTGTGCTCCTCGTCCAGCTCCTTCAGCTTCTGAGTCTCATGCTCAATCAGCAGGTGGCACTTCTCATTCTAGTTTTAAAATGTCAGAGACATCTGTTTAATTACACATACTTATTCCTTTTGATGAATTATGTAAGTCATGAATGTTGTGAAGTAGGGGATATTGGAGCACAATGCATTTTGTTTTTGTAAGAAGTATTTGAGCAAGATTAATCATTTTTATGCAAATCAACCTACACATCTCTGCTAAAGAAAATAAAAGTGTTAACTCTGTTTCCAGCACAGACTGTTTATGAACTATTCAACTTGAACCTCTTTAACTACATGAAATGTCCATGTTAGATTTTACTCTACATTAGTTTGAGCTCTGCTTTCCCCTAATTCCTGATACTGTTCCACTTTTCTCCAAAATTTCAAATATCAAAAAAAAGAGGAAAAACAAACAACAAGAAAAAGAAAAACAAACAACAGACAGCCCCTTTCACCACTGTCTGACATCACTCTGAATCGCTCAAGTCATATCTGTGCCACACCCCATGAGGCCTAATACCGGGTTTCAGAAAGTGCTAAATAGGATGCACATATGACAAATTCCTCTACATTATACTGGTAACATGGAAGCATATTATGTGCTCACAGAAGCACTTAGAAACGTCACACTGGATACTCATTAGGGATGCTTACTTCTGTGTGATTTGAGACATAGATCAATGCTGTCATATGAAACCTCATAGCTCAAATTCTTGTTTTTTTTTTTTAATAACAGTTAAATAATTTTAAACTATTCAGTCAAAAGAGGCAGAAATGCAAAATAACCCCCCTTAAACAGGGTTAACAGTAACAGAGGGGCTTGTTCTAACAGTTGCTAAAACGTCTGAAAAATTGATTTCTTTCTTTTTTTATATATATATTTTTTATACAATTAATTCAATACAGTTCTGTGTCATCTGAACCAGAAAGCTTTCCAACCTAAAATAAAAATATCCACATTGAAATAAATATCAGTAGTGGAAAAACAAATTTCTTTTTGACCGCAAAGTAGAACAGCAAATATCAGCACAATAAAATTTAAATACATTTAATTGACATGACACCTATAGCATATCTTTGCTGAATCTGTTCATAAAAACTTATTATTGATCGTTTTGCATTTATATGGGAGGATATGTAATTCTCTCATTGTTTATTTGGGTAGGCTTAGTTGTAACACTACATTAAATAATCCCACAGTGTGGAGGCTGTACTTTAGCCTGGCTAGCTCGCACTGTAAGTTGCTCATATGCTTCAAAACAGTACTACATTACATCCATTAAGAGGGTGATTTATATAATATCAGTGTGAGTCAGTAATCGATAAACACTTGGGAAGAAAATATTACTTTTATAATACAAAAACAGTCTTCAGGGTAAATCTCGAGAAATATCTGTCTGACTGCTGTCGATAATTCACATATGACGGGAATATGAGACAACCAAAGGCATATTCAACTTGAACCTCTTTAACTACATTAAATATCCATGTTACATTTCACTCTACATTAGTTTGAGCTCTGCTTTCCCCTAATTCCTGCTTCAGTTCCACTTCTCTCCAAAACATCAAGTATTAAAACTGGAAAAGTAAGAAAGTTGTCAGTAAAGTAGTGTGAACCTGTAGCTGTTGCAGCTCCCTAATGTTGGAGTCACACTGAAGCTGGAGGTCTCTCATCTGGTTCTCATGCTTCTGGTGCTGATGCAGCCTCTCATTCTTCTGGCGCTTCTCCTCCTGTACAGCAAACTGTCCCACAAAACCACAGTGAACACACCACACACCACCATTCCCGTGCACTTAAAATCTGACCAAAAATTACATTTTAATATTTTACCTTTGTCCCCAATACAGCCAATCAGCAAAAACATGTTTGGTGCCTGAGGTTTGCTTCTTTAGTTGTGCACTAGAGTTGTGAGAATTCAGCTAACAATTAATGGAAGTTACAGCCAATTCTAGGCTCAGCGCAATGCCTAAATCATTGGATACTTGCCTCAAGCCAGTCAGCTGGAGTAATCTCAGAGATGTTTGTGTGCTTATGTGGCTAAAAAAATGTCAGCAGCAACCTGCTTAAAATCTGAATTTTGTCTGTATGTTTGTATAATGTTATAGATAAAACTGTCTCCACATAAGCAAGTCTATTTGAGATTATTTAACAACTTGCTGATTTAGACATGCAGTTTGCATGATGCAAACAGATGGCTGCAAGCTTCTATTACATTAGCCTCATAGCACCAGTGCAAAACAAGAGAAGCAAACTTTAGATGCCAAATCGATCAACTACATAAGGTATACAGGCAAAACTAAGCAAATTTGATTTTACTCTGAACCATCACTTCAACACAGAAACTGGCATGAAAATGTCTCTCAGCATCTTCCTTGCTGGCTGCTGAGTTTTACCTGTTTAATTTTCTCTCTGTCCTGCTCCGGGGTTCCTGTGGCAGTGATGCGCAAGCTCTTCTTAAACATGGCCATGCGAGTCTTAGCCTCACTGCGCTGGATCTTTGGTAGACGGCCTCTTTCCTGAGCCTGCCTGTTCTTCATCTCTTCTATCAGCCGCTGGTTATAGCCCTGCATCTGTTCCATCTCCTATTATTCAGCCATGATCAAAAAGTTGCATCAGTGCACATACACATGACAAAACAACATGAAATTTACTGACGTTTTACAGTTTTCCAAATTATTTTGCACCAAATATTACAAAAATACTCCCCAAAAGAAGTAGCAGGACTGAAACCCCACTTAACTTCAGTCAAGCAATTTCTTGCTTTATGAATATTGAACTATAGTAAGGGAAGGTTGTCTGATCTCCCTCTGCTGTTGGCATTCAAAACGAATTAGAAGCGCTACACATTACAGGTGGTACAACATAACTTGCTGCGTGACCTCATATTCAGTTTTATTTGACTCCACATCAATGTTGGAAATGACTGATGAACAACAAAAACTAGTATAACACAGTTGTTGAGAGGGTTTCCCCAAATCATTCACATCACCTCCATCACACTTACAACAAAATGGCCCAAGTACCAAGACACTAATATTAAAATAGTTCAACTGTATTTTAAAATTCAGTTATATGACTCAGAAAAATATTCTTCTTTTATACTATATTCATACCTGCTGTACTTGTGTTGTTGCAAAATGACTGTCATGAAAGTTGCAGCTTTAAAGGGTTTTAAATTTATAATCAAAAATTTCCCTGTGATGAAATGAATAGCAATTCAAAATGTTTTGAACACACCAGCAGATGGCGTAAGCCTGCACTTTCCCTCCCCACAAAAAGTGTATCAAATGCAGGTTGAGAAAGTATTTTGCTAAAAATTGGATTCTAAATAATGCACTCGCCTTGTCGTGTCTTTTTAGAAGCTGGTGCCTCTGCATGAAGTACTGGTCTTTAAGCTGCTGTTTTAGTAACTGGTGCTTCTCCTGCAAGTGGCGCTCCTCTAGCTCCCACATGGCTGCTTCACGAGCTGCAAACAGGAGCATGACATGTGAGATATGATATATGAGAAGGGAGGGAGGGAAAAATGGTAGATCGCATATGATGAACATACACACCTGCACACCAAGAGCACACAGAACAGACACAATGGGCAACAGTTTCACCCAGAAAAGTATACAGGAAGTATACATGATAAGACATGTTTGAGGATACAGGCATTAGGTCATGCTAAACAAACAACAGACAGCCCCTTTCACAACTGTCTGACATCACTCTGAATCGCTCAAGTCATATCTGTGCCACACCCCATGAGGTCTAATACTGGGTTTCAAAAAGCACTATAAATAGGATGCAGGACTGACAAATTCCTCTACATTATACTGGTAACATGCAAGCATATTATGTGCTCACAAAAGCATCTGGAAAAGTCACACTGGATACTCATTACAGATGCTTACTTTGGTATGATTTGAGACATAGATCACAGCTGTCATATTAAAAACCTCATAGCTCAATTCTTGTTTTTTTTTATTCATAGCTAAATAATTCTCCTTCTCCTTAAAAAAGAATTTTAAATGATCTGCTATTGTTCACATTGTGTGAACATTTCATCATGAATGGGCTAATAGAAATGGTCCAAACATAAAAAAAAAACATTTTTCCTTCTCCTTAAAAGTTAACATTTAGAAAACATCAGGTTTTCTTATGGCAGAGACAACATACAATTTAGATATACAATTTTTAACCCTACTCATTTTTTGATTATACTACAATGACATGCAAAAATGTTAAAAATAAATAACAAAATGTACTTAATTGTCACTCACTGAACGACACAAAGTGTATTAAGAAGTTTCAGTTTCTGTAATTAACATTGCTATGTAATGGCACTTATGGCATGCAGCAAAAAGTGCATCTAGAACCTACAATACTGAACATAATGTAGGACCATTGTGTAACTATGATTTATAATAGTGAGTATGTACAAATTTTCTTCTTCATAGTATTTTGAAGTGATGCTGTAGTAATACTAAGATGCTGTAAGTAATACTACGAACAACATGGCAGCTACCCCACCCGCTCTTGGAATCTCACTTCATCAAAAATGTAAAAGTCGTCAGTCCTGTGGCTTGGTTATACATAAACACACCAAGTGTTTTACTTAATACAAGGTGAACATGAAATGGAACATTTTTACATACTTTCTTTCCCACCCTTACGAGCAGACTCAAATTCCCATTTTTTACAGATAGTATACAGATGGTTGGCGATCCTGAAGGAAAGCCAATGTGATTTGTATTCCAAACTCTCATCAGCCTGTGAGACAGTGAGTCAAGAAGTGTGGAAATAATACATGACAGAAGCAGGCAGTGAATTGTGATGCAGTAGGACGTTCAACCACTCATAAATTACATAGTGTTTTTCCATGATTGTATTATTCAACTCTATTCACAAATGCAGAATCATGTTGATAAAAGATTAAGAAAAGGTTTTCAAATGTACGCCTCTTTGCGCTACTGAACTTTTTAGTCCGTCTGCACAACTGATATGGATGCTGCCAGGTAATCTGCGTATTGGCCCTCGTCATAGTACTTAATACCCAAACTTGACCACCAGTCGCCACTACACTACAGTGATCACTTTGTTGCACAAATTTGCTCCAGCATCTAACTTTCACTAACCAATGTTATTTTGAGTTGTGCAAACTCATATTTAACCATGCAATCTGCCACAGTGGAGTAATTTAAATAGTGTCTGACCTCTCAAGAGCTGCTGCTTGTGGTTGAGACAGTCTCTCTCTATGGTAGCGATCTCCAGTTTGTGCTGCTGGATGATCTTCTTCAGAGCGCCATCCAGCTCCTGCTGCTGCTTCTGCAGAAACTCCTGCTCCTGTGGTGAGGAATGACAGAGACAGGAAGGAACGTAAGAGAGAAAATAATATAGATAGACACCACTAATTAGAGAATCAAATCACTGAGCACATAAAGCCTGTGTAACCATTAGCAAAAAGTAAAACCTGTGTAACCACTAACAAACAGAAAAATAACATTTCACACAGTAGACAGGTCAAACACTAGCACAGAGTATAGTACTGTTTCAAAGAGCACTCAGAGAAAAGTCAAACAAACTTACAGTAAAAACATGTCTTGTAACAAGACAACATCAACATTTCATGAATAAATGGTACAGTTCAATATGGATAGATGGAACAGCAGAAAACCAAGGTAGTACAGTATATATAAAAATCTACAGTACTGCACTCAATAATCTCAAGTATTCAAGTTACAAAACTGAGTTTACATTAAGATCAGGTGCCAAGTGTGTAAAATGTAACAGAATAAGCAACAAAGATAAACTGCTGAATGGTTCATAAGAATCGTGACATGAAAAACAATAACTATCGGCATATTTTTACCTTTTTTTCCACAATTTACATTCAACCTTTTTACATTTTCTTTAAAACTTTAACATTAAGTTTTTATTTACTGAACAGTGCTGTTGAAATGTGCATGAGAAGTTACCCTACTGCACATGTCCTAGTGAAGAGACAGTGACGATCATCAGCTTTTCTGTTTTTAAACAGAGCCCAGAAGCACACAGATAAAACAGTGTGAGTGAAATGTACAGAAACTCAACAGCAATTGGAGCAAATTACAGAACACAGTACAGTATGTTCAGAGAGACACTGCACCACTGCACAAACATAGCGACGGCACTCCAAAAAAAGAAGTGCACCATCTTGCTCACATGTGCCATCCCAATCATGAGGCAGTGCTAAAGTATCATTAATCAGCGTACACATGAATAGGTACAAAACGTCCAGCTTAAGATAAGCATTCAAAGGCCTGATAAGGTTGTTGTGCAATAAGTAAAATGTTGGCCTGTCTGTAAAAGGGACACTTATTACCATTTCATTTACCTTCCCTCACAAAGACTGTACTAAATTAGTATTTTTGCAGATTACACATAAATAACCTTTGTACATGCAAGACAACTAACATAAGCAGATAGTCTTGTTCAGGTCTGAGTTATACAGTATTGTTTAAGAGTTTGGAATCACTTGTCATGTTACTAACTGCTGCTATTTAATAATAACCTACACAGTGTAGACTGAAATACTATAAGGTAGATATTAAAAGCTATTTTAAGATGTTTTATAATATTTCAGCTGAACATCCAGAACATTAAATAACAATATAGAAATTATTAATAATTAATGTAAACAGTTTACTCTGATTTCTTAGATTGCATGAAGGCCGTTATTGGGCTTCTAGAAATCCGATAAAGAGAGCTGGATTTTAGCTCAGTAATTGCCTTTTTCAGTGCATGTACAGCCTTACTCTGATTTCTTTCATTTTTCTCAGTCTGCACAGGTGTGATAACAGGGCGCTGTTCTGGAAATAGCAAGAGGTGTTTAATACAGCACCCATGAGATGGCAGCAAACCACTTCTGGAGTGATGCTGAAATAAACTACATGTTTGAAGAAATGAAGAATGTAAATATTCTTTATTTTCTAGATGTACATTCATATTTTCTAGTAAAGTGACTCGATGTTTAAAAAAAAAAAGTTTTACACTACGTTTACATCACGTCTTATTTTGCGAGATTACTGGTGGTTTGCAAAGCCGAAATACGATTACACTGACCTGGAGTTTTCCCCATTATCTGTTTACATAAGTGCATGTAAAGCATTGAATGCAAAATCTGATTTTCTGCTGTTTCTTTTATCAGATTATTAAATGCATGTAAACACACTCCTTGTAAACAGTAATTCCAAACTTTTAAACAATAGTGTATGTTTGAGATTCTTTCTGCTTCCATATGTTTGGTGGTAGCCAGGCACATGTGAGCAGGGGTGAGACAGGGAGAAGGAGGGCAAAACTTACATCCTGCATCTGAGCGTTGAACAGAGCACATGAGGACAACTGAAAAGACTGTATCATAACCTGGGCCACGCCCTGTGGAGCAAAACACAGCGAACTCTACCAAAGTCAGGGACACGTACACAGGCACTCACGGCAGTTTATCACCCTTCAAAACGCATGCACACACACTTTCACTTTCTCACTCTCTCTTTCTCAGCTTTGGTTGTTGAGTTGGGATTTTGGGGCAAGGCTGTAAAACTGCACGCAACAAATGCAGATCCTCCAGGCCAAAGGAACAGCCTTGTTAAGCAGCAGGTGAGTCAGCATGTGCTCTTCAGGATGATCCTTCATTAATTCAGAGACCTTCAAATGGTTGTTGACTTGAAGCATTAATAGCAGCCACAGTATTAAGAGACGTAAGTAAGTATAAATTAGTCTGTTAACATCTAGTCATCGAGCCGCATTCGACATCAAACCAACCAAGGATTTTAAATAAATAAATAAATAACTAAATAAATAAATAAATAAGAGGTGCTGTCTAATGTCACCTGAACAGCACCAAAAACTGGAATTAGACCTCCTCCTTTAGGGAAGGGATGTGACAATTTAAACAGCAAGCCAAATTACCAAAGGACAAGCCAGGGTGTTAATTACTATTGTCTGTTAAGCCCTTTTCTGCTGTATATGGCAACTTCCATCACTTATTTTAGAGATGGGGTAACACCAGATCTGGGATGCCTTGCAGGACCTATAAATCCTGCAATGAAGAGTGCGTTATGTGTACTGCATGCATGAATGAGTGTGTGTGCACATGTATGTGCATGAGTGTGTGAGGAAAACATATGTTTGAACTGAGCATGTGATGGCTGGTGGGAATTTACCTCTTCTTGCTGAACAACAGCTAGGTCTTCCTTTAAGCGTTTCATAAGCTCTTTTCTCATGTGTTTGGGTGACAGGCAGACCTCCTGTTTGACCTAAAGCGTATGAGTATGCAGATGGTTGGGGAATTGAGGCTTTGCTGTGCCAAAGACGGAACACAGCTGCCATTATGTATTAGTGACAGATCATCATGCAATGATTGGTTTAAAAGGTAAACTTTACCAGTGCAATGATTAGAACCACTGAAAGCTAGAGACCCAGGCAATTTATGGATGATTTAGTGTAGACTTATGCTTAAATAAAGGTCTTGCAGAAACCTTAAGAATGCCTGCAGACAGCCTGGAAAGTCAAATTCAAGTTGATTATGTTAATAAAAATGTATTAGAGAATAGAGTATGCATAATCAGCCACCATGTCAGAAGTCAGATAAAAAGCAGAGACAGAATAGTGAAAGTTCTAATGATGAAACAAGACCTCTACCAAATACCGTTTCATAAATGTTAAAAAGAGTAGCACTTCAGCGTAATCTCTAAAATGATGCACACTTTAATAGAACTAAGAGTAATAGTAGGGATGCAATGATTATGAAAATTACAGGCCAATTCCAATGTCCAATATCTTTCATATGCATATCTGCCAAATTATTGTACAGACACATACATGTTTACAAAATGTACAAACTGGGACATCTACTTGCATCAGCATTACGATGAAATACAATATTTATTTCTATAGGGATACAAATGCAGAACACTGAATAAAATACAAATTTTTCAGCATCGCCTAAACATTCTCTTTGGAACGCCAAAGATGCTGATAATTTTTAAACAATTATCTGCTAATACCAATATGATTCCGATGTCATCATGCATCCCTAATTAATAGTATTCACCTGAAACACATGAAAGGGAGCAAGGTTTGTGGCAAGAGACCCTGTGACCATTCCCTCCAGTGCCAGTTGTTTACTCAGAAAACCAGGAAATATTAAAGGGATACTTCGGCCAAAAGTGCTAAAGTAGCTTACACTGAATGAAAGCTAGGAGACCAGTTAGCATGCCTGATTTGCATAATGCTATTTGGCGGTAATTAACAAGCACTATTCCTTTAAACATTCAGATTCCATCTCTTGATTTTTACTGTGAGCATCTCTATTTCATGACTGGCTGAACAGCTGTGGCAGTAGAGACTTTACGTCAGTAAGGTCAGTCCAGCATCAAGAAAAAGTTACTGAAATAAAATGAGATTTTGCTCAGAGGCAGCCTTTACTCACAATGAAATATAATGGCACAAGAGGCCTGTTACCATTTCCCTGAACAGTAGCCTTTAAAATATATCCTGGTGTGCACCAGAGATCACCATAAAATCTGAAAGAAAAAAGACTGAAACCCCCCAGTTACGTATACTAAAAGTAACACCAGAATTTTTTTGGACTAAATTGTGATTTGGCAGTTGAAGCCCTCCACCAGTCCCACACTCCAGAGCACATTCACACAAATCAACATTAGTAACATCTTTAAAAAATAAACAATAAGCAACAGCATATAGATTATTAAAACACACAAATACACTGTAGTAAAAATTATTCATAAACAATGCTAATTACAGTTTCTTACTAAAGCTTATTTTTTTTTATATTGTACAACTTAATAAACATGAAGGATAAATATTGCTGTGTAATACATTGCCATATCTGAATGATTAAGGCATTATCATGCAGATGGAAAGAGTTAAAAGCCTCAGCTGAATTCTGTAGTGACAGCACATTTGAAAACGTCAAGCTAAAAATAAACAAGGCTATATAGACACACCTCTATTAAAACCACAATCGTATTCCAATCATGCCAAGCAAGAGGCTCCAGCATTTACTGAAAAAAAAACATGCATGACGACAATGGACAAGCACCAACGTAAGCCCTTAATAAAGCCTCTTTTAAATCTTATTTAGGCCATGTCTGTTTTCACAGAGAGAAAAAAAATCCCATTTAAAAGTGAATCTTAAAGAAAGAAACATGCAGCCAAATGACAGAGAACAATTCACCCTTGATCAGTTTCTAGTTAGTGTTTAAAACTTGCTTTGATGTCTGAAACTGCGGTTAAACTGAGCCAAAATGTGTCGACTAAAGCCAATCAACACTTTGCCCTGGATGAATTGTAAGAATGAACACAAAGCAAAGCTGCTAGGAAACTGTTTGCAGGATGACCTCAAAGATAGATTCACATGCAGCTAGAAGAAGCAGCTAGTCCCTGTGATCTGCAACAGAGCTACAAGTGCGCATTCCTTGTGGAGAGATCACATTTTCAAGGGTATAAAAGCTTTTGTGAAGACTGCAGACAGAAATAAAGAATTCAGGAAAAAGAGCGATTAATGCAACCATCCTCAGCCCCTGCAAAGCCACCACACAAAAGCAGACAAATATGGCAACAAGTTTGTGCCATAGCTCTACAAAGACAAACAAACGACGGTAAACATAACTGCTCTCTAGTCCTTACCTCCTTCTTGCGATTCTTAAGCATGTTCTGGAACTTTGAGAGCTCCTTATCCTGCTCCGATTTTATCCTTTTAGCCTCATCCCTCAGTCGATTGGTGTGGTCTTGTTCCATACGCTCTATGGTTTGCTTCTGCTGCTTTTCCAGGTTCTCCACCTCCTGGTCATACTGGCGCTTCTTACCCTGAAAGAAAGATTGAGAAAGAGAGATTGATAAAGAGAGAGCTGCACAACACTGATGAACACCAGGTAATCTGAACTCTCTGAACTGTGCTTCTGCACACAAAAAGCAACTGCAACTGAGCTCACTGTGTCAGCAACTCAGACATATAGGAAATTCACACATAAATGTCTTAATTATAGAGTTAGTGGGTCTCAAATTCCTCAAAATACTAGAGGGCTACAGCACTTCCAGCACACATCCAACTTACTTAGTAATATCAGGGTAAACTATGCAACACCGTGAGCCTCCTCAATTTGATTTTAATAACTCTATAGCAGAATGAGTGATATTTATTCTGAGAACATCAAGGCACTAACTGTCATCTCCTGCTCAAAGCGCCGGAACAATTGCTCTCTCTGTTGTTGCAGCTTATTGCTGAGCTGTTGATGGGCTCTCTGCTCCTCCTTCTGTAGCAGCCTCAGCTCACGCAGCTCCTGACGCCTACAGCAGGAACACACATCATTTCACTTAACATGCACCACAGCAGAGCTAGACATGCTGCTACCACCAGCAAAGGAATTTGGAAAAGCGAGCCACAACATTCTTTTTTCGAAAAGAATTAAATTCCGCATTATTTTACTGATTGGTGTTCATGTATGAAAAAAATATATTTTCTGACAGTAGTAAAAAGTCTGAGATCACTGGGTAAATAATGAACAAATCCAAGATGGCATTACTTCACTATAAAGATAAAAAGAAGGTAATCATAATGGATGTTACCTCAGAAACCTTAGTTCCTCACTCTTGGTGTCATTGTCAGTAATTATCTTTGAAGTGGTGACGCTTACTTCCACACCATCAACCAAAAACTTGCGAGTCTTTTTCAGAGTCTTCTTCTGACGTCTGGTGTCCTGTGAAGGAAAATTAAACTTCCTAAGTATTATTTAGTCATTTTATTGCATCATCATCATTTCTTAAATGATGCAATACAATCTTACTTGAATAGAAACAGATCCCTCCTTGCTTTTTGATAGGAAGCTGGAGATAGAAAGATTTATGTCAATGCTGTTGGTATCTGCTGCAGAACTACTTCCAGAATCAGAATCCTTCTCAACATCAGGTTTAACTGCTGCAGCTGAGTTTTGTTCCACAACCCCCTCAGGAGCTGCTTCATAGGATGCCAACTGCTCCACAGTTGTTTCTGGAACCTCTTTAGATGCACTGTCTTCATCCTCTTTTTGCCCATTGATTGCAATGACAGGTTCCACATCCACAGAGGTCTCCTCACTTTCATTCACTCTTTTCTCTTTCTCAGAAGGAATGTCTTCTAGAACTGTATCCGCTGGCATCTCAGTTTGGCCCTCATCTGGTCTTAACTTAGACTCTGTTTCAGCTTTAGGCTGGTCCTCTAGATCTTCCTGCTGGGGCTTTTTGTCTTCCTCCTCTTTTTCCTCCACCTTCTCTTCTTTCTCCTCCCCTACAGGCACGTCAACAGGTTCTTCTTTGTCCATATTCTCCAACTCCTTCTTTTCCATCTCTCCTTTAGCCTCCACTGAGTCCCCTGTCTCTCCTGGGACATCTACATTAGCCTCAGTCAATTCAATAATGGCTACTTCAGGAACACTGTTATCTTTGACCTCTGTTATAGTTACTTCCTTTGGTTCAGTACTTTCTTCTCCTACCTCTGTGCCAGTTTCCTCTGTCTTCCTCAGCTCTTGATCTTTTTGAACCTCATCAATTTTCTTTTCCTCCTCATGGTTCTCCGATTGCTCTTCTGTCATAACCTCCTCCTTCTCCTCCTCTCCTGTCTCCTCACTGACAGTCACAATCTTCTGGACAGCAGTCTCCTGGGTCTCTGTGTTGTTTGGTGTTGGAGCACTTGGTTCTTCAGCAATCTTCTCCTCAGCAACAGTTTCTGGAGTCTGGATTTCTTCATGCTTTGACAAGCTTATGTCTCCAGCATTTGAGTTTTCAGCACTGATGTCTCTTTCAGTGACCAGTTTTTTCCTCTCCTCCTCAATACGATCAGCTTCTCTGGAGTCCAGACCCACAACTGAGGTCCTCTTGCTGTCCTCAACTGTGCTAGGTTCTGCCTGTGGCTCAGCACCCTCAGAAATTGACTCTGGCATAGATATATTCTGAGACAGCTTGTCATCCTCTAAGCTGCCAACACTGGTTTCTGACAGCGCTCGCTTGTGTCCTGGCACATCCTATGTTCACAATCAAAGGGACATGGAAAAATGGTAAATTGTAATGATAAATTGTTTTTATTTCGGCTGGTGCTTTAAGGCTTCCTAAAGGTACTACTAATGGAACACAAAGAAAAAAATTAACTGTATACTAAAATTAGTTAATGTTTACTACTGATAATCTCTCATGATTTTTAATGAGTGCACGCAGCACTGACATACCAGCTGTGTGTCTGGCTCCTCTTCCTCCTCCTCTTCTTTGCCTTCCTCAATCTCTTCAAACACTTCAGCTTTGGCCTCAGCAATTAGCTCACGCAAAGGTTTGTTATCAATTACACTTGAAACAAATGGATGCTGAAAGACAAATGAGATGAACCACTGTACCATGAAACAGCACATCTCAGCAAAAGCATTGATCACTTCTTTTAGTTTTAGGAATCCTCTGTTCCTTTATTGATCAGTCACCTGCAGGAGCTGTGTTGCACTCCATCTCTGATCAAGATTCTTATCCAGCGCTTTCTTCAGGAAATCACTGAATTCTGGAGACCTGTTTAAAACAGTAAAGAATCTAAAAATCCATGCATTAACTGAAAAAGGCTTCATGGAGACTTGATGATTAAAAAACACAACAACTGAGTGATGGAATTTTGCACAATTTCAGGCTACCCATGAGGCAATGCTCTGGGTGGGCGACTGCTAATCTGATTCATCGTTACTCATCTGAGCAGCCTGCAGCCTGGACACATCATTATTTTGAGATAAATTCAGAGGCTCTGTTTCAAAACCAAGTAAAACACAGCGTTCTTCAAGTTATTCCTACACTGACTAGAGACTCAAAAGCAGCAGACTGAATTTTGGTAAACATTCATTCATTTTCAGCTTCACAGCTGAAGAAAACAAGAATGTACACTGTTCATGGCTATGATTCAGCCCTTACCACCGCGAGGGCTGCAGGAGTGTGGGGGGCTCAGACTTGGCTATTTTGAGCAGGACTCTCATAGGGTTCATCTCGTGATTGGGTGGCTCAATCTGTGCCAGCTCAATCAGTGTGATCCCTAGGGACCAGATGTCCGCTTTGTAGTCATATGGCCTGTCCTTCGATGTCTCACACATCACCACTTCAGGAGCCATCCTGCAGACACAAGTGGAGTGAAATGAATGATACAGGACAAAAAGAGGTAAGAGACAAAAAGGAAGAAAACTGTTTAATAAATCTCAGCAAAGTTTGATCCATTATTTCCTAAGCCTATTTCTTATGGCATGATGAAATAATGAAAGGATGAAGGATATATTCAAATAAAGAAGAAAAATCTATCCGCAAAATCTGTTTTGTTGTAACAAGCTAAAAATACTAGTTTTCCAGAACAGAAAGAAATGAGCAGATGACTAACCAGTAAGGAGTTCCAATGAAAGAATCTCTTCTCTGTAGGGTCTTTGTGTTCTTTGCAGACACTCCAAAGTCAGCTGAGTGGAGCAATTGATCCAGATTAAAGACATATGTCAGATGTCAGCAAAGCCATAGCCAACAAGACTTAAAGGAGAAACATTTTTTTGTGAAGCCCTTAATGTATTAAATCTCAAAATCATAGTAAAAGGAATATTAATATTTTGCTGCTGGCACGCTATATATCTGAATTAACAACATATACTGCTCATCAGATTGCTACTGAGCATAACTGAACACAGCTGGCATGGGCCCTCACCCAGCTTGACGTCACCATCTGAGGTAAAGAGAATATTTCCAGCTTTCAAATCTCTGTGGATGATCTTATTCTCGTGGAGATAAGCCAGCGCCTCCAGGGTCTGTTTACATACCACCCGAATCTGTGGCTCAGTCAGTGGCCGCTCCAGCTCTGAATACATTCATGCACACACACACACACACACACACACACACACACACACAGTCAGCAAGTGCCTGTCATTATAAAGAGTCACAAAATATTATACACTGCTTACTTCTCATTTACTTGCTAACAGACATTGCCAGGTGCCAGGCTGTAGTGGCTAGTCTACTCTTATTTTGGTCTCTCAAACAATTTGAACTACACATAGGAATCTAAGTTAGAACAAGCACTATTTCTCTCATTAGTTTCCTAGCCTTTTTAAATATGCCCTTGGCTAACTGATAACAGTACACTCTTGTGACAAGAGACCCATGACTGGGCCCCTGATAAGGGGGAAGTGAGGTCTACCTTAAAGAGACAGAAGAGAGAAGGAGTCATACCAGCACAAACAATGAGTCAACTCTACTGCTCAAACAAAATCAATTCCAAGAGGACTACGCCTCCTCACTAACTGCACCTCCTACAAGCACTTCAGCTGCAGGTGAAAAGTGGGAGTGCTGACATGCATCACATAATAATAAGCACTAATCTTAGGTTTTTTAATCACTCTAAAACCAGCACTCTTTAGCTGTGATTTTTTTATAACCTATAATCTAAAAATCTGAAAGTTGTTCGAAGTGGAACCATGCGGGTGCATGCTTTGTGATAAGACCCAACCTTCAGATGCAATACAGAAATTACTTCATTAGAAGAAAGTATATGATCCATTAGACTTGCTCTTGTGGTTGACTATGACTGTGATGCTACTGGGCTGTCTAAGAAACAAAGAGCATTGGCATTTTGCTACTATAATGCACTCCCGTAACATTTACTGGAAAAAATTGCGTAGGAGGCTTCCAGAAACATATCCAAATAATACAGCAGAAAAGGCTGAATTGCTTAAAAAGACACTAACCACTCCTTGAAACTGGAGCTTCGATAATTATATGCTTGGATCTCTCCAGTGTCAAACTGAGCATAGCATACTGTGTGGCTGTTAGGTTCAGGGGAATGGAATACCACTTATTTGAGTGTACCGTTTAAATGATTCAACTGTTCTCTATGCTGCTTTTCCCCAACTATAAAAAAGAAAGTAAAACTTACCCAACATAACAGCATCAACCGCACCTCCTGCACAAAACTCAATAAGAATCTACAGAGAGAGAGAGAAAGAAAGAGAGAGAGAGAGAGAAAGAGAGAGAGAATATCTTTTTATTATAAACTCCACTCAGTTACATTCAGTTTCAAGGCTTCCAGGACAATTATTAATTCATCTAACTTACTACCTCATTCATACGCTTGCTCTGAATTCACCTTAAGCAACAAACAGCAAAGGAAGGCTAAAGCATTTGCAAAATGCATGCTCACAATCAGAAGTTATCTGATTACATGATCAGATTTTGGCTTTTAGATCCATTTAGAATAAAATAGCCAGTTTTCAGCATTCATTCAATCCATAAGTCAACACAAAATCTGATATAGGCTTGCAGTGATTAAGTCCATTAGACAGCTGCAATGCAATTATGTACCATTATGTGAAACTGCAGTCATTGGCAAGGTATAAAATTTCAGACTTTGACTAAAACGGTAAAAGCTTGTAATTCACACTTGTAATTCATACATTCATCCATGTCATTCTGACCAGAGCCATGGATGAATGGTTAGAAGTATCAGCCGATTTCAGCAAAAACTGATACAAGTCATAAACTCTGTACTTTCAAAGAAAGGGTAGCTACTAATTTTTAATATAGGTAGCTACTATATTAAAAATTAAACCATTCTTTTTCATTTTTTAAAGCTTCTATACAGTACAACTATCATTAATTGCCCAGCAAAGCAGAGCGCAGATTTTGCTCATCGTTGCATTAATATTTTAGAATTCTGTCACAGATCCTGTACGCTGTGGGAATCATCTCTCAGTCCATTTAAAGCTTTTACAGCTGACTGGCTTGATATGCTCTCCCAGTTTTAAGCAAACATGACCACGCTGGTGGGAGCCATGCATTAATCTCATCTGATGAGCCCGTAGGAGCAGGCTGGACTTGTCTATAATTAATGCATGAGTACTTTCTCTAGTCATTTGTAATAGACCATTATCCTGCCAACCACAGAGAGGCGGTCATCTGAAACCACCTGGCCCTATATGTTTTATGAGTTCTGTAGGAGAATGAAAAGGATCCATTGACGAGTGTAGACAGTAGACTAGGAGAGCTAAACACTGTCTCACACATTAAAACTGAATTAGGCATCAGCAAAGCAGTTTCTACTGTCACTGTTAACACGCATAACACACTTATTAACCAGCCAGTCTAATTTGTGAGTTTGTAGCACAAGCAACGCAACCTCACTCTGCCTTGACCCTCTGAGGCGCGTCTGTATTTATAAGTATAGCTTATGCAAAACCACTTGGTCACAAACAAGTAACTACAACTGAAGGAGAGCTCACCCATAGTTTGCTCTCGTAGTAGTAGGCATCGAGTAGTTTGACGATGTAATGATGATCACAAGAGGCAAGTATGTCAATCTCTACCATGTAGTCTTCCAGCTCTTCCTCTGTCTTGGTATCGATCACTTTAGCAGCAGCCAGAACACCTGTTTGCTTACTCTGAGCCTGTGACAAAACAATAAGTAGAAGATGGATGAACAGGCAACAAATCAATATACAAACGTACAGAACAGGTAAAACGGCATAAAACATAATGTACGTCATACCTGCACACTCGTTTGAGTTCTTCTTTACCTAACTTAGCATTCAAAAGCTTCATCTTTTGTTAACCCTTAAGACCACACCATAACTCAAACACTCTTGCTGATTCCTGACAATATTCAGGGTTAGGATCTTTTTATCACCATTTTAAACAAAAATATTGTATCAAATAAATAAATAATTAAATAAATACAGGGAAAAATGGACGTTTCTTAACCATGGACATGACATTTAGTTACAAAATAATAATGCCACCGCCAAGTATAGCTTTTATTTTATAGATTTTAGCTCAAGGCTGAACACAGCCACACTGCCCATTTTCTCTGAGAGACAGAAGGGAGATATTTTAAAAGGCAAACCACACAACCCATTTAAGCCCACTGGCAACTAAAGTTGCAATAGTGTATTCCCTCATTCTCTTTTAAAAATCTACTAAAAGTACTGTATACCCGTTTAAACATTCATATTTAAAAGAATACAAACGCATGAAGGGGTTTTACACATTTCAGGAAAATCTGGACACAAATGGATTAAGGAACGAGAAATAGCCAAACACAAGTCAATTTTTTTGGGTGTAGTTTTAACCATTGACTGACATTCAGCAGAGGAAGCTGAGCACATCCTCAGTCTCTCATTTACCCGCTGCAGAGCTGAGAGACTGAGACAAACAGGGACTGCAGGCTAACTAATAGATTTAGCCAATTATGAACAACCGTAAACATATATACATTTAGTATAAAACATAACTCACCCAATGCTCAATCCTGAAAAAAATTTATGTTCACTTATCAAAGTTACAATTTCATATTTCAAATGAAAGTTATTTCATAACAGAACTGAACTTGGATCAATAGTTAGAAGTAGAATATCTATTCACAGAAAACCAGTTAAACTAACTTTAATAATACATTACTATAGGTCACTTCTGTATCATCACTGCTATCCAGGTAATCAAAAATCCAGTCAGTCTCCTCAGCTGACATAACATTACAGCACCTTGTCCTGGCATCTCTGGGACATCCTTTGTAAAAATGAATGAATAATGTCTAATGAAACTGAAAACTGGAATTTTACTATAAAAATAAAGATAATTTTAATTATTGTTAATTATGACATCTAAATATGATTGTTTTGAAGGGCAGTATTTAGAACAAGTATTAAAATACTAGTTTGGAAACACCAACATGCATTCAAAGCCTGTACAATGTTGCATGGGTCAACCAGGCAAAAATACAAATGCACAGGACAAATCCTTCTTTAAGAATGAAACCAAACTCATAAATTTGAGTAATGGCTATAAAGGTCATGCTAGACCAAACAACAGTAAACAAATACCCAACTGATATTACAGCAGCTGACATGCTGATCATTTTTGGTTCCTAGAACGCCGCTGTTTTGAACATTATCATAGGATAACTGTGGTAGGGATGTAACGATACACTCAGCCCACATTTCACTTCATTCACAAAACTGAGTTCAGTATTATCGAAATATTTCTAATAAAATTCCAATATATAAAAATGATGACTGTAATCATGTTGTTGCACAACTTACAACACTAGACCTGGGAGGCAGGAGAAGTTCAAATTATCATATTAATGGCATAATTAACTCAAAGTCCATTCTGCACAATCCATTGTCACAGTTTCACATTGCGATATCACGTCACAATGCATGGTTACACCTCTAATCTGCAGGCAAAAAAGACACTGTAGAAAAGTGTACTCCCTCTGACCTACTTAAATACATATGCTCTCCTTCCCAGCTTCACACACTGCCAATTGCAGCAATCTACTGCAGCTAAAACAATCTTCCGTGTTTGAAAAAGTCTTCAAACCAACCAGGCCATCCTACTAGATAACGGACTTATTGCAAATCTGGCAAAATACTGACCTTGTTAACAAATAAAATTAAAATGACTGTGATCTATAAGTGTTATGAAACTTTTATGAGCAACATTTCAACTCGCAATGAACAAGAAATCCCCTTTAGCGCTCTAAATTCTGCAGCTTAATTTCTCTCTGCAACTGCTTCAGTCTTAAAATAGCATTCTTGTTTAAAAAAAAAGCAGAAGAAAAAAGAGGAAACAACACAGGGTTGCCTCATCAGGAGGAGTGCTAAGAACAGTTTGAGAAAGCGCTAGTAAACTCCTTACACCAGCCCTCCGTGCTAAAATAATAATTCAGTTCATATCTGGGGTCTCTGCTAATTAGCATATATCATTAGCAAGATTTGTTACTGCACATCTATTTTGAGAGTGTAACAGCAGGAGTGGCACGCAATTTCATTCCACACTTCCCAGTCACAACTGGGTGTGCCAATGCTATTTTGGGAAGAGCTTCACGAGTAATGTTTATGGATACCAAAACACAGAAGAGTGGATGGAGAAAGGAACAAGTGAAGTATGTGTGTGTATGGGTCAGACTTTCTATTTACACAAAGCTTTACGTCACACTCACTCTGGTTCCCTTTGTATTAGCCAACGCCTGTCCTTGGTGTAATCAGTGAGGAAACGGATGCAGCTTTTGCTCAACTGAAACTAACTAGCCTGACACCTTATACTCAAAGTTACACTGCAACACTAAGTAATTTTTTCACATTAAAAGCAGGAACTCTTAATTTCACACTGCCGCCACCCTTCAAAGCAACTGGTTCGCAGAACGCAGTACTGTGATACATGTCTTATCATCACGCAATTAACAAAGTAGTTATACTAGTTATACTGCACAGATCATTTTTTTCATTTAAAAAAGGATGTTTGCTTTGAGGGAGGAAATTTCACAGTCATAAAGACTGATAGGTCAGAAATTCAATCAGATATGTTAGCAATCCCTAAATAGGAGGGTGGGCATTAAATCTTTGATGTGACACATGTTGATAGTTTTCCCCCTCGCCCACCCACAGAGGCACAGGTTCCCCTAGTTTACAGTGAATGGGAGGAGACACAAGCTTAGTGCCTCTCAAACAAATCAGTCTGCTGAACAACTATCTACCTTTTCAAAACATAAAAAATCTTTGTGTGATCGTAAAAACAAGCATGGGTGAGAGGAAGTCATGAAATATCTTACAAGGTATACACAGAATCGCCCACAATCGTAATTATGAGTTTTATTCTTTCATTTGAATGCTGCTTCTACACTTATACCGTAGATAAATGTAGTCAGTTGCCACTTACTTTCTATGTACAACTTTACTTGATTTCATGTTATTTAAGCAGGCGTCCAATTTTCTGTTTAAGAATCGCCAATTCAGCCTGTTAAAGAGCAAATACTGTTATTTATCATGAAATTTTAGCTAATAAACCTCATGACCGGTGGATGCCTATATCTTACAGAACTAGCCTAGCTAACCCACCTAAACGTGAAAACAATGTCAATGCTTTAACTCACACTTCACAGCAGGTTGCTGAACTATACAAAACTTTGTATTTCTCAGGGAAACACTAAAACAATGGGCCTACAAATCTATCCTTCAAGAATCACCAGATCTTTCCTAGAAACTTCCTTATCATTTGGTTTGGAAAGAAGGAAACCATGACTCAATTAAAGCAATAACTAATATTTTCTGGCTAGAATTCCACTGAACTACACTCTGAAAAAGATGGTGCTTCAAGGGTTCTTCAGTAAAGAAAATGGTTCTATATAGAACCACAAACACTCAAGAACCCTTCACATGATTAAAGGGCTCTTTGCGTCACGAAACAGTTCTTCAGATTGATGGAAAATGTGCATGAATGTGCTATAGATGGTCTCCCATCTTTTTTTAAAGAGTGTAATGAAATAGATTCACTCTGTACTTGTTCTTACTGCATTAAAAAAAGGAATGAGGTAGGTGGCATCTTGGCAACACCCAGTCAAGTGCACTGAAAAGGCACAATACATTCCATAACAGGGAGTAGTAACAAAACATTTAGACTACGCAAGAGAGGACTGATTCTTCCTAGTATTGTCCCTCGCAAGCACAGCCTTTAGGGTCTTTATCTGCTTATCAGCTGACGGCTCTAACTGCCATCTTAATATCAGCAAATGTCAAAGTCTAGTTTCATATTATCATTTGGGCATGTGTAAAATACCCCAAAGTGTGTTTTCACACCACTACTGTCACATGACTCCAAGTCATGTACACTAAGCATCATAAGGCAGATCTTTTGTATCATTACCTTACTATATCAGTTCATAATGGGGTTCCCTTGCAGCCTAATACAGTGAAGTGACACTGAATCAGTTAAGGCTATTATTGTCGACTCAGTGTATATGGCAAAATGGTACTCCTCCACAAACTGTACACAGTCAGTCAGTCAGCAAGAATGAGTAGTGAATGAGGATGCAGATAAAGATGGCATGGCAAAACTGGGCGTGTAAGACTAACATCTTGTCAGCACAGTAGCCTCAAATAGAGGAAACAGAGGTTTTGAGATGTGTCCATGTGATGTTTCTGATGGAAACTGAATGAAATCCGGCAAAAAGAGATTTGCTGTACACCATCCATGATCAAAAGTAACGTTATTTTGTTGAAACCCTTACCTTGTATACCTTCCCAAAGGCTCCATCTCCAAGCTCTCCCACAATCTCCCACTCCTCCTCTGGATTAACGTCTCTGTGAACGTGTTCATACTGTTTCTTCTTTTTCTCAGAGCCCAGCTTGAATATTTTCCGTAAATTGAAAAACGACATCTTTGCCGCGGAAATGTACCGTTAGATTATCAAAAACGGCCGCTAACGGCCACTGAGCCCAACTCTAACTAAGTTTGCTAACTAGCTAGCTCTCAGTCACAGACCCTTAGCTAACTCGTACCACACATTTAACTGCAAGTGATAGCGCTGTTTAATCCCGGATACTGAAAAACTATCAGTATGTCAAGAACTGACCAAATTTAGATCGTTTTTGTGGCCTGTATCCATCAACACATCCATAACTGTGGCAGAAAATCACCCACAACTCCGTCCATAACTGCTCGACTGAAGAGAGGTAACGTTTGAGAACAGCAGTCAGTCTTTCTTCCTCGGTTAGCAGGCGAGTTCATCGGCTACATCTGTCTTCTGGTTCCTCTTGTACAGTTTCTACACTCTGTGAATAAAAGGCTAGTGTGTACACCTTCAAATGTCCACTCTCGAAAGATGTCTTCACGCTGTCACGGTGGGTAAAATAAACGAAATCGCGGTGTCTCCGGTTAGGGTAGCTAGCCTGCTACGGCTACAGAGTGAGCGAAGCGGATGCGGATGCCCGAACTCCTCGGAAAAGCCACAGTATCCACACACACACACACACACACAGTCAGTCTGGGATTACGGCCCAAACGGCCCCTGAGCTCCTTCCTGGGTAAAGAAAAGAAAAGAAAATGAAACCCGGGGTGAATTAAATCATCTACAAGGCTGTAACACCGGTTCACAGGGCAGAAACGCTGTGTTAATCTAAACGTCCGTTCTGCTTCTCCACACTGCTCCACTCCCAGCTTCTCCAGAAAGACGCGAGCCGTTCGCGACCTACCAAGCGCATGGAAAAAGCGCGTGCCTACACGGCGGCAGCAAACAGCGACGACGACAATGATGATGATGATGATGATGATGAGAGGCTTTGCGCAGTCGCAGTTCAAATTAATGGTGACGCTGTGAAGCCTGCTGGCGGTCAGTCTTAGCATTACCTCAGCTCTCTCATTAAGTGTCAGTTTGTTTGTATGTACTGTACATTGCGACCGAGCAAATGTTAAAATAATATGTTGGTAAAATGTGTCAGACAGTATCGGGTTTATTTCTAACAGAAAATAAAGCAGCTAGAATTGGATTACATTGGATTACATGTAAGGAGCATTAATGTTGTAAGACATTAACGTTGTTCCAACCTTTTGTATCCCAGAATTAAAATGGCTGTTGTGGTTACTGTGGCTTTAAGACTGATATACGTAAATGACCTCTGTTCTGATTGGCTGTCCTGTATCGTGCCTCGTTCGAAAAGCAGCCTAGGCTGAAACACTAACTTCATCGTGGATGGGCGGGGCTAACCTACTGTAGGACTGCACTATATGAGCTTAGAACAGTAATTGTGTAATGATGTACATATATTTAGGTTAAGTTATATATCTAGGGCAATTCTGAGGCCCAGATTCGAGTCCATTTTCAATATTTTATGTGTTAAATATGTCTCGATTCCACAGAGTTCCAATTAAACACTAAGCAGTTAGCTTGGCTCAGAAAAATAATTAATTTAATTAATTTAATTTTAAAATAAAAGACTGCAAAGTAGCATATCCTTATCACAGAACTATAAATTAATTAATTCAGTACAAACCCGTAAGACGGTGGGTTGGAGGTAAGTTCGTTCAAACACACACACACACAAACGTTTGCTGTGTACAGTGATGAACAGTAGAAATCACTAATGAAGTAAGTTTCTCTTAGCTCTCGTCGCATCTAACATGACCTGCTCAGCTCTTCTCCTGCTCTGTCAGACAGTGTGTAAGATGTTGCTGTCCGTATTCTGGAGTGATGGACATGTAGTGTGTTGTGTGTACAGAGTATCATGTCATTTGTTACATGAATAGGCCCAAAACAAAGGGTTGATAAAGTTTGCAGGTTGTTGTGAAAAATGTGACTTATAATCAGAGAAGTCTGTGGCCCATTTAGACTATTAAAAGGTGACAGTGACAGGTTAAACAAGATGTACACTTCATGTATTCTGTGTTGTATAAATAACAACACTTAACCTTTAAAAACATAATACTTTAAACATTGAAGTATACAAGGAAAGGGTTATATAGTTGGAGACAAATCTCCTACAAGCTGACACCCCCAGAATCTCAGTGGCCACCATCACTGCAGGTTTTGGATGGAAAGTTACAGCTAATTGCAGTAGCAAAAACAGAGGAAGTCACCAGTGATAAAACCAAAAGTCTGAGGGCTGTTCCAAGCACAGATGTTGTAATAGATTATTTTCAGGAACAGAGTAGAACTATATATCAACTGTGGCTTTATTATAGCGCTGTGTTTTCTGAGCAGTTTGGTCCAGTGAGATTCTGGAAATTCACATAAAGTTATGTGACCGGGCTGCATGACAGCTCCAGCTCAGAGGCAAAGAATCCCAGACACTGCAAGACTCGAATCACGAGACTAGATGGAAAGTAATGACCAGACCAGCAATGAAATGTGTGTCAGCTCCACAGCTTCACTTCTCATTACTGTTAAGACGATAATATTTTTAATCTTTGTAATGGTTTTCTCTTTTATTTCATTACATTTTAAAGTAAAAGATTTAAAAGGGTAATCATTTTTTCTTTCAAACATAGTCGTCACATATTTCCTATATTAAAGCTTTTTTTTTTACCACTTCATTAGTTTGTTTTATGAGGAGGAGCATATGACTAATCAGTAAAGCATTCATATATAAAACTATTTAAATTGTCAAACAAACAACTCAAATTATCTAGGCTGTCGGGTTGAAATGATTTCAAGCAAATGAATACAATATTATGTTCATTTATTCTGTTGACCTACTCCCAATGCCACTCTTTCTGTTTTGGCCCAAACATGTTACTTAAGTGCAGACACAGTGACATCTACTGGAGAACAGGAGTTAATGCAGTGATCACACACCTGGCCATGTCAGTCACTGACTCAAACAGTTGCAGGAGCAACACCACAGTTTTATAAACATGAACACTGAAAAGACTGTGGATTCTCCCGAAAGTGCTAAAGAGAAAAACTCCACTTTCGTTCCATATGAGTCTCCCACTATCGAGCAGCTGGAGGACATATTACATGGAGGTCAGCTGTCATGTAACCATGTTGATGAAGTGTGGCCTAATTTGTTTCTGGGAGATATGTAAGTCTGGTCATGTTTGTTGTGGTGTGTTTACAGCTTCAGTAATCAATAATCTCCTGTTGTACAATATACTTCTAACCTTTCTACAGGTACATGTCTCATGACAGATACAGTCTTTGGAGAGTGGGTATTACTCATGTTCTGAATGCTGCTCACGGTAAATTGTGCTGTAAAGGAAGTGATGATTTCTATGGCACAACAGTGAATTACTATGGAGTGCCAGCTAATGACCTACCTACATTTGATATTTCACCTTTCTTCTACCCCTCTGCACAATATATTCATCAGGCCCTCAGCACTGCTGGAGGTATACCATGTTTATCCTTCTCTTTAATGTACTGAAATGTTTTTGAACATATGTACACATAGATATGTATATATTCACATACACACACATGTATCTATCTGTCTATCCATCTATCTGTCTATCCATCTATCTATCTATCTATCTATGTACGTATATATATATATATATATATATATATATATATATATATATATATATATATATATATGTGATAGTATAGATATAGGAATACTGCATATTGCTAAAAAATTCTATATAATTGCTAACAATTGGAAAAACAAAAAGCACTGTGACTATTCCACAAAGCTCTTTTAGCAATTTCTCCCAATTAATGCTAGGAAGGTAAACAAATTAGCTTAGTATTAGTCTATACTGTTATTCAGCTCTGGTAAATTTCCTGGTTAAAGTGGTCTTTTTTACCAGAATAGTTACCAACCTGTTTTCTGACTTTTATGTCACGTCTTCCCCAGCCAAGATTTTCGTACACTGTGCTGTTGGAGTAAGTCGCTCCGCTGCCCTGGTCTTGGCTTATTTAATGATCTACCACAATTACACCTTGGTGGATGCTATCCTGAAAGTTAAAGAGAAGAGGTGGATTTTTCCAAATCGAGGATTTCTTAAACAGCTTGTAAGTTTGGACTCAAAGTTAAAAAAACAAAGGTCAGAATGAGCATCCTGCACATATCCTAATTCTTCAGTTCAGAATTTTATATACAAAAAACATAAAAGATAGGCTGAACATTAAAAATAAGAAAAATAACTAAATGTGCACGTTTGTTTTTCACATAAATGTTGGATCATTGTTTTTTTTTTATTTATTTATTGTTTTTTAAATTAAAGTGTAATGATTGACCATGCAAGGTTGTATTATACTTTTAATCAGAGAAATTAAGTGCGATATTTAATTTTTTTGTCAATGTAAATTTTGTCAATACATTACTACAATAAACAATAAATAAATTATGTTTGCCCTGATAATTTGGTTTCAAGAATGCTGCTAACTGTTGCCTTTCTCTGTGTGTAGGAAGCACAGTGTGTGCATTTCCCCTCTGTGCTCTGTGTCTGTATCATGGTCTCCACTCACGGCCTCATCGTTCGAACGCGTTAGTTTTTTTATTCCCACCCGTTTACTGACAAATCAGCTTCCTGCTCTGGGATTGGCTGGTATTTCATCCTCTCAGGACGTCTAGCCAATGGGGCTTTTTAATCGAACAAACTCCGCCCAGTGGGTGGATGCGGTGGGTTTGTCGGAATACGGTGGGAAAAACACCGTTCAAATCTGCCCCTTGTGTCCCCGCTGAGAACCTGCGCTGTTTCCCTCCTCCCCGTTAGCGAGCCCAGACAGGCTAAGCCGAGCACCTGTCCGCGCGGATCACGCCGTGTCACTGGCCGTCGCGGAGCTGAGACCGTTAAATAAATTTGCGAGCCGGTTTTTGCCTCTTATTTTTTATTTATTTGCGGCACTTTTAGACAGAAGAATGACGTACCAGAAGAACAAGCATGGGCTCGCAGAGATCAAAGCGCTGGAGAATCTTCTGGACACGTGCAAACTAGACCTGAATGCCATCGATGAGGTCTGGCCGAACTTATTTATCGGTAACGTGTAAGTGTTACACAATAAATGCATGAGACAGCCTGTTAGCTTAACTTACAGCAAAGCTAAGTAATAATAACGTCAGTGTTAGCCTACATGAAGCCGAGTTAAATATAAATGTAGTAGCTCATTTTGACCCATGTATATTTAGGGCTTAATAAGAATGTAGATAATATTTTTAAACCTCCTACAGCTAGAATAAATAAAAATATAGCGTTACGTAGCTAATAATGTTTGCCTACATACAGCTAGAACAGAAGTAATGTAGTTAACCTAGCTAACCTAGTGGTGTTAGCCTAAGTTACATGATGCTAGGCTAGATAATAATAAAGCTAATAATGTTAGCCAACATGTTACTAAGTTAAATAATAATATAGCTAATAATGTTAGTCTACATATTGCCAAGTTAAATGCTAGTCTGCATATTGATAGGCTACAAAGTAATATAACAGCTAGCATATTAGCTTGAATATTGCTGGGCTAAATAAGATATATTGTCCCATATATTTCTGAGGTAAATAATAATTGTTTCTGAACTAATAAAGTTTAAGGTTATAAGTTATTTACCCCTGTATTACCTAAAATTGAAGCTTAATTTAATAAAAATGCACATAGTAAGTTTTTTTATGCTTAAAAATGGCATGATTTGAAAGCATAGCAATGCACAAGGCTACTCAGTCCACAGAGCTGACCTGAAATCAGTAGATGATGTAAAACCACTGGATTTATTTGAGGGAAGATGTGTTCCTTTTTTCTGTCCAGAGCAATCGCTCAGAACAGAACCGCTCTGAAGAAGTTGGGCATCACTCACATCTTGAACGTTGCCCATTCGAAGCAGGGCAGCATTGGAGACCAGAGCTACTACGGCGAGGAGTTTGTTTACTACGGAATCCCAGCAGAGGACTCCTCCAGGTTTGACCTCAGCGTACACTTCAGGCCTGCGAGTGATTTTATCCACAAAGCTCTGAAGAAAAAAAACGGTGAGTTCTGCTTCACTGCCAGAATGACTCGCCTTAAGCAGACAGCCTTGTCTGAACAATTTCTTTAGCACCATCAATGCAACTTTAAGACCAGAATCTAAAATGCTGTGATCTGTCAAGAGCTTTGTAAGCACTCAACATGAAGGAAACATTCATGTTATATTACTGTAATATGTGTGTAATAGCTCATGTGGAGAAAAAGTGAAAAATACGTAGGTTACCTTCTGCTCTCATGGTGTGAAAACTACTACTAAGTCAGTAATATGTGATATTGCTGCTTATTGGTTATTTAAAAAATTTATTTAGTTTATATGTATTTATTTATTTTTTACCCACAGGAAAGGTTCTTGTGCACTGCATTATGGGAGTGAGCCGATCGTCTACACTAGTCCTGGCCTACCTCATGTTACGTCATCGTCTCACCCTCCGCAGTGCCATCCAGAAGGTCGTACAGAGGAGAGCTATTTATCCTAACAGGAACTTTCTGTCGCTCCTTCTTGAGCTGGACACACAGCTGCAGAGAAAACGAATGCTGTGTCCAATTCTCTGACAGCACAATGCTGTCTGTCACAAACATTACAGTCTAGCGCTGTGACAAGAGACTAGTCACTGTTTACATCGTACATAAATTTCTATTGTCCCATTTTAAAGAAAAAACGTTTATTAAAATGTAGGCGTCTATTTTAAATTACATTCTAGGGATATATGTATATTTATAACACAATGTTATTAATTTGCTTTCATTGTCAAAGAAAAGTGCTTCCAGTTGAAGAAAAGTTTAAAAGTGTTAGATTTTTTTAAGGATTTGCAGGGGAGGTTAAGAGTGAAAATACCCAGCAGGTATAGGCTACAGCAGGGGTATTCGGTTCCAGTCCTCAGAGTCGGAGTTTAACAGAGTTTGCAGGGAAATCACCAAACTGTGCTGGACTTTGCCCTCCAGAATAAGAACTGATGACCCTTTGTTTGAAGACTACAGAAACAGGCTGGGTGTTTCTCTACTTAACAGTATAGAATCATGACTAGTGCAGAGGCTGGTTAGAACTGCCTGTTAACACAAGTTATTTTTACTTCTTGGTCGTCAGGGAAGAAAAGGCAGGGTTGGCCAGCTGAACAGCAGCTCACAGGTTTCAGCAGAAACAGAGGGAGAAGGTACAGCTAGGTGAGATGTCTGAAGCGGGTACATTTTCCAACACATGCCAGGGAGCCAACACTATTTCAGTAAGGGTCAGCTGAGAATACAAAGTGAGGCCCTTACATAGACAGAACTTAAAGGGGAGAAACAAAGTCATTCAGAGTGGTTTGATGTAAAGTGCATAGTAGAGAAACGTACTGAGATTTCTTTGCAGTGGTGGTGATATGAACCAGGAGCCGCGATATGTGCAACGTAAATATAGCCATTTTATTTACTATCTAAAATGTCGAATAAACTACTACTATGGTAAAATAGTTGTAAGTCTGAAGAAAAGATTCTCTAGAATGAACCATTTCACGTCAAACCACTCAAAAATCAGTGGAATTAAGTTAATTAGGTCAATTAAGTTCTGTCTCCACAAATTGTATATTATTGTATGTATTTCTCTTTGTTGTTGTTCAGACTGGAGTAAATACCTTTCAACGAGTCTATGAAATATTATGTCAACGAAGAAAATGAAGAATGAATTTGATTTTCAAAGTACTTGATTACTTTAATGTCGTAATCATGTAATTCACTTTTTAAATTTACTAATTCAGCTCCCTCTGATCCCTTTTAATTTGTTTAACAGCTGTTTGTCTTCCAGTGTTTCCCCTCACTGTATCTCTGTCAATAATATTGGTGGACCTGGGACTGATGATGCATTTGTACACGTTACAGATTATAGGACTCACATATTCATGACTAATTAGATGACGCTGAGGTGTTTAAACAAAACTCTGAAAAAATAGTAGATTAAGAGAAGAGATATAAAGATATAAAGGAATGATTTCTATGTTAGAAACAGCGTTGTATTCATTTCTGTCTGTATTACTTCCTACAGTCTAAAATTACTGCCTCTTTATAAAAATAACAAACCAAGATGATGAATGTTGTTTACACAGTCTGCGACTGAATTACCGTTTGCCAAATAAAGTTGCCTTGTCAGGCATGCGATTCAGGTGCCTTTTGTGGAATGTTGCACATTTGTAGTTAGGATTAAACTACAGACCTTTCTTATGCCTGTAATCCTCCAGGTGGAGCACTTTGTTACATAACAGCAGTGCATTAACAGTCAATTAGAATTTGAGGTGGAACTGAGAACTCAGTGCAGTTAACAGGCAGACTCATCTCCTGTTGTTGGATTCATGCTGTTTGCAAAAATGATCCTTGTGAGGAAAAAAGGGTTTCAAGCAGGGTTGATAATGAAATTAGCTCTTCCTGTTGTAGACAGTGATTCCAATTGGGGCTGTATCACCAGGCCTACCGTAATCCCCAGGAGAAATATGTGCCCTAATGGGGTTTTATGATCCGCTCCCCTGAGGACTCTAATCCCCGGTCTGATGACACACTGGGAAGCCACAGTGTGCTGGAGTCTTGTAGCAGAAATGAATACTCAGTTAAGTGGTATTTGCATACAAAGCCATGAATTAAACTCAGGCTGCAAAGTGCCAACCAGTGATGCAGAGTCTGAATATTTGTGGGTTTGAATAACTTAGAGGTGTGGCTCTTTATTTTAAGCAATATTTGATATCTAACAACAAACACTGTACAAAAAGGCTGACGCATGTACTTCGTTTGAAATTACAGAATATACCTTTCATTCATGTAGGTAATTGTCCTGAGAAAACAAGACTGGGGCATTGAATTGACTTGATTTAAATGTATACATAATTTCCATATGAATAAAATATATTACATCAGAACAATTATTGAAAAGAAAAGTCAACTGATAGAGAAAAATGTGCAGATGAAATATATATTCTTGTGGAAATGATGTACACATTTGAATCAAGTCAATTCAGTGCATCTCATTTTCACTGTACAAAGCATTCCGTTTGGTTTTGAACTGCAATCATAATGATTGTTTATTATTTATGCACGTTGACTAGAGCAGATCAGATCAGCTCTGGCTGCTGAAATATTGATTATTCTTAAAAAGTTCTTACAAAGTGGTGCTAATTGAACATCACAATGCTTTTTTGGAGCCTTTCCCTGCTCATTGTGTTACTGCATGTGTCCAGCAGAGGGCAGTGCTACACTATAAACGAGATGGGAGCAGAATCTGCCCAGGATTTGTCCTCTAAGGTAGCAACCAGGTGACTGTGAGCTGCTGGTATTTTGCATATGTTCTCCCACTGATTTTTCTTCATTTTGAAGAGAAATTGTACCTTAGTTCAGTTAAACTTTAGCCTGGGAGGAAAATGCAGGTTAATGCAGGAAAAACATCCATGCCACAGTTCTTATTTTTGATGTGAATGGATTGGCTGGCTTTGTCAGCAAGGTGTCTTACCCCTCAGTTGAGCTGGTGCTGAGCTATGACTGCATTCAGAAGCGGTTGGTGTGTGTTTGACACCATCCCACCATGTTCCCTGAGTGTGATGCGGTAATATTAGGCTGTATGAGCCGTCAACAGACACAGGCCAATTTCCCCCCGGCCTGTTCCATCCTGCAGCGGCCCTGACAGCTCGACCTGCAGCTGCACAGCCGGAGGAAGCCAGAGGCACACACACCAATCCCCCAGATACACATCTCCTTCAGGGAACATTCAATTATGGCACAGCTTTGCTTCCTGATTAGTTGTTTGCCATGCACCGGATGCTGTTAAGTCATTGTAGCAGTACCAAGGAGAAGAGTGAGGAAGAAACAGTAACCGCTCAGCCAACTGCGTATATCAGGGGACACGGGCATTAACTCAAGCCAAGTTTACTCCCCCAGACTATATGCATGGAACAAACGGGACTGACCATTTCGGACAATAACTTTGTTGCTATAGTGTATCTATGTTGAAATGATGTGCAGTACAGTGCAGTACTGACCACCCTTCATTCATGTAATTTCTAGTCTATACAGCCTTTAAGTACAAGTTATTCATTTTTCATTTCATTTCATTCATATAGTCATTATAATTAACAGAAAATTACACAGAAGCAGCTACAACCTAATATATAATATCACATTTCTCAGTATTTACTGTGTCCACACTTTGTCTTTATTATAGCTTTCATTATTTTTGGGAGACTTGCTTTCATTTTTCAAAGAAATCTGCATTTTCCACACCTCCAAAGTTCAGCCTTAGATAGTGGTTGTATTCTTCTGCTTCTCATTATCCAAATATTTCCTTTTTCTCCCTCTGTTTTCTTTTCTAAGTAAGGGTTCCTGACAGCAACACATCCTTTCAGACCCATAGCATTGAATTGTCTTCTCACACTGGAAGAATGGACAGAAACACCTGTTTTTTTCTCCCAAATGCAAGTGGATTATCTTGTATCCTATATCCTCAGAAACATCTCCTGAAAAAATGAATAATTTGTGCATAAAGGCTGCTTTGGAAATTAAATAGATGAATCATAGTCACTGACTTTGCACAGTACTATACACATTTGAATCAAGTAAATACAATGCATCACTTTATTCAATGTTGAGCACTCCAGCAAGTGTCAATTATTTACTGTTTAGTTCTTGTATGACCCCAAAAAGACACTAAAAATCTGATATTTAAATGTTACATGAAAATATATATATGGACATTGGCACTCATGCACACAAACTGAACTTTCAGTTCAATATTGCCACTTAAACAAGTTGCTCTGCTGCCATCTGCTGATGATGAATGGTTTGGAAATCAAATCACCGAAGTGAATAAGTGAGTGTCTAAATGTGTTAATAGATTTACTGAGCATTTCCCATCTATTCAGATGAAACATAACTGTTTCCTAGGTAATTATGCATAATTACCGCTTTGATATATTATTCTATACATACAGACCTGCTGTACAGGGCAAGTGCTCTAATAAGAAACAAATTAAAGCAACTACAGAGCATATGATTATCACATGGTGAGCTGAATTGTTTCATGTATCGCATTACAGTAAAAGTGGATCATGAACAGAAACAGGTTCATGTGGCTTTTGCACCCAGGCTGTTAATTCCCTTTTATTGACTTCATAAAAGCTGTAATTACTATGGGCCTTAAAGCCTATTTCACTGGCAGACGGGGTAGCGCTTAGTTGAGGACTTTTCCTTAGCACACTTAAGCAGGTGAGAATTCCAAATGGAAATGGGGGGAAATTTATTTGTGAGTTTACATTACCCTGTGTAATAACACAGGCTAAAAATAAAGGCATATAAAGTTCTGTGCCTCTAATACTTTCCACACAAACACCCTGGAACCGCACAGTAGCAAAGAGCCGTGACCGATGCAGACAATTTGCTAGTAAGAAGAAGTTCAATTGTAATTTCAAGAGCAATTTTTATTATAGCCTACATTATTAAGCTAGCTTGACATACTTTGTATGTGTGTGTGTGTGTGTGTGTGTGTGTGTGTGTGTCTGGGGTACAATTTTCACAGGTCCCAGTTTTCAAGCTAGAACCACAGAACTTTGCAGGATCTTAGAGGCTACACAGTAATGTTGTGCTTGTGCTGTTGGGACCAACATTGGTTCAAACATGTTTTATTCCCCAATAAATGGCCACAAATTTTATCACAAAAGACATTTCATACATTGACCTACAGGTACACATACATACTAGCACATATATTATACAAATTTAGCAACCACCTGGGATAACATAGCAGTGGCCAAGGAACAGCTTAGCAACCACCTAGGATACCACAGCAATGGCCTAGCAACAGCTTAGTAATCATCTGGGATACCATAGCAATGGCCTAGCAACATCTTAGCAACCACCTGGCATACCATAGCACCACTATAGCAACACCTTAGCAGCCACTTGGGATTCCATAGCAATGGTTTAGCAACGTATTAGCAACCACCTGGGATACCACAGCGATAGCCTGGCAACAGCTTAGTAACCACCTGGGATACCATAGCAATGGCCTAGCAACATCTTAGCAACCACCTGTGACACAATAGCACCAACATAGCAACACCTTAGCAGTCACATGGGACTCCATAGCAATGGTCTAGCAACATATTAGCAACCACCTGGGATACCATAGCAATGGCCTAGCAACATCTTAGCAACCACCTGTGACACCATAGCACCAACATAGCAACACCTTAGCAGCCACTTGGGATTCCATAGCAGTGGTTTAGCAATGTATTAGCAACCACCTGGGATACCACAGCAATGGCCTAGCAATACCTTAGCAACCACCTGGAATAACAAAGGACTGGCCTAGAAAAACTTTAGCAACCACCTGGAATACCATGGCAACAGCCTAGCAACACCTCATTAGTCACTTGGGATTACATACTGATGGTCTAACGACATCTTAGCAACCACTTGGTATAACATAGCAACTATCTGGGATTGCATAGCAACAGCTTTGTCAAGCCAAATTAATACTTAATTCATAAACTTTCCCCTTCTAGTTAACCATGTTGTGTTGATAAGTTTTAAATGGGGAAATTTTACCTAATAACATGGAGCTCATGAACTGCCCCTGTAGAGTGGAATCAGAGTTAAATCAATCAGAAGCACACACCCACCCGCTGTGTACATGACAGCATACCCGCAAATAACTGCTAGTCTGGCATACCACGTTCAGCATTCAAGCATTAAGGCCAGAAAAAAGTAGATATGCTGGTTTTCTTGTTCAAAAAACAGGCCTGGAACTCAATTTATAAAAAATAATCACAATTTAAATCACAGTCACAATACTGCTCAGATAAATCACAATTACACATTTTGCCCATATTGCTTAGCCATATCCCCATTCAGCCTATTGATATTATTTTGTGTGCAAAAATCATCATGAAAAAAGTGTAAAATGATGTTTTTTAAAAAACCCATGATGGTTTGGGGCGCCCCAAGGCTGCTTTTACTACATACAGCAAGAAAAAGGCCTTTTCAGAGAAATCTTCATGCAGGATTTTGTGTGCACAAAACAATATCACAGAGTAAAGACAAAGACAGAGAGAGAGTCCTTACAAGGTTTCTAAAAGCAAAAGCAGGCTGCCCGCTAAGACCTGGAAGGGGCTTTTGTAGCCAGGGAGGTTTATAATTATACACCATTTAAAAAAGGAAACAGCCTCCAGAGACATATCTGTGGACTGGCTGTCGACAACGTCCCTGACCAAGGAGAAAGGAGCAGACGATCTGAGCAAGAGGGAAAAGAGACGCAGGCCGTAAAATGTAAGTTCACTGAGGTGTAGAGAATATTCAAGCTCAAGAAAAAAAAAAAAAAACATTTAGAGAGGTTATATCCAGTGTGAAATGCTTGTAGCTGCGGCATTACACTCAACTTTTTCCTCTCCACACACACAAGCTGTAAACACGATCCGAAATGATCATGTGCCACAGTGGTCAATGAATCCTGAGTGAGGTGAGCTTTCCAGAAAAAGCTCCTCCATTCACTTTGAAGTTGTGGAGAGGCCGGTGTCGCCGCACTCTCAGCCTCTTAGCAACGGGCACATTTCACAAGCTGTGGCCTCAGGTGGGCTTAACTGCTCTGATAGTGCCGCTCAAATAAAGATAGATGGAGAACGTGTCTTAGCGGAATATCAAGCATGTTAGCAACACAACAGCAGGCCGAATAGAGAAATGCGTTTTGTGCTGTTACTTGGGCAATAACTCATGCTGCCATAAGGTGCAATAAACCTTATAGTGTTATCATCACCAACCAGCAAAACCTGCTTTATCACAGTAAATTCAACCCACATATCTTGTACACATGCACATTCAATCTCCGTTTCCATTAGCGTTAAATAGACTTGAACATTTAATGACATATAAATCAATTTTCTATGTGTATTAATACACCAGGATGTCTCTTAAGGAGCTGTGTGCCTATGAAACTCCATCTGTTGCTGAACTGGAGGAATTCCTGTTGGCTGACAGGCGCCCCACCGGACATGTCAACCAAGTGTGGCCCAATGTATATATTGGCAATGAGTACGTACCAGGCAGTAGGCCGACCATTCATGAGGCAAACTCACAGAGAAACAGGTTGAGCACACAGCTGAATATACATCACATAAGGCTGCCAGTCGGCTACTTTACAGACAGGTTTGTACGGACTAGCAGAAAATCAGCTCCAAGCTCACTTATACTTGAAGGAATACACCAGTGTTTTTCAACTGAATCTTCATCTGAGTTTCCCTGTGCTTAGAAAAGAACAGAAAACACTTGATTATAATAGACAAGGCAGTTGATTCAGAGTCAGAATGTTTGGTCATGGTAATTGACACTAAACTGCAGTTACAGCAGATACAGATTAAGTTGAAAAATGCTGGTGTGTTTCTCTAAAATGGTAAAATATGGACAGGATGAAGGTAACACATATGTTTTGCATAGGTATTAAACCACTGAATCCAGGAGGTTTTCTAAAAGCCAGTGGTGTGTTTCAGCCACAGATATACATGTTCCAGACCAAGATAGCTGGTGATTATATATTTTGCACAGCAAAGCTGCTTGATTGTCATATTGATACTCCTGATATGAATGGCTGTCTATAGACGTAACATCAATACAGTCCCCAAAATTGCAGATTTAACAAAAATGCTGAAAAGGGTTGCATGTTCTGCACTGATACACAATTTTTCCCAATGTCACTATGTATGATAGAGCTGTCCTAAGTAGCATTAGGAAAGCAAACATACACCACCATTAACAGTGCTAACATAACATTTCAAATTCCGTGGAAAATAGCATTATCATAGCAGTGGTAATAGGACAAAATAAGCATTACATTAACAAAAATTAGATGTTGTTCTCTCCAGTAACCAAAAATGTCTTTGATTCTTTCATGCATCTTAAAGAAAATGGTTTTGAAAAATCACCTATGCAAATCTACGGGAGTACCTACTTCCAGGGAGCTGACATGATGGGCCATCATGTGGCTATCTATGTCCCTAACTGTGCTGTATCCATGTGTCCATGGCTTCAGCACAGTAATTATGTCTTTTAGTAACCTTTGGCAAATTAATTTTATTCTTATCACTGATAGTCTTAAAAAATAAACACTGAAAAATCTTTTGTCTTTTTCTCCAGAGTTGCTGCCCGTGACAAGCCAATGCTGCACAGTATGGGGATCACCCACATTGTGAACGCTGCCAGCGGCCCCCCTCACGTAAACACAGGACCTCGCTTCTATAGAGATATGGCTATAGATTATTATGGGGTGGAGGCTGACGATTCCACTGACTTTGTCATAAGTGTTTTCTTCTACCCGACAGCAAGGTTCATGCGTGCTGCACTGGCCAACAAAGGCAGGTTACACAGCACAGATTACACATGATACACATGATTATGACAAAATTCAAATATTGATAGATAATAGACAATAAAGAATATTATCATTCATTCTGTATTTTTATACCAGATACACTATATAGCCAAAAATATTGGGACACACCTCTTAATCATTGAATTTAGGTGTTTCTTTCAGTCCTGTTGCCACAGATGTATAAAATCAAGCACCTAGCCATGCAGTCTGCCTATAAACATTTGTGAAAGAATGGGTCGTTCTAAAGAGCTCACTAAGTTTGAGTGTGGTACTGTAATAGAAGGCTACCGTTTAAACATGTCAGTTTGCGAAATTTCTTCCCTCCTAAATATTCCATGATCACCTGTGAGTGTTATTATTGAAAAGTGGAAGCACTTACGAACCACAGCAACTCAGTCACGAAGTGGCAGACCACGTAAAGTTACAGAACGTGGTCGCTGAATTCTGAGGCCCATAAAAGTCGCAATACAAAAACTGTGTGCTGGGAGCTTCATAGCATGGGTTTCATGGCCAAGCAACTGCATGCAAGCCTTACATCACCAAGCACAATGCGTCAGATGGAGTGGTGTAAAGCACACTGCCACTGGTCTCTGGAGCAGTGGAAACATATTCTGTGGAGTGAGGAATCACACTTCTCTATCTGGCCGTCTGATGGACAAGTCTGGGTTTGGTGAATGTGAGGAGAACATTACCTGCCTGACTGCATTGTGCCAACTGTAAAGTTTGGTGGAGGAAGGATAATGATATGGGGTTGTTTTTCAGGGGTTGGCCTAGATCCCTTAGTTCCAGTGAAGGGAAATCTTAATTCAGCAGACCAAGACATTTTGGACAACTGTATGCTTCCAATTTTGTGGGAACAGTTTGGGGATAGCCCTTTTCTGTTCCAGCATAACTAAACCAGTTTAAATCAAGGTCCATATAGGCATGATTGGGTGAGCTTGGCGTTGAAGAACTTGACTGGCCCACACAGAGCCCTGACCTCAACCCCATCAGACACCTTTGGGATGAACTAGAACAGAGATTGCAAGCCGGACCCTCTCGTCCAACATCAGTGCCTGACCTTACAAATGCTCTTCTGGATGAATGGGCAAAAATTTTCACAGACACACCCCAAAGTCTTTTAAAAAGCTTCCCAGAAGAGTGGAAGCTGTTATAGCTGCAAAGGCCAGACCAACTGCATATTAATACCTATGGTTTCAGAATGGGATGTCATAAAAGCTCCTGTAGGTGTACTGTGTAGGTGTCCCAATACTTTTGTCCAAATAGTGTATGCAATAGCAGATGTGCTATGTAAAGTAATACTATGTAAATTCTTAAAAAAGGGTACCACAAATGGTTCTTTGAGATATTCCATGGAAGAAGTATGTTTGATAAAGAGATTTGTGAGTGTGAAGAACCTTTTAAAGGTTAAAAGAACCTTCACATAATCTAAAGGTTCTTTACCAATTTCAGCATCCTTCCTAGAGCCTTTTCATTGTGTGGAGGTTCTTTAAACTTTATTAAGGTGACACATCTCAATTTCAAGCATGGTTTTCCAAAGAACTGTCTATTGAAAGTAGTTTTTCTATGGTGTTGTGCAAATGACGCACATATATGTGTATATCTTAATGTATATACTATTATACTATATACTATATACTATACTATATACTATTAATGTATATACTATATGTCCTGTTTTTAAAAGAGAAACAGTATAAAAACAAGATGTTTAATGTTTTATTTTTTGTAAATATATGCTTATTCCAAGACTGATGCCTGCAACATGTTCCAAAAAAGTTGGGATGGGGCAATTTAAGACTACCCGTGTAGAAAAATATATGTGGACATGTATTTTTATATATTTAAAATACATTTCTAATCCATGCTAAAATACAATCAAAATGTATTTCAGAACATATTGTCATATTAACCAAATATATTGTAAAATACATTTTTTAAAAAATGCATGGAGAAAATATTACACACACAGAATATCCCATACAAAAATAAATGTATTTATCAAATACATTTGAAAATGTTCCAGTATACTAATTTTAACTATTAGCAAATGAACCTTTAATATGGCAAAAGCAAGTGTTGTAGGTATTGATACACTTTGAAAATGCAGTTTGATGATTTGATATCTGTTTTATTTGAAATATATTTTATGTGAGCACTTACTTCATACCTACAGTGTTTAATGCAAAACACAGAAGTCAGTAGCATTTATTTAGTTCATATATATTTAAAACTATATAATTGAAAAAATAACAAATACAAATAAATGTATTTTCAAAATTATTTGGCCATTTTCATACTTTGCAAAAATATATTTAATAAATACACTTGGAATACATCTTTTTTCATATGGGAGGAAAAATGTGAAATGTTCAAACAGGTGATGCAATTATGCTTGGATATAAAAGGAGCATCCAGGAAATCCCATGTCCCTTATGAGCATGGATGGGTTGAGGCTCACCACTTCGCAAAAAAATGCATCAGCAGTTAAAGAACAATGTTCCTCACAGAGCATTTGTGAAGATTTTAGGTATTTTGATAGCGGGAATCCAGTGAACTCTGTGTGCATAAAGGGCAAAACTGAAAATAATACAACTGTATGTCTGTGACCTTCAATCATTCAAGACTAGTCAAGGCAAGTGGTCTTCATTTTCATTCTGCAATATAACTTGTGTACAATGGAACAAAATGTCATATGGTGCAGTTACACAACAGTGTGAATTGAGTGAAGACTATACAATAAATACACCAGACAACAAATATACAGAACAATAAAAACACAAGACAATAAATGCTAGAAAGGAAAACAAAAAGTAAGGATTGAGGTCTTAAAGCACAATTGAAATAGTTGAAGAATTTAAAGTGCAGGCATGCAGTGATGGTAAGGGGTGTGTGATCAGCCTGGTGGATATTACAAAAGATGGCACTGCATAAAAAAACAACATGCTTCTGTAATGAATATAACCACATGGGCTTGAGAATACTTTGGAAAACACTTGTAAATAAACACAGTTTATCACTACATGTCCAAATGCAAGTTAAAACCCTACTGTGCAAAGCAGAATCCATATATCAATCACATACAGAAACACCGCCGACTTCTCTGGGCTAAAGCACATCTGAGATGGACTGACACAAAGTGGAAATGTGTTCAGTGGTCTGACAAGTCCATCTTTCAAATTATTTTTGGAAATAATGAACGTTGTGTTCTCCAGGCCAAAGATGAAAAGGACCATCTTGATTTTTACCAAAGTTAAAAAGCCAGCTTCTGTCACGGTATGGAGATGTGCTCTTGCCAAAGGTATGGATAATGTGCCTGTGAAGGCACCACTAATGCGAAGGGGTACAAACACATTTTGGAGAAACATATGCTGCCATCTAGATGACGTCTTTTTCAGGGACGTCCCTGCTTATTTCAGCAAGACAATGCCAAGCATTCAGCATGTGTTACAACACATTCTACATGTGTTACATGAGCACGGCTTCGTAGTAAGAGAGTGCAGGTATCTGCAGTCCAGACCTGTATTCCACTGAAAACGTGGTGAAATAAGTGCAATATACGACAACGAAGTTCACGGACTGTTGAGCAGCTGAAGTGTTATATAAAGTACGAATGGGGAAATAATTCACTTTCACAACTAAAGCCATTGGTGTCTTCAGTTCTCAAACATTCACTGAACATTGTTGAGAGGAAAAGTAACACCATGGTTAACATGAGCCTGTCTAAACTTTTCTGGAACATGTTGCAGGCATCAAATTTAGAATAAGCATATCATTATAATAGAATAAGCACATAATTTAGAATAAGCATATATATATATATATACAAAAACAATACAGGTCAAAAAGTATTTGCAAATCACTGCTTTTTGTTTTTATTTGCATTTTACCTACTGTTCCAACTGTTTTGGAATTGGGTTTCAATTTCCAATTGGGCTTCAAATTTTTCATTGTGAATGCTCTCCATTTCTTCATTGTGGACAAATTCTTTTCTTCCATTTCAGGGAACGTGTTTGTCCACTGCTTGATGGGAGTCAGTCGCTCTGCGACACTTGTCTTGGCTTTTCTCATGATCTGCGAGGAGTTGACATTAATGGAGGCAGTGCGAGCGGTTCGGCAGCACAGAGACATTTGCCCCAATCCTGGCTTCCTCAACCAGCTCCGCCACCTCGACATGAGGCTCATCCGGGAAAGGAAAAGAAAACTGGAAGCTTACAAATTGTAAATGAAAATTCAACAGCAATGTGACAAAGCTTGTTTCAGAAGTCTGTGCCCTCAGGGTCTGGGCCCTCTCGTATTTTTGTCCCAGTCCTGTCAAGCAAGATCTAATTTACCAATATTCCTTTCATGACAGTAGCGAGTGGATATCAGGGGCAATTGAAGGGTTTGCCCATAAATAGTTATTAACTTCCAAAGGGCAGCAGGGTTGCAAAATAAATGGCAGTTTTTTAATTCCTTCCAGATGGCATACACTTTGAACTTGTTCCAAAAGGAGCCTATGAGCATGTGTTGTTTTTTCGAACTCTTGTGAAGTGAGATGGTTGTGGCCTGCTCTTTATCATATGAAGGTGGAGCAGGAGAAACATGCATGGCTGGATGTCTTAAAGGCCTGATCCCCTGCAGAGACACTCTAATGGGTGTCATATGCTGTAATATGTTTACGGGGTCTGCACAAGTCCTTTGTGATCTGTTGAGTTTTGCCATGGACTGGCTAGCCGTTTGTTTTTGCAAAGGTTTTGCAGTCTACGTGAACATATAAATAAAAAAGAAAAAAAAACAATAAAAAAAAATTTTGTTGAAAGAATTAATAAAGAACGCATTGTGTTTCAGCCTAAATGCTCCTTCTTTTATGAATTTGCATTTTACTACAATTAATGTCTGAATTTTACAGGAAAAATGCAATATCACCTTTGTAACTAATGCCTAATTGCATTTAGAAGGACATTGCCAGTCTCATCATTTTGCACCACCACATGGGCATACAGTCATATGCAAAAGTCCGGGCACCCCTGTTCAAATGACATGATTTGTTGATTTTCTAAGTGAAAATAAGTACACATCCTCAGAGAACATATGTCTGCAGGTCATGTCCTGCAATATCCTGCAATACTGCGTCCTGATTTGTGGTTTTCGTTCCTTTTCACTGTTCACAAGATTTTGCTCTGAACAGAGTGGCTGCTGAAGACAAATCTCCAGGTTCCACATGCCAGACACAGTATGAGACGCTATCTATATCTGACCTGCGCTGTCTGCTGCGGACAAACAGCCTGCCCTCCAAACCTGTCAGTCAGGTTCAGCACGGCCAGCGTATAGGAGATGAATGAGTAATGGCCTATCACACACTGTCTTGGTGTTCATCCATCCCTGAACAAACAAACACAGTCCCAGCTATCAGAGCTGTAGAGGAAAACTCCACTGAACCCCTGCAGATATATCCATAGGTAAACAAACACAGCTCTGCTGCAAGCTGAGAGGAAGCATTCAAACTTTAAGAACTTGGTTCGGATCAGGGTCAATGTTTTAGCTTTGTTTTTGTCAGTGTTTTCTTTAGTGAGACAGATGATCACACAAGAGGACCCTGTCTTACACAGGGTCAGTACAGAGTGTGTAATAAAGTCATAGACCATACACTGAAGATCACACACATTGTTTACTCGTCCAATGGACCACATAGCACCTTGTTTTCTCACTGTAAAATGTCATCTGAAAGCATCTTAAATGTAGACAATATACATACACTGTAAAAAGTGGCTCGTCAGAGCTACTTAGAAAAATTACTTCATGTGGTAACAAGTAAATGAACTAGTTTTATTCAACTCAAAAAATTACTTTGAAAGAATCGTTCATTCAAAGTATTTATTTAGGTTGAATAATACTAGTTAATTTACTTGTTACCACATGAAGTAGTTTTTCTGAGTAGATCTGACGAACCACTTTTTACAGTGTAGCATTAGAAGATTGTTGAATAAAGAATGTTGTAAGATTATTCAACCTATTTCTAGACATTTTTCTTAGTTAAAGCAATTTTAGGAAGTGAAATTATCTTACTGCACCTGCAGACAGTTTTACTTTCTTTCAGATATTGTCTCTTAAAACAAAACTGCTTGTCAGTGTAGCATTTCACTTAAAATGATTTGAAAACGAATCCAAAATCATAATGCATTTTCCTTTTGCACCCTGACATATTTCTGAGTGAAACATGGCATCAGGGATGGTCCCTGAGCTGGCTGAGTATTTTTGAGTGTTGATAGGCGGGGTGGTAGGAGTGGGAGGTGAAACATGATATTACTGTTCATATTTTTTCCCCACCCACTGATGCACGTTGACATAATCAAAAGTCAGAAGATGCTTTAGAGGTGAGTATACGTGATTACATTTTATTGGAGGATTATAAGAAAACAAGAAATCAGCTTTTTAAGTTATATGTTGAATAGTGCTCAACACGATCAGGAACATGAACTAACAAGATACGGTACTATGCAAAATTAGAGACCAGTCAAAAAAGCCATAAAGTTATTAATTTTTTTAGCACCAGGAAAAAAGCTAAAGACATATTTAACAGAAAAGAAGCCTCGGCAACTAATTCTAGTACCTTTTTTTCAGTATATTGTGTGTCTACTCTGCCTTTATTACAGCTTCCATTCTTTTCAAGGGGATTCACTTCAGTTTTTCAAAGAAATCTGTAAAAATGTTGTTCCTCACCTTCAAAGCTCAGTCTTAGAAGTTGGTTGCATTTCCTGCCTCTCTCAATCCTAATAATCTCAAACACATCAGTGATGGTGAGGTCTGAGCTTCAGATCCATAGTGTTAAATTGTCCTCTCACAGTAGAAGGATGGAAAGAAACACTCGTTGATTTTTCAGTTCTGAAGGAAGTTGGAACTTTATTTTCTCCTCTTTCTCAAAGATGAAAGCTTTAAGTACTGTTTATGTGGTGGTGGTAGTTTTGGGGGTCTAGGAAGTCTTAAAGGGAGTCATTTCCACTGTATCGTTTAATAGTTCTTTCCTCTTTACACATGTGGATTATATCTCATCTCCTCAGAAAAACCTCCTAAAAATGAATAACCTGTACTTGATAGTTGTTTTGATTGGAAAATATATATGAAGAGTGGTATCTGATTTTGCACAGCACTGCATAAAATTTAGATTTTAGGTTAACATTATAAGTGAAAAATGATAGAAATATGTGAAATGACCTTAGAATATCCCAACAATCTCATAAATAAAAGCATTAGATGTGTTACCACCATTTTAGATGCTTTCACTTGCCAAGATGTCAGTTTTGCAGGCGGTTAGCAGTGGCTGGAGGATTCAGCTCTTACAAAGTATTTTGGTTCCTCTTCTGCCTTCGCTGAAGATGTGCTAAAACAAAACGGAAAGTCTGATGTATTTGACCACAGACTTTCAAGATGAGTGAGAAGCTATTGTGAGGAGACTGAGTAAGACCAGGTCATAGAGACGGACCCCATGTGAGCTATTCTGATGGGCTGAAGAGCAGGCCATGATCTCATTCTGTTTATATTTTGTGTAGACAAGTACTGAACTCGTGCTCTGCATGACTCAACTCTCCTTTTTCCTCATGACATGTGAGGGTCACACCCTGAATGATGTTATCATTGTCCGAAAGAGCCTGGAATCTGCCCAACCTTTGTGGAGCACTTTAGGAAACTGACTTCTTAAATGACTTCACTCAAGGCAACTAATATAATAAAGCAATAACTGCTGAGATCGATACGCTTATATAATTAATTAAGATCCTCATGGAAAATTAATTTCAAGCTCTCTGGTATATATTTTAGGAGCATGATTCGCAGGTGGTGTACAGAATAACTCTACAGTGTGGGGTTTGGTATGGCCACAATACACACATTCCAGAGAGCAGCTATTAATAACAGCCTCCTCTGGGGTGTTATCTCAGGTGCAGGCTATGAATAACACCTTCCCTTCTCAAAGCATGCCCATTTTTCCACACATTTTCTGCACTGCTGACATGGGTTACTTTTTATTTATGATATACCCGCCTGAAAGAGTGCAAAAAGCATCCCGCCTGATGGAACTGTGGGTGGCAAACACTATTACTGTATGTTGGGATGATTTTAGATACGAAAATTAAGACCTGATCTCACTAACCACAGCAGCACGGCTACATTCGATTGGGGAAGAGAGAGATTTCAAGGTTGAAGGACTAAGTGAACCTGACAAAACAATAAAAGGAATCCAACATCACCAATTTAATGACTTCCCTGTCAAGGTGAGTGATGGCAGTGACTGAGGATGTGAGGGGAGAAAAAAAAAAAAACATATACAGCACTGATGGCTCTGAAAACTCTCTCTCCAGAGATGATTCATGTGTCCTTTTCACGTATCTGGGAAGCGAAAAGCAATTACCATCCCATTTGCAGCAGCCGAGCTCGCGTTACAGAGACTCTGTTAAAGTCGGCTCAAAAAAGAAACACCTTTTGGATTAAATTACAAGTCCTGCTCTGCTGAGATTTCCTATTTTTGTCAAATTGGACTCTTTTAGTCACCGGGCCTCAGAAAGGACAGCTGCCTGTAGGAGGGCTCACAGCAGGCAGCGCGGGGAGGGAATAATTGGCTGGTGGAATTGAGCCCAGGCCGAGTCGTCTCCTGCGGGACAGGACACACACTCCCTGGCCTTTTAGCAGATTTGCCGTCTCCATGGCTCTGATTTTATCTGCCATGAGTCAAAAAACATGATGTGTCTTAATGAAGCCAAAATACAAACAGGACTACAAGTACACTGAGTGAGTGGTTCTCAAATCAGTTCTCAGGGTCTTTCAGATGGTCCACATTTTTGGTCTAACTCTTAGAGGGGAAAGAAGTGGACCCTCTGGAGGGCCTTGAGAACTGGTTTTGAGAACCCCTGCACTAAGTGATGGAAATATTAATGCTTTTTTTTCTGTGTTTGTGATATTAATCATATTATATACACTGAAAAAATAATACATTGAATTAACTTGATTCAAATGTGTACATAATTTAAACACATACAATATCAAAAAAGATACCAAACACAATTCTGGCTTTCCGTGCACTTACCTTTGGCAACAACTAATGTAATTGGGTACCTGGCATTTAGACCATGGCAGACTTTTGACTTACTTTATAAAATATCTTTGTTATATTCTAAAATATACATGAACAAATGAATACATTTTCAAACAAGAGATTAACCTTGCATTTCACCAATAGATATCCACTATAAATCAGGTCATTATCTGTGAAAAATACCGAAAAAAGTTTTTGGCGGGCTTTTGAAATGATATACACATTTGAAAGTAAATTCAATGCATTTCAGTGCATAATCTGTAATACTACATTCTGAAGCCACGGTTTTATTGAGAAATTACATGACCACACTGATCTAGTTAATGAACTACTCATTTCTGGAGACGTAAGTGGATGTTTCTCTTTAATCATTATGTAAAAGTACATAAACATAACTCTACATACGTGGAAAGAATTACAAGAAACATACACCACATAGAATCTCAATTATGTACACCTACTTTATCCTTATAGACTGACAGGCTGCTTAGTCATCAGTGCCAAAGAGGATGCGATTTACAGTAAGCCTGTGTCAAAGGACTGAGTATTATGTCATTCAAAGAGGGTATCTGAGAAGCATTGATATCCTTTACACATCCACAAAACCCCCTGAGAACAGTATTCACAGTAAATTAGTCAAATTTATTAGGCTAAGAGATGGTAAAAAGGTGATACTGAGGAAAATTCTGTTCAAACACTTGTAAGGCAAAACTATTAACTACTTATACTGGTTCTAAGGTAAGATTAAGCTAAACTTTATCTTTATTTGCCAAAATCAATTTAATATGATGTCTAAAAGAAAATAACATCAGAGAAAAATGTTAAGATCAGTTAGTATACTATGGCTTTTCTTTTAGCTGTTGACAGTCAGCTTGAAAACTTCAGTTAGCTTCTCTTAGCCGCTGACAGTTAGCTCCACAAATCAGTGAGTAACTTAGCCGCTGACAGTTACTTGACAAATTAGTCAGTTAGCTTTTCTCCACTTACAGTAAGCTTTAGGGATTTAAACAATTTATAAAAACATTAATATACTGGTAGCAATATCATTATTCCTATTGTTTCTACTAAAGCTTGCTAAAAGACCTTGTGTAAAGATGTCCCTCTCAGCATCTCCTCGGTTGCCTTAACTAGCTCCAGTGTTAGCTTTAGCGTTAGCATTAGCTCATAAAAGAGCAGCATTCTCAGCTCAAACTTCCTCCTTATTAGACATGAAAACCTAACGTTACTGCTTTGATAACCAGTCGCTGAAAAAAAATCCAGGTCAGAATCCGTTTTTAATTGAAATGGACCTACATTCATTTTGTCATTTCTCATTTATGGACATCTTGTAAAGCCACTTTATTATTCGATCAAAATGGTATTTAAATGTAAGTTTTCTTGTGTGCTTCTGAGACGTTTAGGCTGTTATTACAGAGGGCACTAGGTTAGCCTGAGCGGACAGTTTGATAAACAGTGTCTGATGTGGCACAAATAATTATTTTGTCTCGGTATACTTTGATATTTGGCCAACAAAATGATATGTGATAAGAATGAGATATCAGGCTGAAGTGGGAGTCAAACTGAAATGGAGTCAGGCTCTCCGTGTCCTGCTGTCTACACTCGGGGTTTGTAGCTGCAGGGAGCAGAGGCCTGGCTTAGTGTCGTGTGTTCAGAGCTAAAAGACACACGTGCTTCTCCCATCAGCCCCTCCTGCATGTTGCTAAGGTCAAGGCTTGTAGATCAATGACCTAAAAATACCATTTGAGATCTGGTGGCTGTTATGGGCTGAACAGACGTGCAGTGTGTGCTCACAGTGTACAGTCAAACTGTAGACATCAGACAGCCGCTACTGAAGGTAAGCTACTGTATGTAAGTGTGCTGATTTACTATTTCCGTATTGAGTCAGAGCTCATAAAACCAGGTACCATTGGTCTCCAGCATCCAATCTTCTGCTCAACGATAATCTCCTCCGACCATCTAGAGGGTTAGGAGTAGGCTATACAAATAAACTCTATTCAGTTTGTTGCTAATCAGCAAGAATCTGTATAGACTTAAAGTTAAAAAAAGGAAAAGGTGCAACAAAAAAATAATTAAATTTGCATATCTCCTCTGTTATATCAGTGTGATTGCACTGGATTGAAATCATTAGCAGTAAACAATGTTGAGACACTGTTGTTGCAGTGAGAAGAATTCAGACACTGTCTGCAGTTCCCTGAGGGTCCCACTGATGGACACGCAGGTTCATAAAAGATTTTCAGTGTAATTCAAATCAGAAGATTTGATGTCTAGGCTATTCATACTCTCTTACTTTCCATTTTAGAAATTTTAGTTATTTTAGCTGCATGTTTGGGGTTGTCTTCTTGTTAAAATGTCCAACTTCTTCCCAGATTCACTTTCTTGTCCAGTGGGATTACATTCTCCTCTAACATATCCTGGTACATCACTCCATTCATGTTTCATGTTTCCTTTGATGACGTATAAAGCTCCAGTAACATTTGCAGAGAATCAGCCCAACATCATGATGCTCCCACCTCCATTCTTCACTGTGGGTTTGGTGTTCTCGGGATCATATACACAACCCTTCTTTCTCCTTTCTCTTTTGCCTGACTACAGTACATTGCTCCAAAAGAGTTATGATTTCTCTGAATACTCTTTATAGAAATCTTAGATGTGCATCTCTGTGCTCCCTTTTTAGATGAGGAGTTTTGTGTAGACTGCTGGTCTCTCTCTCATCTTCCTCATCATTAGCCTGAGAGTGTGTTGTACAATTTTTGCATGGTACACCTGTCCGGGATGATTAGTTGTGGTTCCATGAACTTTCCGCTTGCATATTGAACTAACGATACTGACAGGGATGTTTAAGGTCTTTGCTAGATGTGTAGCTTTTTCCCAATCAAGTGTTATTTAATAATGTTGGCCCTGAGAACTTTGGGAAGCTCCTTCACTTTAACCGCTATTGCCACTTGCTGTGTGAAATCTTCCCCACCACAGGCAACGTCTAGTGTCTGAATAATTGTTTCCCTATTAATGTTGTTTTTTATATACATCTTTGCCTATGCTTACAAATACATACTTTGTTCATATTTATATGCATGAAGTCAAAAGACTTTCTGTGGGTACATTTGAAGTGGATATATGCACCGGAAGTATAATAAATGGCAAAAACAAGAGGGCCTGAAAACTTATTTCCCTTCCCCTTTTATCAACAATCAACCAAAAATAGTGTGCGCTGATAAACAAATAAAACATTCATGTTCAAAATCTCTAAGAATTCTTCCTTTCAATTTCTCTCTAAACAGGGTAGCTCTTGAGCTTCTGGCTGAAAAGCGCAGAGTTGAAAAAGAAGATGAAATCTAACGCTTCAAAGGAGAGCACAACAAAGAACGCTTACAAACCAATGCAGTGTGATCCAGACAGTGAGTATATCACACCTGGGGTATTTGAGCTGGAGAAACTGTTCTGGCGCGGCTCAGGAGCAGCATACACCCACGTCAATGAAGTCTGGCCTCGCGTCTACATTGGAGATGAGTAAGCAAGATGATGAGTAAGCAAATAGGCTCAGATCTTTTGTTAATGAAGTTCAGGACACTTGGGATGGCTCATCATAAAAAAGGAACAATTCTCTTTATTGACCATATGCATATACCAATGCACTATATATATACTGATTTCATCAACTGTGAATGTTCCTTCACAGGAAAACAGCTTTAGAGCGCCACAACCTGGAAAAGATGGGGATAACACACATCCTCAATGCAGCTGAGGGAAAATGGAATAATGTTGCCACAGGTCCAGACTACTACCACGGCATGAACATCGATTACTATGGAGTGGAGGCAGAAGACATTCCGACTTTCAACCTCTCTCAGTTTTTCTACCCAGCGGCTCAATTTATTGACCATGCACTCAGCAGCCCAGAGAGTGAGTATAGAGAGAGAGAGAGAGAGAGAGACGGGGCATGATAAATATCTTTAGATAAGAAAGTAGTACACATAAGCAGAAACACACAGACTCACAAAACAAGCTCCACAGAATTCAAATGCGAGGTCGGAGGAGCAGCGCAACCTTCTCCACACACAGGCTCTTTTAAAGCTCTCCTGAGGGACAAACACACATGGGTTAAACCTTAAGCAGGGTTATTGTCACTCTGTAATTTAACCTTGAATCTCCAATACTTGGCGTTTCCTTAACAAACTGTCAACCAAAAGGCAAGAGTATAATTACATATAGTAATAATTTCCTATTGTTTCAGGTAAACTGCTGGTACACTGCGTCATGGGACGAAGTCGGTCAGCTACTTTGTTTTTGGCTTACTTAATGATCTACAAGGACAAGACCGTTATTGATGCCATTGAACATGTGAAAGAACGGCGCTGCATTCTACCCAACAGAGGATTTCTAAAGCAACTGCGAGACCTGGATGTTCAGCTACAAGAGCAAAGGCACAAAACAAATAGTGAAAACTCATAACCCCACCAGAGACTTGGGGCCATTTAGTGATGCATTTATTTAGATCTACCGTATGTCGTTTTTTGGGGGGGAAATGATGAAATAGCCTCTTGTGTATTGTTAGTTACGATTTACACTGTTTTAAATGCAGTACTTCATGTGGATTTTTGAAATTGTTAAGAATGTTTCCACAAGGTTAGTTAAAAATACAGCTCTCAGCCAGGAGTTAGCCCTAATAACTATAGTTTTGAAAAGCTAAAAGAATGTTTGAAAATTCTCAAAAGAACACACCAGAATCATATATCTATTGCCAGACACATGTAGTGAACCAATGCAAATGTGAGGTGAATGATTTTCATATTGCAAAAGAACAAATGCATTACACAAACAGTCCATACTCAGGTTTAAGTCTGTCAGTGGCTCATCATAATTTATTTTCTGCTAAAATGTACAGCATTTAAGTGACCGACTAAAAAGGTAACTCATAAATACAGGACTGTTGATCCATTAATTAGTACAGTCAGGATATCCCTCTTACGTCAAACTGCCATTCTGTACAGGTACAAAGGCTACAAAATAAGCTATACAAACAGACACCAATACAATTTACCTTTATACATGCCATCTGTTTTGTCTATTAACAAGGTCACTGTTCTACATTTCAGTAAAATATAAATCAGATGTTTTATAAAGATAAAAAAATCTACAGATGGAATGAAAATGTACGTTTAAAGGCATTTCATAAAAGACCAACTTTGGAGTAAATTGACAATTTCTGAACACTGCCCCTGTGAAATGTACTTTTTTTCCGTATTCCCTCCCCTTGATTTAGAATTCTACATGTACAAATACTGACATTTATTTTGCTATTTTGACTGAAATTGCTTTAGTTTGTATAAAAACAGAAAGCTGCCTCAGGTAAAGAAACTTGTTAAAAAGTAACAAATTATACACAATTAGCAATAGAACCTTCGAAGCTGAACACCCAAAAACCATGACAATGTTTAAAATCTTTACAGTATTAGAATCAACAAAAATATAGTTTAATTTTTCCTTCCATAAGAGGGAAACCTAACCAAGGCCATACATTTAATATAAAATTGCTTGCTTTTAAGCACAACACTGTACAGTACTACTTTGATGCACTGTCACTAACAAAGACATTAGAGCATGCTAAGTTTTACCTTACACTTAAAAAAATATAAAAGTAGATTTACAATAAATAATATGAAGGCATGAGTACAGACTTAGAAACATAACCTTGCGATTGCTAAACATGTACATTGAAAAGGCATACAATGCAGGCACATTTAAAGGTTCCATAATGCAAGTCCCCCCCAGAAAAAAAGCACAATGCAATCCCTATTAAACTGCAATGCAGTTTGAAGAGATTTACATTTAAATGTTACATTAAATTTTGATGATGTAAGGCTTCCCATAAATAGGGAAAAAGCTAAAGATTAGCCATTAAAACACAACTTTTTTGCATTCTTACCAAGTGCTGGTTTTTCAGAAAAATTCAGAAAAGCGAACATTAACAATGAAAATCAACACAAGAACTACCTCAAGTCATCAAGCTGACTTTTATATCACGACCCCTTGGAAACTAGAGGTCACTAGCGATTATCGTCTCATATAAGGTCCATTTAAGGGTTGTTTGGACATACCAGTGTTCACATAACCATGGTGACCTGCTGGACTGTACATCATATTGCCGTGGGGAGGGGCCTGCATGGGCTGCTGTGGGTAAGGCTGGGTACCCATCATGCCCATCTGCATAGAGTACTGTGGAGTCTGATTCATATAGGGTGGGTTGCCATGGTAGCCCCCATTCATCATGGGCTGGGTCACCCGGTACGTATTCATTGCATTAAGCGGAGCCATGTTTACGTTCACGTTCATCGAGTTGACGTTATAAGCCGAAGCTGGCATGAGGTTCACACCCATGTTCATGCGGGGCGGCATGGCCAACGTCCTGCTAGGAGCCTGCATGGTTACGGTCTGTGGGCTCCTGCCGTACATCTGCTGCTGGTGGTGAGGAGGCAGCGGGGCTGATTTGGAGCGTATGGACACTGGGTGATGGTGATGGTTCTTGGGGGTCATTTGTGTTTGCAGTCTCTGTGAGGAGGGCAAGTTCATATTGGGTGTGGCCATGTTGCGTTGCAGCATCATGGGGGGAGGCGTCATGTTAGGAGGTGGAGTCATTGTGGCCTGTGTTTGTGGACCTCCACCTGTGACTGTATGTGGAGGCTGAGATAGAGAGACCAGGGTGGGGTTGTGAGGACCAAGCTGTGAAGACAGTGAGCCATTGTTGTTGGCGTAAGATGTAATGGGATGTGATCCAGAATGGCTGAAGGGTAGGGGATGGTCTATGAGCGTGTTGGTAAGCTGCTGGAGCTTAGCCAGGCTGAACGTTGCTGAGGGCTGTCCATAGTGCCCACCCCCATACTCACCCTGGCCCATTCTCTCATACAGCCCCAGATTGGTGGAGGGGGTGTTGGACTCAGGGATGTCAGGAAGTTGCATGGGTGGAGGGAAGCTTGCAGGCATTGAGCAGTGGGATAGAGGCTGCTGGTGGTGCTGATGTTGATGCTGATGCTGATGCTGATGGTGTTGGTGTTGGTGTGGATGGTGATGGTGGTGGTTGTGGTGGTGGCTGTGTCCATGCCCATGCCCGTGCCCATGTGCATGTCCATGCCCATGGCCCGTGCCCGTGGCTGGGCTGTCTCTCTGGTACACAGCCTTGTGGGGATTTGACACTGCAACCCTGTGGGGAGCTCATGCTGTTCTGCTGGAGCATGCTGCAGGCGCCAGTATTGTTCACCACAGGGCCGGCCATCTGCTGGGACACGGCACAGCTGCTCTGTCCATGGCTGCCACCGGAGGAGAGGTTGCCATAGGAACAGCTGCTCTGGGAGGAGGCGCCAGCGCTAGCTCCCGTGCCACAAATGCTGCCGCCCAGCGTGGAGTCGTAGCTGCTGGGATTCTCATAGTTCTCTGTGGTGCTTTCGATGCTGCCAAGGTCACTGAAGCCACTGTCCACCACCTGCTGAGAGTGGTCGGACACAGAGGGGACGTCCATCATTGGGCTAGTCTCCATGTTGTTATGGAGAGAGTGTACAGAGATGGCACCCTGCTCGGGGCTGATCTGAGTGTAGCTGCTCTCTAGAATAGACACAGCTGGGCTGTTGACTGATCGCACAGATTGGCTGGGATGGGAGTGCACAGAAGAGAGCGGGCTGCTGTGGTCTGACTGCTGGCAGTCATCAACTGGAGTCATTTGAGGGCTCTGGTCCACATGAACATATCTTTGCAGGCTACGGCAGGCCTCCTGGGTCTCCACACAGTCTTGGAAGTGCCTCTCTTGCTCAGCCTCTTGTGTTAGGGACTGAACTGCCTGGGCAGTTTCCATGTCAATCTCTGGACAAATGCTGTGGTCCTCTTTTATTGCAGGGGTCAAAGGTCCAGCATCTTCCTCTTTTTGCGGAACATTCTGACTGCTTTCATCCTCCTCTTCTGATCCAGAGTCAGCATGATGGTCCGAGTCCCCAGTGTTGTCCTGCGCATCCATGTTGACAAGGCCACTATCTGAGGCCACCTCCCCTGCACACTGCTCAGGAAGGTCCTGCTCCTTCTCATCATTACAGGGCTCTGGAGTAGGTTCAGTGTCATCCAGAGGCTCCTTGTCATCAGGTACTGCTACAGGATCCTCTTTCCTTGGCTCACTGGAATCCACATGACCATCATCCTCATCATCTGCATCATGATCTTCCACATGAGTGGGCTCTTGCTCTTCCTCCTCCTCTTCTTCATCATCTCTTTCCTCTGGGTCCTGAGATGCTGTGCATTCACGCTCCTCTTCCTCCTCTGGTTCCTGATTCCCTCCCTCTTCTGTAATCGCAGTGGACTGTTCAGCAAAATTCACAGGACCGACTGGAGCCTCATGGCTTTCGGCACCACAAGAAGAAGTATCCACAGAATCAGGTTTGTCCAAATGTTCATCATCCTCATGTTCCTCAGTGGGTTCCTGTGGCTCAGGGCTCAGGTTCTCTGAGACTAAAGTGTTCTGCTCTGCCTTCACAGGCTCTGGCTCTTTGCAGGGCTCACAGTCTTCTGGAACAGACACCGGGCTCGCTACCTGCTCCTCATCTGGCTCCTGATCCATGCTGACCATGGGTGTCTCAGGAGGTGTGTAGAGGTTGAGCTTAAAGCCCATCTTTCTCTCTTTCTTTAGTCTCCATTTGGGTGGGCCTCGCTTCACACCTTTGGGCCAGCCCTTCTTACGCTTCACAGGTCGGGGATTGTCCTTTTTCACTGCATCTATGATACCTACGGAAAACAAAACAGGGGTTTTACTGATAGGGTCACAGTATGCAAGTTTCCAAGAAAAAGCATGAAATCATTTCAGCCAAAAATTAAAACCTAACAAAGCATGTTTTCCTTAAATAAACAAAAATAAAAACAAATACCTTCTACTTTTTCTTCTTTGGATGGATTTGAATGATTGTCATCTGGCCTCTCTCTCTTCCGCGGTCTGCCAGGTCTGCGTACTACTGCTCTTAGGTTCTTCTTCTCATCCTCATCACTGTCCTCCCTCCTAATGGAACGCTCTAGCTGTGGTGCAGGGCTCTCCACATCAGAGTTCTCAAATGGCTCATCCAGCACCTCCGTCCTCTCAGAGATTGTTTCTGTGGTGACACTGCTGTTGATGCGCACTCTCCTCCGACCTCTTTTCTTCCGCAGAGCGCCTGCTCTCTGGAAAAGTAAATACATCCACTATGAGATTTCATCCACTGTTTACTTAGAGAGAATACAGCATATGCAGATTACAAAAACTCTTCATGCAAAACAACAATAATCTTCTGTGCAAAAACTACAGTGTACCTAGAGCACCTTATGATCAACCATGACTATGGGTCACCAAAAACAGTATGCAGTAAGTGCAGAGAGATGACAAAGTTTGTTAGACCTAACAGTTGTCATAGCAAGAGTTCAGATTTTTTTTTGTGAAATTGTCCCCAGTGCCCTCCAAACCAAAAAGCAGAGGTTTGGATGAGACAGATACAGTTAAAGATGATGCTAAACATAGGGAAATGTGACCACATTGTGAATGGGCTGCCTCATGACCTAAATGCAAAGGCCCATCATTTAGACCACAGTGCCTGAGCCACAGGCCATTCATTTGGAAAACTCTGCCAACATGAAACCCCAAATGAGAGTATGCAGGACCAGA